ACTTCAGCAGAAGGACAAGGCGAGTTACATGTTGAGGCTAGTTGTGGGGTGTTGATGGCAACTGACAACTGCTATCAAGAGCTGAGTTCTACCTTTACAAAGACTTTTCAACTCCACCCAGAGATAACAGGAAATAAAGATACATGGAAGTGCCCCTGAGTAAGTGCAGAAATGCATTGTTTATATACTAGTAGCTTGCCCTGTCAGTGCTTTGTTAATGCTCACAGCAATACTGACAAGAATATGCCACTAATATATAAAATGAGAAGCAATTTCCATTCCCTAGTTGCACTGATGTTGTTACCTAGTTTGGGTCATGAAACGTCTGCAAGAAAACAGCCCAGCTCAAAGAGCATTTCATTTCAACTTTTAGCTACAAATATTCTGTTCTGTTTGTATCTCAGGACACTGGATACGTTGCAATAACTGTGCTAAAAAAAAAAAAAAGCAATCCTCAGGTGAATAACTTTGTATCCACCAGCAGCAAACCTCAAAATGACACATTAGCTTAGTCGCAACACATTTGTGCTAAAAATAATAATAATAAAAAACTCTTGATGTACGTGACTCTCTTTGTCTCCATGAGAAAGTTGCACTCAAGAGCTTTTTTTTTGCAAAAATGGAGGTTTGCATTTTGGAGAGGCAGAGAATTTAAATTTATTCAGTCAGCGCATTGGCAAAAAGCAGTGAAGCAACATGTTGCTTTGTAATCATATGAAATTCTCCCTTTAATGGCAGTTGTGTTTCTTATGAGTTCTTTTAATTTTTTTTTTAATTTAACATTGGCAGTATGTTTCTAAGAAGACATTTTTACGATCCTACTTATGAATAGAATAGAGCTGGAAGGGACCCTGGAGGTCTTCTAGTCCAGCCCCCTGCTCAAGCAGGAGAACCTATACTGTCTCTGACAGGTGAATGTCCAGTCTATTCTTGAAAATCTCCAGTGATGGAGCGCCCACAATTTCTGGAGGCAAACTATTCCACTGGAAGGAAGAAAAGGAAGGAAGGAAGGAAGGAAGGAAGGAAGGAAGGAAGGAAGGAAGGAAGGAAGGAAGGAAATAGAGAATAGAATAGAGCTGGAAGGGACCTTGGAGGTCTTCTAGTCCAGCCCCCTGCTCAAGCAGGAGAACCTATACCATCTCAGACAGGTGAATGTCCAGTCTATTCTTAAAAACCTCCAGCGATGGAGCGCCCACGATTTCTGGAGGCAAGCTATTCCACTGGTTGATTGTCCTCACTGTCAGGAAATTTCTCCTTAATTCCAGGTTGCTTCTCTCATTGGTCAGTTCCCAACCGTTGTTTCTCGTCCTTCCTTCTGGTGCTTTGGTGAATAAGGTGACCCCTTCTTCTTGGTGGCAGCCCCTCAGATGCTGGAAGACTGCTATCATGTCTCCCCTATTTCTTCTTTTCTTTAGACTGGCCAAACCCAAGTCCCGCAGCCGTTCTTCGTATGTTTTAGTCTCCAGGCCTTGGATCATCTTAGTTGCTCTTCTCTGAACTTTTTCCAAACTCTCAACATCTTTTTTTGTGATATGGTGACCAGAATTGGCTGCAGGATTCCAGGTGTGGCCTTACTAGGGTTTTACAAAACGGTACTAATACCTCGCCTGATCTTGATTCTATGTCTCTGTTTATGCAACCCAGGATTATATTAGCCTTTTTGGCTGCTGCTGTACACAGCTGGCTCATAGTCAAGCGATCGTCCACCAGGACCCCAATGATGAAGCCCATTAGACTACTGTATTTTCCAGCGTATAAGACGACTCCTGACTTCGGAGAAGATTTGCATGGTTTAGAAAGTCGTCTTATATGCCGGTAAATACGGCACATTGGCTCTTGGTCTTAAGATGCCCAGTTCACTTAACAACCGTGTTTCGAACTTCACAACTGCACTGATTCATTTAACAATGGTGGCAAGCAAGGTGGTAAAATGGGGCAAAACTCAATCACTGCCTCGCCACCGTTTGTTTAGCGCCCGTTCGAAGTTACGACGGCCACTGAAGTGACTTAACGGCCGTTTTTGCACACTTGTGACGGTTGCAGCCTCACCCTAGTCGCGCGATTAAAATTCAGACGCTTTGGCAACTGACTCACATTTATGATGGTTGCAGGGTTTCCTCTCCCCCCTTCCCGGGGTCACGTGATCCCCTTTTGTGGCCTTCTGACGAGCAAAGTCAATGGGGGAACTCACAATTCACTGAACAGCCACGTTGCTAGCTTCGTGGCAAGAAAACCCGCTTAACCATCTGGCTTAGCAGTGGAAATTTTGGACTCAGTTGTGCTCATAAGTGGAGGACTGCATATAGGGTTTTGCGGTCACTAATATATATTTTTTCCTATTTTTCCCTATCCTTTACAGTCCTGGGATTTCCCAGACTGAGTTCCCATCCCAAAACTAACTAGGAATGATCTTGCTCATTTCTTTCTTTCTTTCTTTCTTTCTTTCTTTCTTTCTTTCTTTCTTTCTTTCTTTCTTTCTTTCTTTCTTTTTCTTCCTTCCTTCCCTCCTCTCTCTCTCTTTCTTTCTTTCTTTCTTTCTTTCTTTCTTTCTTTCTTTCTTTCTTTCTTTCTTTCTTTCTTTTTCCTTCCTTCCTTCCTTCCTTTTTTAAAGACCGAACAAAATTAACCAGGAACTTTCTCCCACTGTGACACATGCATGCAATCTCCCTTAATATTTTTGGCTACAGCCTGATTTTCCTACGGTATCTCAGCCCCTGTAAAGCTGATGATAATCATTTTGTGTTCAAAGAAAACTGGGAATTGCCCTTTTGTTTGTGTGCCAGCGAACACACCTTTAAATCAGTCTGAATCTTGGCAACTGCCTGGGCAAGTCCATGCTGTTCTCTGAGCAATATTTTTCTGAAGTGGTTTCCTGCTGTTTTTATCCTGATGTGTGTGTGTGTGTGTGTGTGTGTGTGTGTGTGTGTGAGAGAGAGAGAGAGAGAGAGAGAGAAAGAAAGAGAGAGACAGACAGAGAGAGAACAGAAAGAAAGAGAGAGAGAGAAAGAGAGAGAGAAAGAGAACAGAAAGAGACAAAGAGAGAGAGAAAGAGATAGAACAAGACAAAGAAAGAAAGAGGAAGAGAGAAAGAAAAAGGGTGAAAGAGAGAAAAAGAAAGAAAGAGAGAAAGAGAAAGAAAGAGAAAAAAGAGAGACAAAGAGACAAAGAGAGACAAAGAGAGACAAAGAGAAAGAAAGAACAAGAGAGAGAAAAAGGGAAAGGGAGAAAGAGAAATAAAGAAAAAGAAATAAAGAAAAAGAAAGAAAGAGACAAAGAAAGAGAGAGAAAGAGAAAAAGAACAAAGAGAGACAAAGAGAAAGAAAGAACAAGAGAAAGAGAAAGAAAGATAAAGAGAAAGAAAGGAAGAAAAAGAAAAAAAGAGAGACAAAGAAAGAGAAAGGAAGAGAGAGAAAGAAAGAGAAAGGGAGAAAGGAAGAGAAAGAAAAAGAAAGAAGAGAGAGAGAGACAAAGAAAGAGAGAAAGAGAAAAAAGAACAGAGAGAGACAGAACAAGAGAGAAAGAAAGAGAGGAAGAAAAAGAAGAGAGAGAGAGAGAAAGAGAAAGAAAGAGAGAGAAAGAGAAAGAAAGGAAGGGAGAAAGAAAAAGAGAAGAGAGAGAGAGAGAGGGAAAGAGAGAGAGAGAGGGAAAGAGAGAGAAAGAGACAGACTCTCTCTCTCTGTGTGTGTGTGTGTGTGTGTGTGTGTATGTGTGTGTGACTGGCCCAGAGTCTCCCAGCTGGCTTTCATGCCTAAGGCAAATCTATAACTGGCTTTCCTTGCTCTTAGTCCAGTTCCTTAATAACTTGACCAGACAAGCTCGCCCTCCCTTCTTACATGCTGCAAGGGGGTTGTTTATTTTTAAAAAAATTCTCAGTAAGCCAACGGTTGTGGGAAGGGACCACTGGATCCCTCAAATTAAATCCTTAATAGCTCATGGAAGCCCATTCAGATGGTTTCTGACTTAACGTCAGAATTCGAATTTGCCACTTGACATACTCCACCCAGCTGCTTTAGGGGGTTACCCCAGCCTCAGTGGTAGTGGAGGTGTTAGAACATTGAAACTGCAAAGTTGTGGTTTCCCATAGCCTTCGTACGGTGCGGGGGAGAAATTCTCTAGAAATGTGGCAACAGTAGGTCCTGAGGGGGTGTGTGTGTGTGTGTTTCCTTCAGCCTTTGTTTTTTTTTCTCACAATAGTACCACAACTGTTGCAAAGTGAGGCATTTGTGGAGCGACTTTTGCCCCGTTTTACGACCAATCTCTCTAGTTGTTAACTGAATAAATGGTCGTTAAGCAAATCTTAACACTGACTTTTTCTGTCAAGAAGGGTTATAAAAAGGAATCACTGGAGCCCGGGACATTGCAACGGTCGTTAAGTATGAGTCAGTTGCGAAGGGTCTGAATTGTGATCATGGGACCATGTCTGTGCTGCGACGGTCGTAAAGTTGTGAAAAATGGTCCTACGTCCAGTGGTGGGATTCAGCTGGTTCGCACCAGTTCGGCAGAACCCGTAGCTAAATCCGGAAGTCCATTCTAGGCCTCAGGGGCCCAGCCCTGCATCCAATAAGAGAACCGGTTGTTCAGGTATTTCAATCCCACCACTGCCTACGTCCCGTTTTTTCCAGCAGCGTTGTAACTTTGAACCAGGGGTCTTCAAACGCGGCCCTTTTATGACTTGTGGACTTCAACTCCCAGAATTCCATGTGCCTGGCTGAGGAATTCTGGGAGTTGAAGTCCATAAGTCATAAAAGGGCCACGTTTGAAGACCCCCTTCTCTACGTCACTGTTTCTCAAGCTGAGCAGCTTTTAAGGTGTGTGAACTTCAACTCCCAGAATTCCATGCTGGCTGAGGAATTCTGGGAGTTGAAGTCCACAAGTCATAAAAGGGCCAAGTTTGAAGACCCCTGTCTTAAATCTAACAAAGAAAATGGAGGCTGGCTGAGGAATTCTGGGAGTTGAAGCCCACAAGTCATAAAAGGGCCAAGTTTGAAGACCCCTGTCTTAAATCTAACAAACAAAATGGAGGCTGGCTAAGGAATTCTGGGAGTTGAAGCTCACAAGTCATAAAAGGGCCACGTTTGAAGACCCCCTGCTTTGAACGGTCGCTAAATCAACCGTTGTACATTTCCTTGGAAGCCAGAGCTCCTGTTTTTGGTCTGCAGGATTCTGTTGCAGAGCAACTACGCTAAATAAGTCCCCAGGAAAGTAAATAAATAAGTCCATCCAATCAATAAAGAAGTTCAAAACATAAATAAGTTCAGAGGCATGGGAAAAGAGCAGTTCTCCTGTTTGGCATGAATGAAAGAGACGAGGGTGGTGTTGTTGTCAAGTTCAGGGCACTTTATTGTTTATTGATCCACCTGCTCAGGATCATCTGTGACAGGATGTGTGAGGTCATGTCAACGCTCTGTCACACCTCTCTACTTGTTGGTGAGCAAAAATGGTGCAGAGATATACAGATACAGATAGATACAAGATTCTTTACCGGCTAAGTTCAGACAAATGGCTGTCCCACCCTCTTCTTAAAAACACTGGAAGTTTTTAAGAAGAGACTGGACAGACATTTGTCTGAAATGGTATAGGGATTCCTGCTTGAGCAGGGGGTTGGACTAGCTGATCTCTAAGGTCCTTTCCAGCAATATTCTGAATCGAAAACAGACCTTATATTTTCCCAGTCCATAGGCATGTATGAACCACTTTGTAAAACTACTTCCCCCCCCCAAGGATGGAAATCAGATTGAGGCAACTTGCTATATAAGTACTTCAACGTGTAATTTCCTGGGATTGCTGTACAAGTCAAAACTCTTCGTTCTGATTGCCTTTGGGAATTGCAAAATAAGCCAGCTTTTGGTAGGAACTGGTAGTTTGAAGGCCGGGTCAAATGTCTGAACACTATTTCTATATAGAGAGCTTTTCTTTCACTTTTTTTTTTTCTGAAGGTTTATCTTGGAAGGTTTGTGAGCAAATGCTTCAGGGAAATAATGCAAGGGCTTTTGAAGTTTGGCAAGACATCCAGTCCAAGGTTTGTAAAGTTCACTTTACAAGAAGGTGGAAATTTTTTTTAAAAAAACATGTTTCTGGTTCACCTTCATCATGAAAAGCAGCTTTATGCGTTCAAAGTCTTCTGCATTTGCTTCGATTGCTAAACGAAGGCTGAGCCAAAAACAGGGTGTGCGTTACCTGACAAAGAAAACAAAAGCTGCATAAAACATGAAGGGGAGGTGGTTGTTATGGTTAAAGTGCTATAATTGCACTTAATAATGAACTAAAGGGCCACCATCAGTGAACTGTTGGACAGTATTACTTGGTCTGTTGGGTGGATGTTTGGGTGGTTTTAGGGGTGGGGAATTGTGGTGAGTGGGAGTGTGTTTGGGGATTATGTGTGTGGGACCTGGTCTTTGGGTGTCACATAAATTTTGTTGTATGTGTATACTGTGTATACACATAGAATGACAATAAAGTTTATTTATTTTATTTAAAGTTACCTGGCCAGCTTGTGCTAGCTAGCACAATGTGGAATCCTGTTTCTTATTACCTTATGGACTTCTCTGATGTCACCTCCTCCCCTGCTCCCTTACTCTCCATCCATAAAGAACTTCCATGCAAGGGACTGTTGAGATGCTCAGATGTCCACAGGAGGTATTGATTCCTGCAAAGATTAAGAAGGATCCTCTCCACAGTGCAAAGACTAAACAAAGCCTTGTTTTAATGAATTAAGGTAGAGTTAAAAATCCACAGAGGTCAGCACACAAAGAACTGTGGTTTCCTATCTCCATGTCCATTATGACTGGGGGTAGGGGGTGAAAGGGTTATTTCCTGCCAAGCAGCTTGGGTCACCCAGCACACAGGACTGGCTGTCTAAGAAACAAAAAAAGGACATTTTTCTCGAGTCAAGTGATCAGTCCCTTGACAACTTGGGTGTAATGAAAGCAGGAAGCAAGCCCACTTATTCTCCAATGACCCTCTTATTTCCAATTTTTTTTTTCAGAAGGAATTGTGGGTAAGACCGCAATTGTGGGTTTTCAGGACTGTGCTTTTGATAACTAAGCACACACTGAATTTCAAGAAGAGGCAAATTTGATCGATTTGACTGATCCGAATGGTATTCTGTTTTTGCCAGAATTGTTCCAGGTGATTGGTTGCCGTAGGTTCCTTCTTCAACGTTCTCCTTAAATTCTAGAGCTAAGCTTCTCCTTACATCTTTTAAATTTTAAAGCTTTTATTGATTTCCCCCCCATATAATTCAATAGTACTTATTCAACAAACATGTTGTCTGAGTTTAATCATTCACTAATACAAATTTAATTCCTAATCCTTTATTCTTTTCTCCAGCCATTGATAAAATAAGTCCCAAGTTTGAGTATTTTGTTTCTTCTTTTTCTCTCTCTCTCTCTCTCTTTCTTTCTTTCTTTCTTTCTTTCTTTCTTTCTTTCTTTCTTTCTTTCTTTCTTTCTTTCTTTCTTTTATTAATTTTTATTACCATTTTCCTTTATACAACTCTAATACATATTCAGCAGACTATGTCATTTTTATATACTTCGGATCAACATTCTATACAATATATACACTATATACATTCAGTATCTAATTCACAATAACCTTATGTATGTTTCCAATTTTTGTTTCTATTATCTATCCATGTATACCATTTTTCCCAAACCACGTAAAATTCTGAGTTATCTTTTTCTTTTAATTCTAAAGTGAGTTAATTAATTCTTCCTCTGGTGGTATTTATTCATTTTTCCAATATTGTGTAAATATGATTCTTGCCGCTGTTGTCACATGTAAAATCAAGTACATACTTCGTTTATCAATGTTTTCTGGAATCATTATACCTAGTAAAAAAAATACAGGTTTAAAATCTACATGCTTTCCCAATATCTTTTCTATCCAAATATGTATTTTTGTCCAGTACCTTTTTGCTTTAAAACACGTCCACCATTACATGATAATAAGTACCTGACTTATGTTTGAATTTCCAACATATCTATCTGACATATTTTTAAACATTTTTGCTAATCTTGCTGGTGGCCAAGTGCCATCTATAAAACATTTTATATAGATTTAATCTATAAGAAGTTGACATTGTCAATTTATAATTTCTTTCCCTCATGTTTTTGCCATTTTTCTAAATCGATGTTATATCCAAAATTTCTTGCCCGTGTTATCATCATTTCTTTAGCTTGTTCATTTTCCATTTTCAAATTAAATCAAAAGTTATACATTTTTTAAATTAGTTTTTCATCAGAAGTTAATAATGTCTGATCAAACAAGACCTGCTCTTTATAAAATCCGTACAGTTTAACATCTTTATCATAGCTAACTTGCATTTGTAAGTATGCCTACCATGATAGATCTATACCCTGTTTTTTTTCTCCTTACATGTTGAGCTAAGCTTCTCTGGATACGACGTTACACAGACTATATTGTGCCTCTTATTATTTTTAGATGGACCTCTAAACTTTAAAAGTTTGAGAGGTCATATGTTGGTCTTAAGGTGCTTATAGTGTAACATTCAGTGCAGGAGAAACCACCAGGAGGGGAAGGAATTAATGGCACAATAAACAACAATGGCATATAAAAATGGTTCAAAGGACTGAGTTTATGGCTCTCTACCATAAACCTTTAATCTGTCTGTTTTTCCCTCCCTCATTGTTAGTCATGTATGGGACAGGCTAAGAAGAAGAAAAGTTGGTGACTCCCAATCTATAAAAGATTTTATCCAGTTGCTTGGAAACTGGGTGAATGGTTAATTGCAAATGTATGTTTGCCACTATATATATTTTTTATTGTTTTCAGATCTCCTTGTATTTTCTTTGGATGTTCAGTGTTAAATGAAGAAATAACCAGAAAGTTCAGAAGAAAAGAAAAGACTAGAATAGAATAGAATAGAATAAAGAATGAGAATGAATGAGAATGGAATGGAATAGAATAGAATAGAATAGAATAGAATAGAATAGAATAGAATAGAATAGAATAGAATAGAATAGAATAAGAGAGGAGAGGAGAGAAGAGAAGAGAAGAAGAGAAGAGAAAAGAGAAGAGAAGAGAAGAAAGAATGGAATGAAATAGGGTATGGTATGGTATGGTATGGTGTGGTATGGTGTATGGTATGGTATGGTATGGTAGAGTAGAGTAGAGTAAAGAGAAGAGAAGAGAATGGAATAGAGAATAGAATAGAATAGAATAGAATAATTGAGTTGGAAAGGACCTCAGAGGTCTTCTAGTCCACCCCTGTGCTTAAGCAGGAGATCCTATACCATTTCAGGTAAGTGGCTGCCCAGTCTCTTCTTAAAAACCTCCATTGTTGGGGCACCCACAACTTCTAAAGGCAAGCTATTCCATTGGTTAATTGTTCTCACCATTAGGAAAATTCTCCTTAGTTCTAGGTTGCTTCTCTCCTTGGTTAGTTTCCATCCATTATTTCCTGTCTTGACTTTTGGTGCTTTGGAAAATAGTAGGACCTCCTCGTCTTGATAGGAGCTTTTTCCAGCAAAGAGATGAAAGACCAGATTTTTGTTTACTCGACAATAGTTCCCTTGACCGTTTAAGGCAGGGGTCTTCAAACTTGGCCCTTTTATGACTTGTGGACTTCAACTCCCAGAATTCCTCAGCCAGGCACACTGGCTGAGGAATTCTGGGAGTTGAAGTCCACAAGTCCTCAAAGGGCCAAGTCTGAAGACCTCCGATTTAAGATCATGGAAGGACTTGGGTTCTTTACGAGGACAAATGCTGATTCTGGAATATTAAAACCAATTTTAATATATTGCCCTCCTTCCCTCTGTTTTGTAGGGTTGAAAAGCCTGTGGGATTTATCTGCACACTTGCTCTTTATGGAAGACATTTTATGCGATGTAGGAGAAGAGTTTTGTCCGGCTTTTCAAATATGACCCTATGGGATCACGCTTCTTTGGGATTCCGATAGAAAAACCCACCCATGAAATTGCCATTATGTCACTCAGGGAGACTGACCCAGATATCGGTGCCTTTTTAGTAAGCATCAACTTGGGACAGTATCGTGCAAACTTTAAAGACTTTGGCTACCACACTGTACAAGAGTGCTTGGGCATAAATGACAGCATCCTTCAACACGTTGGAATATCCCCTACGGGCCACCGTAGACGAATCCTCAAGCAGTTGGAGGCCGTGTTGACAAGAATGCCGGAAACAGCTACCTCAGATCAAAGCAGCTCTCCCAGGCATCTCCTCCATCCCAAACAGGTGAACGAAGCAGGTGGCGGGCCATCTGATGGACACAGCAACACAGCTTGTGGCAGCAACTGTGAAAGAAACCCACACTACACATCCCATGTCTTGTTGGGAAACAGAGACAGTAGTCCAGTTTTGGATCTGGACTCTTCTGACACGTTTGGTCCGAACCTATTGGCGGATCCTGCCACGGTTCCACGAAATTCACTGAAAAACGTGATGTCGGAAAAGAAACCTTGCATGGAGGATCATCCAAAGACAGGGGATCCACAAACGTCAGAGTTTCATGTTAACGCCACTCCCAAAGATGGATCTCTGTCTGCTGCTTTCTCTCCTTCTGAGGAGAAAACCAGCCAGGTGGAACTCTTATCAGACTTGAGAAATTTGCTCGGTGATCTGCAGGAGACACCGTTCGTTGAGTTCAAAGGTGAAATGGTGCAAAACGATTTGTACGACACTTGCGCCCAAAGTCCATCAAGAGTGGGCTCCAGGCCAACGCGATCTTTTATGCTTCGGCACCGTCCTGTTCCAGAAATCCCAGGGCTTTCCTCGCTGGCAACTTCGAACAGGTAAACGTTAAAACGTCGGTAAATGTTAAGCTTGCAATAGTGGCGAATATCTGTCAGTTATCTGTCAGTTGAGTGCTAAGTTGCGCCTGGCCTTTTTACGTTTTGGATACATTTCACTTGTAGCGTTTCCAAAAGATGTACAACGTGGGCTTTCCATTTGTAAAGTTGCTGCCCCTCTTTCCTAGAAGGGGTCACCTTGTAGGAGAGATGGGCAGGCAGCACAAACATTTCAAAAATAAATTTTGTAGACTGAGGGAGGGGCTGGACTCAAAAATGGGTTTGGGCTAAAAGGAAAAGAGGACAGCCTATAATTAGAAAGGTAGAAAGATCGACAAACAAACTATGTTTATGATGTTTCTGAAAATATAATAATAATAATAATAATAATAGTAGTAGTAGTAGTAGTAGTAGTAGTAGTAGTAGTAAAGTTGGAAGGGACCTTGGAGATCATCTAGTCCAACCCCCTGCTCAGGCAGGAAACCCTATACCATTTCGGACAAATGGCTGTCCAGTCTCTTCTTAAAAACTTCCAGCGTTGGAGCATTCACCGCTTCTGGAGGCAGGTTGTTCCACTGGTTAATTGTTTTTACTGTCAGGAAATTTCTCTGTAGTTCCAGGTTGCTTCTCTTCTTGCTCAGTTTCCACCCGTTGCTTCTTGTCCTGCCTTCAGGTGCTTTGGGGAATAGCTTGATTCCCTCTTCTTTATGGCAGCCCCTGAGATATTGGAATACTGCTATCATGTCCCCCCTTGTCCTTCTCTTTGTTAAACTAGACATACCCAATTCTAGCAACCGTTCCTTATATGTTTTATATAAGGTCGTCTTCAGACCAGGATTGGATGACAGTCAGCCCCGAAAACGCCCCAATCTTCTGAGGGCTTGTCACCAAGCTAATTACAATCTCTCAAGACACCACCTGGTCTCCAAAGTTTATGTTTCAAACAATTAGATTATTAAGAGTACATGTAGCTACTTCGAATTACGGCCATAATTGAGGCCAAAATTCCTGACACTAAGCAAGACTGTAGCTAAGCGAGTTTTCCCTCGTTTTATGACTTTTCTTGCCCCAGTTGTTAAATTCATCGCTTGTTTAGTTGTTCAGCTAGTAAGATGGTTGTTAAGTGGCTTCCCCATCTACTTTGCTTGTCAGAAGTCGCCCCGGGACACACTGCAACCGTCATAAATATGAGTCAGTTGCCAAGCGTCTGCATTTTTTTTTTTAAAAAAATGTTTTATTGATTTTTAACACAATCCCTCCTGTAGGGATGTAGCGCCAGTAGCCCAGTTGAAAATAGTTCATAATAAGAATAAATCCAGATTTGGAACACCTGAGAAGATCACAATAAACTAGATTATCATATGTACTGTAAGACGGTACAAAAGGAGCTATTTCCAAAATTGTAAGCTATTTCAAAATATTGTGCTGGTTCGGCTGGAGTTACGCGTCAGCATTAGGATCTGAAGGACGAAATATTTTCACGATCTACTGTTGGTCCTTGACTCATAACCATTTGTTTAGTGACTGTTCCAAGTGACCTCAGGAATGAAAAAAGTGATTTATGACCATTTTAGCACCCCCCCAGGGTCGTGTGATCAAAATCTGCACACTTAGCAACTGAGTCATATTTATGACACTTGCAGTGAGCGGGTTGTGATCCCTTTCGTGGACCTTCTGAAAAGCAAAGTCAGTGGGGAAGCCAAATTCATTTAACAACGGTGTTGCTCACTTAACAATAGCAAGGATTCGCTTAACAACGCCCGACTTAAGAAAGTCGTATAAATGGGACCAAACTCACCTAACCATCGTCTCACTTAGCAGTGGAAATTTTGAGCTCAATCGTGGTCATATGTTGAGGATTACCTGTATAGTCTAATTCAGGGGTCTTCAAACTTGATCCTTTGATGACTTGTGGACTCAACTCCCAGAATTCCTCAGCCAGGCACGCATGCCTGGCTGAGGAATTCTGGGAGTTGAAGTCCACAAGTCATCAAAGGGCCAAGTTTGAAGACCCCTGGCTTCAATCTAACAAACAAAATGGAGGCTGGCTGAGGAATTCTGGGAGTTGAGGTCCACAAGTCATCAAAGGGCCAAGTTTGAAGACCTCTGGCTTCAATCTAACAAACAAAATGGAGGCTGGCTGAGGAATTCTGGGAGTTGAAATCCACAAGTCATCAAAGGGCCAAGTTTGAAGACCCCTGGTCTAGTTCTAGCTGGGTCTTACTCAATGAAGAGATGCCTACCAAAGATGTGGTTTGAACTATCCAGAATTCCGCAAGCCACGTGGGAATTCTGGAACACAAGAGGAAAAAGTGACTCAGGCATTCTAGGAAAGCTGAGGCCAGGATCAGGTTTGGCAAGTTGTGGAATGACTTCATCACGATGTGGGTGACGTTCAGCGAAATGAAGCTGAAGCACACGGGGTTGGGAAACTGTAGCTGGGAAGGCAATAGAGAGGTGGAGGAAGAATCAGGGCTTGGGGGAAATTAGGGAAATGATTGTCCCAAAAGGTGCTTTTATCAAGAGGCAACTGGACTTTTTGAAATTCCTTTGAAGATGTTTTGCTTCTCGTCCCAGAAGCTTCTTCAGCTCTGACTGAATGGTGGGGAATGCAAGGATTTATATTCCTTGCAGACAGCTGGCCATTTGCCTTCTTTTAGAGCAGTGGTTCTCAACCTGTGGGTCGGGACCCAACTTGGGGTCGAACCACCATTTCACGGGGGTCGCCAAACAACGCAGTCCGCCATTTTTTCCCCCTTTTCCTTAGCTGTGCTACTCCGTTTTATTCTATTGGCTTTTGAAAGCCAATAGAATAGACTCTCTTGAATAGAGTCTAATTCTATTGGCTTTCAAAAGCCAATAGGAATTGTCCAGGCTGTCTCTGCCCTGCTGAGCCCGCCAAAAGTCCCATTCTGCAAACGGTGCTGCACCAGTTGAGTAGTCCTCGACTTACAACCAGTTGAGTAGTCCTCGACTTACGACCGGTTGGGGGTCGCGGCATTAAAAAGTTTGAGAACCACTGTTTTAGAGAGTCATTGAGGCCACTTGGAGGTTCATCTGTGTCCTCAGGGTCACCTTCAAGTGGCCTCAACGACTCTCGAAAAGGAGGCAAATGAACAGCTGTCTGCAAGGAGTATAAATCCTTCCGTTCCCCACTCTCCAGTCAGAGCTGAAGAAGCTTCTGGGACGAGAAGCGAAATGTCTTCCTAGAAAAACAAGAAAGTCCAGTTGCCTCCTTGAAAAAGCACCTTTGGGACAACCCAGACCTGGATGACTAAGGATCTCCATAGACATTTCGGGAAATGATTGAAGCCTGGGAAAAGGGCCCTTTGTCAGTCAACAGGAGTGACTTATCTAGTTCTTAGGAGTCAAGAGTTTGGCAGCCCAAGGAAACAACAGCCCGTTGCAAGCCATCAATACACCAATCAACCGACAGAACATAGAACAATAGAGATGGAAGGGACCTTGGAGGTCTTCTAGTCCAACTCCCTGCTCCAGCAGAAGACCCTATACCAGTGGTTCTCAACCTTTTTAATGCCGCGACTCCTCAACCGGTCGTACGTCGAGGACTACTCAACCGGTCGTACGTCGAGGACTACTCAACTGGTGCAGCACCGTTTGCAGACTGGGACTTTTGGCGGGCTCAGCAGGGCAGAGACAGCCTGGACAATTCCTATTGGCTTTTGAAAGCCAATAGAATTAGACTCTATTCAAGAGAGTCAATTCTATTGGCTTTCAAAAGCCAATAGAATAAAAGGGAGGAGCACAGCTAAGGAAAAGGGGGGGGAAATGGCGGACTGCGTTGTTTGGCGATCCCCGTGAAATGGTCGTTCGACCCCAAATGGGGTCCCGACCCGCAGGTTGAGAACCGCTGCTCTACTAGCAGCACAAGATGGTGCCTAGGACAGAATTGTCCAACAGTGGCCTTCATTTTGCGAAGGGGTCAAAGAGCTTTGTTAAAGATGCTTGTGCCTAAAGCTTAAACTCTGTAAACTGTAGATAACAGGTACCTTGCTAACATAGATGTGTTCTGAATACGTAATTTCTTTCCTTTGGTATTCTTCCAGCTCTCTGCATGAACGAAGAAGCGTGAATGGTTTAAGTTTCCCTTCTTCTGAGGATTGCATTTCAGAAAACAGTGAGTAAAATTTTGTGACCAATTGTAATTCGTGCCGGAAAAGTGATCTTAAATGCCTTATTTGGGGAATTTAGAATGTCAAAAGGCCGTAATTATAAAGAAAGGGTTTTATAGATGCTGAAGTTGAACATCTTATAGTGTGTTTTGTTTTTGTTTTTTTTAAAAAAAGAAGGAAGTAATGTTTCCAACCGGTAGCACAGATCGTGACACATTTTCAGGGTAAGAAAAGGTAGAGTGTGATGGTGTATTTATTTCCTGTAAAAAGCAGCAGTCTTTCCATCATTGGAACGCGAATGCATTTTCTTGCAGAGGCAATGTGTAAATGTTGCTTTACCGTGTGATAGAAAAGAATATATTTAGCTCAAGTTTGAACTGTGAGGTCCTTGGTGCTCTTTGAGCTTGGTGGTTTTCTTGCAGACGTTTCACGACCTAACTAGGTAACGTCATCAATGCTAGAACTTATTATTACATACTAGTCTAGTAATGAAATATCTGCAACAAAACAGCCAAGCTTAGAGGCTGCTACTCCTCCTCCTCCCCTCCTCCTCCACCTCCTTCTCCTCCCCTCCTCCTCCCCTTCCTCCCCCTCCTCCCCCTTCTCACCACCTCCACCGCCTCCTCTCCTCCTCCTCCTTCACCTCCTCCACTACCTATCATCCCTTTCTCCTCCCCTTCTTCCCCTCCTCCCCCTCTCCACCACCACCTCTCCTCCTTCCCTCCTCTCCCCTTCTCACCCTCCTCCCCCACTTCCTCCTCCTCCTCCCCACCACCTCCTCTCCTCCTCCTCAACCTCCTCCACTACCTCCTCATCCTCCCCTTCTCCTCCTCTTCCTTCCCCTCTTCCCCCTCTCCACCACCTCCTCTCCTCCTTCCCTCCTCTCCTCTCCCCTCCTCCTCCCCCTCCTCCACCACCTCCTTTCCTCCTCCTCAACCTCCTCATCCTCCCCTTCTCTTCCTCCCCCTCTTCCCCTCCTCCCCACCTCCACCACCTCCTCTCCTCCTTCTCCTCCCCCTCCTCCACCATCTCCTCTCCTCCTCCTCAACCTCCTCCACTACCTCCTCATCTTCCCCTTCTTCTCCTCTTCCTCCCCCTCTTCCCTTCCTCCCCACCTCCCCTTTCTCCCCGTCCTCCCCCCCTCCTCACCATCTCCTCTCCTCCCCCCTCCCCTTCCCTCTCCTCCCCTCCCCCTCATTTTCTGACCTGAAGTACATCCCCATCACAAGCCTCTCTCTGCTGACTCACACCTGGCCCATTACAAGACCCTCACTTGACACATTCCCATACCTGAAGCCCTGATATAAGTAGAACACCAACACTGACCCAGCCTGGTAACCAGATGTCCGGAAACCAACCCACAAGCTCGGAGAGCGGACCATCACCCTGGTTTCATTTCCTAAAATGAATTAAATTGCTTGAAACGCCTCTCTCTAGTGTCCCTTCGTAGAAAAGAAATTCTCACCCAGAATTCAAAACGTTGGCCGTTCTCACACATCCCCCTTTTCATATTTTATATGATCAACCGTAAAAAGTAACTTTGACTGGTCAGTCAATGCACGGTTGTAAATCAAGGACTTCCAACAACTAGAAGGCAAGGAAAGAACCTGACGGTTGAAATGACGCAATAAGTTGACTTCCTAGTAGGTCTTTTTTCTTCCCCATGCCTTCCACAATTTTTGAAGTCTCTAAGGTGGAGAAACATGACCTTTTTTTTTTTTTTTGTAAAAATTTTTATTTCAATTTTCAATACAGTTAGTACTTTCAATACGTGATATAAAAAAAAGAAAAAAGAAAAATACCTTTAAAATAAAACCTTAGGTGTCGCTCGTCTATCTCCCCCCCCCACTGCGTCCACCCTCTCAACCTTTCTTCCTACTTCCCTACTCCCTCTCTCCTTATCTCCTCTCTCCCCTCATCCCTTCCTCCCATCCTACTTCCTTCCATCCCTTCTTCCTCCCCTCTCATCCCTCTTCAGATACAGTTCAGGGGAAATATCTATTTTATACATTAATATTTCTATATATCTAACCTACTTAATCCCACCCATCCCCTCCCGCTCTACCCCCCCCACCCCGCTTCCCGGAATAAAATACAGGGTTATTGTAAACAAAACAAACACAAGCTATAACTTTTAAAACAAAAAAATAATACAATAAACAAATTCATACTTAACCCTTAACTCCCTCTAAACTTTAAAAATAATAATATAAACAAATCTACTATAAATCAAATATTATAAAATTCTATAAATAATAATTATTACATCAAGAAAAAAATTAATCATAAAATAAAGGGAACTTTAAAGTTCCATATTTATTCTGAATGTAATCTATCCGCCTTCTCCACACTGTAATAAATTTTTCTGGTGTATGATCCTTTAAATAAGCAGAAATCTTTGCCATTTCCACTAAAGTAGAAACCTTAAGTATCCATTCTTCTAAAGTAGGCAGTGAATCCTTCTTCCAATATAAACCTATGAGTAACCTTGCTGCAGTTATTAGATTCAACATTAAAATAGTTTCATTAACATCTAAATCCATAAAAATACCCAATAAAAATAATTGAGGAGTAAACTTTATCTTCTTTTTAAAATTTAAAATTCTTTCTAATGTAGTAGGAAAATGTACTGTGCAGCATAAAATGTTCCAAGAAGGCAGTTCCTGAATTCAGATGGGATCGAATGCAAAGTTTTCAGCCGGGCCTGTTGCTTGAGGTTTGCTAACATCCTAACTATAAGATGCACAGCAATTGGCCTTGGCTGATTTCAAAGAAAGCTGAGCAGGTTCAGACCTGGTTAGTGTGGGTGGAATGAGGATTAGCAGGAAACCACACTAGCTAGTCTAGCCTGGCAGAGGTAAATGCCTCTTCTCAGCAACTTCTATATTGTTGCTAAGAAATGTCAGACAGATGTGACCTTGATGTGAAGGAGATGCTATCAATCAATCAGAATAGAGCTGGAAGGGACCTTGGGGGGGGGGTCTTCCAGTGCAACCCCCTGCTCAAGCAGGAGACCGCTATGCAATTTGAGACAAGGGGCTGTCCAGTCTCTTCTTAAAAACTTCCAGGGATGGAACATCCACAACTTCTGAAGGCAGGCTGATCCACTGGTTATCATGTCATCCCTAGTCCTTCTTTTCTCTAGACTGGCCGTACCCAATTCTTCATGTGTTTTAGTCTCGTGGCCTTTCATCATCCTAGTTGTTCTTCTCTGTGCTTTTTCCAAAGTCTCAACATCTTTTTTGTAGTGTGGTGAGCAAAACTGGGTGCAGTATTCCAGGTGGGGCCTTACTCAGACTTTATAAAACGGGACTAACACTTCACGTGGTTTTGATTCTATGCCTGTGTTTATACAACCCAGGATTGTATTAGCTTTGTTGGCTGCTGCCACACACGGCTGGCTCATATTTAAGGGATCGTCTACTACAGTGGTTCTCAACCTTTTTAATGCTGTGACCCCAACCTGTCATAAGTCGAGGACTACTCAACCGGTCGTAAGTCGAGGACTACTCAACTGGTACAGCACCGTTTGCAGAATGGGACTTTTGGCGGGCTCAGCAGGGCAGAGACAGCCTGGACAATTCCTATTGGCTTTTGAAAGCCAATAGAATTAGACTCTATTCAAGAGAGTCTATTCTATTGGCTTTCAAAAGCCAATAGAATAAAAGGGAGTAGCACAGCTAAGGAAAAGGGGGAAAAAATGGCGGACTGCATTGTTTGGCAACCCCCGTGAAATGGTTGTTCGACCCCAAATGGGGTCCCGACCCACAGGTTGAGAACCACTGGTCTACTAGGACTCCAAGGTCCCTCTCACAGTTACTGTTTTTGAGCCAGGTTTTGCCTAATCAGTACTTCTACCTTTGGTTTTTTTTTCCTGCCTAAGCTTAAAATCTTGCTTTGCTCCACATTAAATTTCATTTTCTTGGATGGGGCCCACTGTTCCTTTTTTTTTTTTAAATAATTTTTTCCAAACTCTCCCCCATACATGTACCGTGATATTTATCAGATATTAATATACATTCTTTTAACATTCATATATAATATACTTTTAATAAAATGAAATAAATACATACACATGACTTTTGGCGTTGCTCGCCCATTTCCCCTTTCACTGTATCCACACTCCTTCTTCTCTTCCTTCCTTTCTTCTCTTCCCTACTTTCCTCTTCTTCCTCTCCTCTTCTCTTTCCTTCACCACTCTCCTCCCCTTCCTCCCCACTTCTCCTCTTCTCCTGCAACCTTCCTTCTCCCCTCCTTTACTCTTTTCTCTCTCCTCTCCTTTCGTCCCTTTCATCCCTCTTCAGATACAATTCAGGGGTAATGTCTGAGCAACTCCTCTCTCCAAATTTCCCTAGCTGTATTATATACAATAAGATTAATTTTCTCTTACATTAATACTTCTATTTATCTAACCTTCTTGGTATATACTTCCATAAATATTTATACAACCTCCAGTTATTCAATACTGTGTCTCCTGGGTCTCCTTCTTTATCTGCCCCTCCTTCTTCCATCTAAATTGATGTTAACTAGCTGTTCTTATTAGCATTGTGTTTTGTGGGAAGAGGTGAACCTGGGCAAAATCTGACCCTCCTGTTTGAGGACATCTTTGCCTCTGCAAATGGGATTACTTATAAGACTTAATTTTTATTTTTTTTTGCATTGCAAACACAGACAGTAAAGTGAATGCAGCCCTTGCTGTTGGAAGACTGATCTGATCTGATTAAATAGATGCTTGCTGGGTTTTTAGCTCAACTAATTAAGAGGGAAGGGCAAGTTTCGACAGCTTTGCCCGGCCGATCTGAAAACTGACATGTTGCCTGTCTGCAATTTAGAGACATCGCTTTGTCTTGCTTGCAACTTCAAACATAGAGGTGTGGATTTTATTATTATTTTTTTTAACTTTAGTTCGTCAACAGAAAGGAAGGAAAAGATTAAAAGGGGCAAAAAAGAGAGAACAGAATAAAACAATAGCATGCATGATATGCGCAGAAGGTCTTCTCCCAGGTGACTATAAGGAAAACAATTCCTTGTGGCAGTTTCAATAAAGGATTATTCATATTTCGCTGGGATCATCCATAAATAATCTGTGTTCATAAGCAAATCATTTATGTGTTGCAAGTAATATCAGATCTATAATCTGCTGAGCAATGGGTGTCATCGATTTATCTTGTCCACATTGAAGTTAGAAAGGCGTAGGAAATCCATTTCTGTTTTCCAGATATTTGGGAATATGGTCATCCCCAAATACTTAAACCTTGTTTCAAAGCCAAGTTAATAAATGCAATTACTTCTTCCTGGAATGTGCCGACTTTAGGCCTTGCAAAATCCTATGTTTGGATGGAGCACTGTTCTGGAAAGAGTGCAGAGAAGAGCAAAAAAATAAAATAAAAATGATTAGGGGGCTGGAGGCTAAAACCTACGAAGACCGATTGCAGGAATTGGGTATGTCTAGTCCAGGGGTTCTCAACCTTGGCAACTTTAAGACTTGTGGACTTCAACTCCCAGAATTCCTCAGCCAGCAAAGCAAAGCTGGCTGAGGAATTCTGGGAGTTGAAGTCCACAAGTCTTAAAGTTGCCAAGGTTGAGAACCCCTGGTCTAGTCTAATGAAAAGAAGGACTAGAGAGGACATAACAGTCTTCCAGTATTTGAGGGGATGACGGAAAGTGTCAAATTATTTTCCAAAGCACCAAAAGACAAGACAACAAGGGAAGGAAACTAACCAAAGAGAGAAGCAACCTAGAACTAAGGAGAAATTTCCTAGCAGAGAGAACAGTTAACCAGTGGAACAGCTTGCCACCAGAAGTTGGGGGTGCTTCAACACTGGAGGCTTTCAAGAAGAAACTGGACAGCCGTTTATCTGAAAAGGTAGACCGGTCTCCAGCCTAAGCAGGGGGTTGGACTAGATGACCTCCAAGGTCCCTTCCAATTCTGTTATCCTATGTTTTTACTGCATTTGAAGCAGTGCAGTAGTTTATTTATTCCTTTGGCGTTCAGACACAATAGGATCCACAAAGTCCCATATATATTTACGGAGGTGAACGAATGCCAGAAATTGAGTGCAGTTGGCACATTAGGGCAAATGCAAGCCAGGATTTTTCTGCAGGTCAGAACTGATGTTTAGTCACAAAGGACCAGGTGTCAGAGATAAGGGGTGATGCCCTGAGCATGTCTGTCTGTTTTATTTTCCCAGGAGAACTAGCTGAAGGAAAACCACCTCCCATTTCTCCTTATGGTGAGACCTTCCTTGTGAATTCTCACGAAGAGATGGTGAGTTGTTTACTATCCAGAAGTCTGCAGTTGCATTCTAGTAATGGCAAAGTGGTTGAATGTAAGGGAGAGTGAGAGCAAGAGCGAGGGGGAGAAAAAAAAAAAGAGAGAGAGAGAGAGAAAAAATCCCAGGAAGGAAGGAAGGAAAGGAAGGAAGGGAGGAAGGAAGGGAATGGAGGGAGAAGAAGGAAGGAAGGAAGAAGGGGAATGGAGGGAGAAGAAGGGAAGAAGAAGGGAAAGAAGGAAGGAAAGAAGGAAGGAAGAAGTGGAATGGAGGGAGAAGAGGGAAGGAAGGAAGGAAGGAAGGAAGGAAGGAAGAAGGAATGGAGGGAGAAGAGGGAAGGAAGGAAGGAGGGGAATGGAGGGAGAAGAAGGAAGGTAGAAGAAGGGAAGGAAGGAAAGAAGAAGGGGAATGAAGGGAGAAGAGGGAAGGAAGGAAGGAAGGAAGGAAGGAGGGGAATGGAGGGAGAAGAAGGAAGGAAGAAGGGAAGGAAGGAAGGAAAGATGGAAGGAAGGAAGGAAGGAAGGAAGGAAGGAAGGAAGGGCAATTGCAACAGCACTTAGACTTATATACCGCTTCAAAATGCTTTACAGCCCTCTCTAAGCGGTTTACAGAGTCAAACCTTTGCCCCCATTAATCTGGGTCCGCATTGGGCAAAACCCACTTAAGAAATGTCTTGCCTAGTGACAGAAATTTGGGATTCAGTTGTGGCCATAGGTCAAGGACTACCTGTAGTGTCGAAACCAGGACAAGACAAGACACAATCCTCTCCACCTGTAGGCAGCTTTAGACACAACATACTGTATATGCAGAGAGGTCTGCCTTAATTTTGACGTAGACAGGAACATGTAAACCCATTTGTTTGCTTATGTAGAAGACCGAAGGAAAACATAGTGCAAGACACAAACGGCAGATAATTTTTGTGAGGCTCTTTTGGAAAGTCTGGAGGATCCCGTTAACGAAACAGTTTGGAAATTAGAGGAGGGAATTAAACTGGCTGGAACAAGACAAATTTATCTTACTGAAAAATGAGCTTGGATATAAGAGGCAATTTCAATAGAGAATCATCATCAGTTCATGATAAGAAGGATTTTTTTCCCACACCCCTTAAGGTCCAAATAAATACATTTGGGCCATATTAAAGGCCATTCTTGCCTTTAATACCTGCCTGGGTATTAAAATAAAAATTTGCCCGCAGAATGTGTTTTGTTTCTTTAAAAGACAGTTAAATGGCATCCTTCCCCCTCTTAAAAGCGCCTATCCATTTTCAAAAGACGGTTGGGAAAAAAATCAGAATTAATTTACCAGGGCTGTGCCCTGTTTTGTGTAAAGTCCGGGAAGGCATGCACACGCATCACAGGCCCCAACACACCCAGCTGAGCAGCACGTAGCCACACACACATATATGAATGGAATTATTTACTGGTGCCCTAACGAAAGGAGCTTACTCCAGAAAAATATGCATAGGATTACATTCAAATATTCTCCGAGGCTCATATTGCCTAATTGCAACATTGCAACAGCTGAAACAGCAAAGCTGCATTCCTGGAGAGTGTTGGGTTTTTGTTTTGTTTTAATTTGAGACACCCCCCCCCCCATTTAAATCATTCAAGAAATTGGATTCTTTCATAAGTGCACAATGTACAGTTTCCAGTGGATCTAAAACAGTGGTTCTCAACCTTTTTAATGCCGCGACCCCCAACTGGTTGTAAGTCGAGGACTACTCAACTGGTGCAGAATGGGACTTTTGGCAGGCTCAGCAGGGCAGAGACAGCCTGGACAATTCCTATTGGCTTTTGAAAGCCAATAGAATTAAACTGTATTCAAGAGAGTCTATTCTATTGGCTTTGAAAAGCCAATAGAATAAAAGGGAGTAGCACAGCTAAGGAAAAGGGGAAAAAAAATGGCGGACTGCGTTGTTTGGCAACCCCCGTGAAATGGTCGTTCGACCCCAAATGGGGTCCCGACCCACAAGTTGAGAACCACTGATCTAAAAGATAATCTAGCCTGCTTATCTCCAGCGGTGCAGGAATCTACTAATCCAGTGGTGGCGAACCTATGGCACGTGTGCCAGAGGCGGTACTCAGAGCCCTCTCTGTGGGCACACAGGCCATGCCCTGGAGATGGCAACCATCCCTCTTCAACCAGCTACCTGCTAACTTGCTGAGGTCCCACATGGCCTGATGCATCCCAGCACCCATGCACTCGCTGGCCTCTGTGTGCAGAGGTCGATGGCATCAGGCAGCACCTGCCCCTGCCCCACCTTGTCCTGTGACAATGGCACCCCTACCCTGCCTCTCCTTGCCTCACCTCACCCCTGCACCGCCCGACCTGGCAGAGACCCCTGGATCTCCCCCAACCCTGCCCGGTCCCCACAGGCGTCCCTCCCCACGAGCAACATCAAGGTGATCACACTCACATTGATCACACCCACCCAATCTGCCATGACCAGCACAGCTACGCCCACCTGGCATCCGGCGATAAATAAGTGGGTTTTGCAGTTTGGGCACTCGGTCTCTAAAAGGTTCGCCATCACTTTACTAATCCCTCCTTCCTGATCATTTTAGTTGAGTTCTAAACAGTGGCAGTGAATGGATAGTAAAAGGGATAGGAGCAAAACCCAGATATATGTGCAAAGCTCCCAACGGGGTGATGACTAAGCCAGCTAATCGGTTCACACCTAGTGTAAAGAAAAGGCAAATTTTGTCACAAACTGAGTTCCTGTGTTCGTGATGACTTACAGCGTCCGTCCGATAAGGTTTCCCGGCTGATGTGAGTGTTGTAACTGATGAGAAGAACACTAAGAATAGAGACCTCGGCGTCGGAGGCCACGTAACCCCTCCAAACGTAGCCTCACCCCGGTGTGACCTCCGTGCATGTTGTGGTTCTCCACCGCTTCCCCTGTTCAACGTGGCTACTCGGTCACCATGAGGTTGCAGTGCACAGGGTGACCTAATGACAGCCTGCTGACAAATCAGGAATAAGGGAAATTGCCCTGTGGGTTTCGGTGACTCGAAGTGAAACCTTGATGGAGAACGGTTCCCCTTCTCTGCTTCCTCCTTCAGTGGGCCACGCGCCCGTTTAATGTTGGCTCTGTGGGCAGGCGGCATGTTGTCATGATTTGACATCAAACAGAATGAATGGAAGTTGCCCTCCTACTCCAGAATGCCTCATCTTGGTCTGAAGTCAGATGCTGAGATCCTGAAGGAGAGAGAGAGAGAGAGAGAGAGAGGGAGGGATGGAGGGAGGGAGGGAGGGAGGGAGGGAGAGAGAGAGAGAGAGAGAGAGGGAGAGGGAGAGGGAGAAAGAGAGAGAGAGAGCGCTGTTCCGTCTGAGATAAGAGGATATTTAAATAATCTGGCAGGGGATCCTTCAGAAGGCTGAAGGTGTGCCCTGTTTTGAGAGGAAGTTTTTACATCGAGTGAAGTGGGCTCTTTAGGTGCAAGTATGTGCACAGGTGAAGCAACCGAGTTGCAGGAAGAGAATCTATCGAGTGACAGGGGCCACTCCTCTTGAATCATCCAGCCATTTTTGTCTTTCTTTCTTTCCTTCCTTCTTTCTTTCTTTCTGCCTTTTCTTAAGAAATGAGTTGGGAGCTGTATGGCAATAATTAATGAGCCCAAATCAAATAATATTTTCTCCTTCCTTCCTTCTTTCCTTCCTTCCTTCCTTCCTTCCTTCCTTCCTTCCTTCCTTCCTTCCTTCCTTCCTTCCTTTCTTTCTTTTTCTTTCTTTCTTTCTCTCTCTCTCTCTCTTTCTTTCTTTCTTTCTTTCTTTGTTCCTCCCTCCCTCCCTCCCTCCCTTCCTATTCTTTCCTTCCTTCCTTCCTCCTTCCCTTTCTTTCTCTCTCTTTCTTCGTTCCTCCCTCCCTTCCTATTCTTTCCTTCTTTCCCTCCTCCCTCCCTCCCTCCCTCCCTCCCCCCCTCTCTTTCTTCGTTCCTCCCTCCCTTCCCTCCTTCCTCTACCTCTCTCGTATCTCTCTCTTTCTCTATCTATCTACCCTGTCATCTGTGTCATCTCTTAACTCTATGTATCATCTGTGTCTGTCTGTCTGTCTGTCTATCTATCTATCTATCTATCTATCTATCTATCTATCTATCTATCTATCTATCATCTCTATCTCTATGTATTGTCTGTCTGTCTGTCTGTCTATCTATCCATCCATCCATGTATCACATTTTAAAACTTCCCATCTTCTTCACTGAGGGACTCTGGACATCAATGTTGGACCCGAGGCCTAGGCTGTTATCCTTCCAAGGGCAAATGTAGATAGATATATAGTATAGTTTCATGTACAGGTAACAGGTGTAGGTATGTATAGATTGATCTCTTAGTTAGATCCCAGATGTGGACTGTTGAGAAGGAACCTTATACCCCCACTGAGAAGACCAATGTTTGGCCTAGTAGTTAGAAGGCAAGAGTCAAGTCCCACCTTAGACATGAAAACCAGCTGGGTGACTTTGGGCCAATCACCAGGAGACGGTGAGTTCTAATCCTATATGAGCATGAAAGCCAGCTGGTTGACCTTGGGCCAGTCACTCTCTCTCAACCCAGGCCACCTCAAAGGGTCGATCTGCCAATCTATCAACTTTGAAGACTTGCTTAGATGTTTCCCTTGCAGAGAATACAAATATCAGCATAAATGCAAATGTCAGTTATTCCTTAGATTGCTCATTACGAATGAAGGATATATCATAAGCCTTGTTTTATAAGTGCCTTTTTAAGAGGTGGGGATAATGGGTGGATGTAATAAGCTAAACACCAGGGCGAATGCCTTAAGTTTGCCTAGCTCTCTATTTGTTCACTCACTGAATCTATTTTCCCAGGAAATCTACAACACCGAATCTTCAGAGGTGTCAGAAGAGAAGAAAAGGACTCCAAGCAAAACAGGGTATTGGATTAAAAAATGCAGAATTGTAAAAAAAAACCAAATCTATTTCCGATTAACATATTGTTGTTAGTTGCGAAGTTGTGTCCGACCCATTGCGACCCCATGGACAATGTTCCTCCAGGCCTTCCTGTCCTCTACCATCTTCTGGAGTCCATTTAAGCTCACGCCTACTGCTTCACTGACTCCATCCAGCCACCTCATTCTCAGTCGTCCCCTTCTTCTCTTGTCCTCCATCTTTCCCAGCATTAGGCTCTTCCCCAGTGAGTCCTTCCTTCTCATTAGGTGGCCAAAGTACTTGAGTTTCAACTTCAGGATCTGGCCTTCTAAAGAGCAGTCAGATTAACATATTACACACTAATTATAAACGAGTCTCTCCAGGCTACCGCCTCATCCAGGCCTTGCCACGTCCCACGATGAGGGACATGGCAAGAAATGTTCTTTCTGTAGATTCAGGATTGAGCCCAAAATGTAGGTTGCTACGTGAGAAACGTGTTCATTGAGTTGTGCCTCATTTTATGACTTTTCCTCGCCACACTTCTGAAGGGGGAATCACTGCAGCTCTTAAATTAGGAACACGGTTGTTCAGTCAATGGGGTTTCCCCGTTGACTTTGGTCACCAAGGCTGGATTAGAAGATACTAAGGTCCCTTCCAGTCCTAGGATTCTATGATTCTGTGACTCGCAGGGCTTCAGGTAGAACCCAAAACAAGTACAGTAAATAAACAACCCACATAGTGACGCCTCAGTAAAGAAATAGCCATTTCTAGACTTTGCTAATAGGAACAAAGTCACCTTCCGCATTGCGGCCCGGATGTTGTTCTCTTCTTCTGGAGCTCATTTCTAAGTGTCTGGTAAGAAGGAAGGAAGGAGATCAGCATCTGTTTTGTTATGTTTGGGTTAGGGGAGGTGTGCTTACATTTTTATGCCAAGTTAAAGGAAAGAAGCAACAGGATGCCTGCTGCTAATTCAGTTTCCTCCAAGGGACATGGGCTGAAATAACCACATGCATTTGTTAGCTTCTTGTGTTTTTTGAGCTGGCTTCTCTTCCTGTGGACATTATCCGGCTAGGTAATTATCATCAGTTTCTGATCCAGCTAATGAAACATCTTCAGATTATTTCAAGGAATGCTAAGAACACAACCGTTCAACTATACTGTGTTTTCCACAAGGGCAATCTTATCTACGTGTTTCCTTGAATTTCTCTTCTGGAAGCGTTAACAATATGATAGTGGAGTCTGGCTAATGCTAAAGCTCTCTTCTCTTTGTCAGGGACAAAACATTTGATAAGATATTTGGGTGAAACAAACCGTCTTCCTGGAATGGCTAAGTTGTAGAATTTTGGAATATAGCTTGGATGTTTTTTTTGTAGGCTTAAGTCAAGAATCCACTGTTTTACTCCCATCGCTGATTGCCTCTAGCTGACGAAGACCAAATACTTTGTAGAAAATCCATAACATCTTAAATGAGACTTTGATTTCAGTTAGTTTTCTTACAAAGTCATGGCTAATGCAGGACTTCCAAAGAAAATTAGTTGGAGCGAAGATGGTCGAGTCAAAATTGGACTGCTAACGAATTCTTAGGAGTCTGGACTGAGCCTCACGGCCACAGATCTAGATACCACAGGTTAATATGGTCAGGAAAGATTACCTCCAATTCCAACTTTCCTTCTTGCCTACTCTTTTGAGTTGTGTTTTGGTGAAGCGAGGCTAAAGTGGTCCGAGACGCTCACCCTTAATAAGTGGTCCAGATAAAAATTTGTGCAGCTGAAAGAGCAGCTCAGTGGGATTCTGCTGGCTGTATATTTCTCATCAATCTCTTTTTATTTTGACGGTGACACTGGCTACCCTGTGTAAAAAAATTTTGCACAGTGAAAAGTAGAAAAAAGGCACCTTTCATTTTTTCCAATTTTTTTCGTTTCATTTTAAAGAAAAGATTTTAAATGGGAAAAGTTCCTGGGTATAACAGAGCTTGCATTTTGTTTGTTTGTTTATTTATTTATTTATTTATTGTCAGTACAAGTACCCAGAGCCACATGTGAATTGCTTAGACCAGCAACTTCATTGACTTCCACCTATATTACAAGAATCTCCCCAAGACTGCTTGCTTTCTCCTGGGAATAATCAGATAAAGTTTCATGGAACTTAGCAAAGGGAAGGGTCGGGCTTATGTCTGTTGCAGCTGCAGAAGGAGTCAAGGCTAGTTCCCCACCTGAACTTACCTGGCCAGGTTTAATGTTTATTTATCAAATTTTGAAACCGCCCATGTCCTTCACAGAGGCACTCTGGGTTTTCATTTCATTTTAAAGAAAAGACTTTAAATGGGAAAAGTTCCTAGGTATAACAGAGCTTGCATTTTGTTTGTTTGTTTGTTTATATTTATTTATTAATTAAAAAGTTTTATTAGATTTTATAAGATTAGGGATAGAATGGGATCAGGGTTGGGGTTAGGGTTTAATTTGGGGTTGGGATCAGGATTAGGGTTTGTGTGGGGTTGGGGAGAGGATTGGGGTTATCCCCCAATAACATGTTCAATATTTAGCAAACAGGATATTGTCTGGGTACATGTATTTAGATAACAGTAATTAATATAGGCCATGGTTTTCCCAGTTGCAATGTGAAAGTTGGACCATAAGAAAGGCTGAGCGCCAAAGAATGGAGGCCTTTGAACTCTGGTGCTGGAGAAGACTCCTGCGAGTCAGCTGGACTGCAAGGCAATTCAACCAGTCAGTCATAGAGGAGATCCACCCTGACTGTTCTTTAGAAGGCCAGATCCTGAAGTGGAAACTAAAATACTTTGGCCACCTCATGAGAAGGAAGGATTCACTGGAGAAGGGCCTAATGCTGGGAAAGATGGAGGGCAATAGAAGAAGGGGATGACAGAGAATGAGGTGGCTGGATGGAGTCACTGAAGCAGTAGGTGTGAACTTAAATGGACTTCAGAAGTTGGTGTAGGACAGGAAGAGCTGGAGGAATGTTGTCCATGGGGTCGCGATGGGTCGGACACGACTTCGCAATTAACAACAACAATTAATATAGTAATAGATAGCAATAGCAATAGTAAATACGATTAATTATCATAAACAGCATTAATTAATCAGTCTACAACATCCTTCTTATTAATATATATTCAGAGTTACCTATCACCTTCCTTTCTCTCTAATTCGTTTTTATAGCCATTGATAAAAGTTATCCCATGTTCTAAAATACATGTAATATCAAATATCCGCTCTCCTTCTCATAGTTAGCTCCTATTATTCCTAACAAGAACAATTCTGGTTTAAAATCTATCTGTTTTTTTAGTCATCTTCTCCAACCATACATATTACATCGTGGTGACCAAAACTGGATGCAGTATTCCAAGTGTGGCCTTACCAAGGCCTTGTAAAGTGGTATTAACACTTTACGTGATCTTGATTCTAGCCCTCTGTTATTGCAGCCTAGCACTGTGTTGGCTTTTTTGGGAGCTGCAGCACACGGCTGGCTCCTATTTAAGTGATTGTCCACTAGGACTCCAAGATCTCTCTCACAGTTGCTACTATTGAGCAAGGTACCCCCTATACTATACCTGTGCATTTGGTTTTTATTGCCTAAATGTAGACCCTTACTATTTCCACCCTTCAATTTCATTTTGTTAGATAGCATCCAGGGTTCAAGTCTATCTGGATCCTCCTGTATCTTAAGCCTGTCTTCTGGAGTATTGGCTATTCCTGCCAGCTTGATGTATCTGCATATCTGATAAGTTCCCCATCTATCCCCTCATCCAAATCATTGATGAAGATTTTGAAGAGCACTGGGCTCAGTTCACCCGCTAATCCTAGAGCTGTGGGTTTGATGGGAAGGTCGAAAGCAAGGACAGATCCCTTGTGTTTTAATCAGCAGGAAAATCACACCACAAAAGCACCAGCATCTCTTTGGAACCAAATGGGTTTCTGGAAGTAACATTATCTTTTTTTTCTCCTCTCTTTTTTTTTTTAAAATTCTTCAGTTTGGCTACTAGTAATCAAAATGCGAAAACCGCCGAAAATGTAAAAGAGCCTGAATTAGCATCCCAAGGAGACCAAAGTCCCTTTCCGAAGAGATTTGTCGGTGAAGCCGAATCCGCTTTATTGAAAGAATGTTCTCGCTACGCTTGGAGAGGGAAATATAAACCTGCAAAGGGCCTCGGAGAATTCAAAAGTGGAAGTCTGGATCTGGATGCTAAAGACCAGATGTTTTCTTCCCCTGCTGATTGTGATGATGAATTAGTCCCCGACTCCAAAGACACAATCACACCTTATGCCTGCTTTTACGCTCCGGCAGCAAAGAAGGTTAAAGAAGGATGGCTGGATAAACTATCTCCTCAAGGGTACGTAGCTGAAGAAGAGTCAACAATCAGATTTTACAGACTATAGAGAGCCAGTTTGGTCTACTTGGTTGAGGCACCAGGCTGGAAACTGGGTGACAGTGAGTTCTAGGACCACCTTGGGCAGGAAGGCAGATTGGGTGATTTTTGAGTCAATCATGCATGAATGCTGGCTAGTTAATTATGGGTCAATCATCAGTATCACTAAAGGAATGAAAGTGACTTTTATTAATCACCAGGAGACGGTGAATTCTAGCATCCCCTTAGGCATGAAAGCAGCTAAGTGACTTTTGGTCAATCACCAGGAGATGGTGAGTTCTAGTCCAGCCTCAGGCATGAAAGCTGGCTAGTTAACTATGGGTCAATGACTAGGAGATGGTGAATTCTAGTATTGCATTAGGCATGAAGGCAGCTAAGTGCTTGTTAAAAAGCTTCAATCACATGATTCTGGCCAATATGTGTTCCGCATCTCCCTGAAGGTGTGATGTCGCAACCCCTTTATTGTGAAGGTTGAATAACGAGAGGAAGTCTTTGGCTGTTTTTGCCTTCTGTAGACCTCACTGACTAGACGGGACAGGAACATTGTCTAGTAGTTCCCCTCCTCCCTCCCTCCCTCCTCCCCTTCTCCTCCCCTCCTCCTCCTCCCTTTCCTTGTCCTCCTCCCCCTTCTCCTCCTCCTCCTCCTCCTTTTTTCAAATTGCTTTTGACTTTCTTCCCATGTAGGAAGCATGTTTTTCAGAAACGCTGGGTGAAGTTTGATGGCGAAAGCATGGCTTATTATAATAACGACAAGGTAAGTCTGTTTGCGTTAAATAGTATACATTCCACTCTGTGCAACCTATCAGGGTGGACTTAGCCATAGACAACTACTTACACAGAGGTAGCAATGTCGCTCATGAGCTAATCCTCATTCTCCCTGAAGGGACAAGACAGTTATTAGATGGCGACAGCAAGGAATATGAACTAACCTTAACCCTTCCTCCCTCACTCTCTCCCTTCCTTCCTCTCCTCCCCGCTCCTCTCTCCTCCTCCTTCCTTCCTTCCTCCCCTCCTCCCTCCCCTCCCCTCCTCCCTCCCCTCCCCTCCTCCTTCCTTCCTTCCTCCCTCCCCCCCTCCCTCCTTCCTTCCTTCCTTCCTTCCTTTCCTTCCTTCCTCCCTTCCTCTCCCCTCCTCCTTCCTTCCTTCCTCCCCTCCTCCCTCCCCTCCCCTCCTCCTTCCTTCCTTCCTCTCCTTCCCCCTGCCCTCCTCTCCCCTCCTCCTTCCTTCCTCCCCGCCTGCCTCCCCTCATCTCCTCTCCTTCCTTCCTTCCTCCCCTCCTCCCTCCCCTCACCACCTCCTTCCTTCCTTCCTTCCTTCCTTCCTTCCTTCCTTCCTTCCTTCCTTCCTTCCTTCCTTCCTTCCTTCCTCCCCTCTCCCCTCCCCTTCCTTCATTCCTTCCTTCCTCTCCTTCCCCCTCCCTCCTTCCTTCCTTCCTTCCTTCCTTCCTTCCTTCCTTCCTTCCTTCCTTCCTTCCTCTCTCTCCCTCCCCCCTTCATTCTTCCTCTTCCCCTCCCTCCTCCTTCCTTCCTTCCCTTCCTTCCTTCTCTCTCCCCTCCTTCCTTCCTTCCTCTCCTTCCCTCCTCTCCCTCCCTTCCCTCCCTTCCTCCTTCCTTCCTTCCTTCCCTTCCTTCCTCCTCCCCTCTCTCCTTCTTCTTCATTCCTTCCTCTCCTTCCCCCTCCCCTCCCCTCTCTCCTCCTCCTTCCTTCCTTCCTCCCTCCCCTCCCCCCCTCCCTCTTCTTCTTCCTTCCTTCCTCCCCTCCTCTCTCCCCTTCTTCCTTCATTCCTTCCTTCCTCTCCTTCTCCCTCCCCTCCTCTCCTCCTCCCTTCCTTCCTTCCTTCCTCCCTCCCCTCCCTCCTTCCTTTCCTTCCTTCTTCCTTCCTTCTTCCTTCCTTCCTCTTCCTTCCTTCCTCCCTTCCCCTCCCCTCCTCCTTCCTTCCTTCCTTCCTTCCTCCCCTCCTCCCTCCCCTCACCCCCTCCCTCCCTCCTTCCTTCCTTCCTTCCTGCCTTCCTTCCTTCCCTCCCTCCCTCCCTCTCTCCCTCCCTCTGGCAAAATTTCTACTGCAGGCCAGCTCTCTTCTGCCTTGTGTCTACCTATCACAACTCCCTTGCTACATTTCAGCAGGGAATCGCTCACTCTTCTGTTGCTTACCGAGAAGCTCTCCTGAGCTTTGACTTCACACCTCTTTCTCTAAATTACTCCTACGCTTTGCTCTCCCCTGGCCCTCCGAACCCAGGGGATCAAACGCTCATTTCTTTTTCTTTTCAGACTGAAAGTGACACCGTTTCCCTTCTTTCCTTTAAGGATGGATTTGGAAGGCCGGCTGTGTAGTAAGATAATAAGGGTTCACCCTGACCGATTCGAAGCTTTCATTTTTGGATAGAAGCTGCTTAAAAAAAAAAAAAGAATGGAGGATTTAGGAGCCAGTAAAAGGAAAAGAACACAGCGGCGGTGCTAGTAAATAGACAGCGACTGCAATATCTTATCTAGTCAGTAGATGCCTGTAGATGCCAGGATATAATTTCTGGATGGGGAAAAAAAAAAAACAGCCATGAATTTTGCAACAGAGTTAGATCATTGTGGTGAAATGGATAGAAATATCCTCTGTAGGCACCTGATTGCATCTAAAAAAAAAAAAAAAGAGCATATCAGAATGTGATTGAATGTAAACATGCAGCTGTTTTTTTTTTTTTTTAACCAGCGAGAAATATTGCAGGGAATGTTTTGTGCAACCGTACAACAAACACCTCCAGGAAATAAGACACTCTCGTCGTTGGAATCTTTGTAGCATTTCCTGGTTTCTTTCACGGTCAGATAGTCCTGGACTTACACCAGTTCATTTAGTGTCCCTTCAGAGTCACAACATAGCTGAAAAAAAGGGACTTACGGCCGTTTTTCCACACTTACAACCATTGCCACCTCTCTCCCCCCCTTGTGATCGAAATTCAGACACTTGGCCACTGACATGTGTTTATGACGGTCGCAGCGTTCCCCCAGGGTCACGCGATCCCTTTTTATGACCTTCCAACGAGCAAAGTCAGTGGGGAAGCCGGTTTCACTTAACTAACGGTGTTACTAACTTAAGAACGTCGTGTGTTTCACGTGACAACTGCGGGAAGAAAAGTTGTCAAATAGGACAAAACTCACTTAACAAATGCCTCCCTTAGCAAGGTAAATGTTGGGCTCGCTTGTGGTCATTAACTGAGGACTACCTGTACACAGTCATTCTGTTTATTGACCCTTGATAGTGGAATTTGCAGTAGCTTGTCTAGGAACGGGCAGACTTTTGCGTTTTGTCAAAGGGACCCTTGTATGCAAGCCAGCTTTTCTCTTACTTTCGATCTAGGACATTTACTCCAAGGGCATAATTCTTCTGTCAGCGATAGCTACCGTCCGGATGCACGGAGACAACAAGTTTGAAGTAGTGACGGCGCACAGAATATTCGTCTTCAGGGCTGAGAAGGAAGGTGAGGCTCGTTCCCGGCCAGGGTGGGGACGGTGGGGACGACGGTCTCGCGCGTCCTTCGGCTCAGCTGGAACAACCAGCCAGCGGAACGGTCGTCGCCTCCAGAAGTTGTGGGTTCTTCAACGCTGGACGTTTTTGAGATGAGATTGGACCACCGTTTTGTCTGAAATGGTGTAGGGTTTCCTGCTTGAGCAGGGGGTTGGACTGGAAGACCTCCAGGGTCCCAAAGTTCCAAAGAACTTCCAGACATTTATTTTCCTAAAAGTCTTTTATTGTTACAAAATGTTGGCACAGGCACAATGGAGGGATGCTAGGATCTAAGTTCTCTTCCTCTGAGCAGTTAAATTATCAGCATGTTCCCTCCCTAAATTAGCCCTCATATCTCACATTATCCAATTAGTGTGAAGGTCAAAGGTTTTCTTCCTCTTTCTTTCCCAGGCTTTACGCCCAATCCCCCTTCTGCTCTGTATTAACCCCATATTTACCAGACAATTCTACATATTGTCAAAAGCAAGAATATACAATATTTGCAGCGTTGACACCAGCTCTATTCTGATCGATTGATAGATTTCTGAGGATACGTTTCTGGCTGCGGAGAATTTGATTCTTTTTTTTTCTTCTTCAGAGCAGGGGGTGTCAAATTCAGGGTCTCTGGGTCACTTCGGGGACAGAGAAAGCAGAAGCTTTTAGAATTGTATAGCATGGGGTTGAAATTTTCAACAAACGAGGAGAATTGTATACATGGGTTTCTTTTAATAGAGATGCCCGTGTTTTCTTTAATACTGTAAATCTGACAGTTCCCCCTAGGACAGTGATGGCGAACCTTTTAGAGACCGAGTGCCCAAACTGCAACCCAAAACCCACTTATGCATCGTCGAGTGCCGGGTGGGTGTGGCCCATTGGCTGGGTGTGGCCCATTGGGTAGGCGTGGCCCATTGGGTGGGCGTGGCTGCGGTGGTAATGGCAGACTGGGTGGGACTAAAAAGTTCAATCAATCAATTTCAACTTTGCAAGATCTTTTTTTTTTCCTGCGAGAAGTTGAAATTAACTGATTGAAACTTTTTTTTTTCACACGGCGGCAGAGACCTAAAGCAAAAAGGTTTTATAAAACCCAGCTGAAGGCCTAGGACTGGGGCGACGGTGCGTGTGCCCACAGAGAGGGCTCTGAGTGCTGCCTCTGCTACCTGTGCCATAGGTTCACCACCACTATCCTAGGATCTCCTGCTTGAGCAGAGGTTGGACTAGAAGACCTCCAAGGTCCCTTCCAGCACTGTTAGCCTATGTTCTATTCCAGGGGTAGGCAACCTTGGCTCTTTTATGATTCGTGGACTTCAACTCCCAGAATTCCTGAGCCAGCTTGGAATGTTGAAAACCTTCCCCTTTTCTCTCAGCATGGCTGGCTCAGGAATTCTGGGAACTGAAGTCCACGAGTCATAAAAGAGCCAAGATTGCCTACCCCTGTCCTATGCCATACTAAATTAGATTCTGATCAGTGGATATCATCGCCCAAAAAAAATCTGAGATATTTGAGGAGCTTGTGTACCTTATAGAACAAAATCACGTATCAGGACCAAAATAACGGTGTTTTCAAGGATTAAGTAGCCCTTTAGCACATACTAGCACCACTTAAAGCTGTGGTATTGGCCATCTGCTGTGAACCTGTCTTCCGCGTGAAGCTGACAAAGAGTAATGAGAAGTTGCTGGCTTGAATGTAAGGATCAAATAAAACCTGATTTGGGATTCCAGGCTGCTTTTGCATAAACAAACACACAGATCCGCTCACCGCCTTTATCAGAAAGGAAGGCTACGTTACTCCTCCCCCTGGCAATACAGTTGGAATTATGACCTCGTTTTAGCCTGAAACTTCCATTGCTAAGCAAAGACATTTCTTAAGTGAATTTTGCCCTGTTTTACGACCTTTCTTCTCACGGTTGCTAAGTGAATCCCTGCACTTGTTAAGTTAGTAACTGGGTCGTTAAGTGAATCCAGCTTCCCCATTGACTTTGCCTGCCAGAAGGTGGCAAAAGGGATCACATGACCCCCATGGGACACTGCAACCGTTGTAAATATGAGTCAAGTGTCTGAATTTTGATCATGTGACCATGGGGGAATGCTGCAGTGGCCGTAAGTATGAAAACGGCCATAAGTCCCCTTTTTCAGGACCGTTGTAACTTTGAATGGTCACTAAATGAATTGTTGTAAGTTGAGGACAGCCTGTAATTTATTTTTTAGATAGGATCTGTCAATTTATGAAAGCAGATGTCTAGAGAAAAGAAGGACCGGGGGGGGGGGGGACATGATAGCAGCCTTCCAATATCTCAGGGGCTGCCCCAAAGAAGAGGGAGTCAAGCTATTCTCCAAAGCGCCTGAAGGCAGGACAAGAAGCAACGGAGGGAAACTAACCAAAGAGAGAAGCAACCTAGAACTAAAGAGAAATTTCCTGACAGTCAGAACAATTAACCAGTGGAACAGCTTGCCACCAGAAGTTGTAGGTTAAGGTAAACAATGCCTCAAAGTTATTTGGAGAGTTTCATCTGTCGGAACCATGACATTGTAATAATAATAATAACAGTAAAGTTGGAAGGGACCTTGGAGGTCATCTAGTCCAATCCCCTGCTCAGACAGGAAACCCTACACCATTTCAGACAAATGGCTATCCAGTCTCTTCTTAAAAACTTCCAGTGTTGGAGCATTTACCGCTTCTGGAGGCAGGCTGTTCCACTGATTAATTGTTCTCACTGTCAGGAAGTTTCTCCTTAGTTCTAGGTTGCTTCTCTCCCTGATTAGTTTCCACCCGTTGCTTCTTGTTCTGCCTTCAGGTGCTTTGGAAGATAGCTTGATTCCCTCTTCTTTATGGCAGCCCCTGAGATATTGGGTGTATGGGTGGGTGGGTGGCGGTCTGCCTGGGTGCCTAGCAGGGTGACGTTTTTGTGTGTTTATTTTCAGAAGAACGAAACAACTGGGTAACCGCCATCTTCACTGCTCTGCGCACCCTCCCGGCAATTTCTCGAGCACGGACAGCCGTTCCTCCCGAGAAAAGCGGCTATCTAGAATTGAAAGGCTATAAGGCCAAAATCTTTACCCTGCTGCAAGGGAACAGCGTGTGGATTTGCAAGAACAACCAGGTGAACCTCTGCAATTTTCCTTCCCCCCCCCCCCGACGGCACAGAATTTAAAGTGATTGTTAGGGGTCCCGGGAAGAATTGACTGATCGTGTATTTACAAAAAGTGACACTGGGGTAGCAGAACGTTGAAATACGGTTTGTTCAGCCAGTGGTTTTGAGCAAATGCTTACAGCAATAGAGTGTAAGACATATCCTAGGGAACATATCCTAGGCAGATGGAACCGATGGCCTATTTGTATGTGTGTGTGTGTGTGTGTGTGTGTGTGTGTACACATACTTAGGTACACGCATAAATGTACAGTACGTACAATATATAAGTACATCCACCCACCCACAGACACCACAATATATATATCTCGGATTGGTACAAAGGTTAGTTTTCAAAATGGTTAACATGTATGGGCAGGTCTTCTCCACCTTGGATCAAAGGGATGTGATTAAAAAACACACACAAGAGTTTTCTTTCTTGATTTGTCTATATATATAGCGTAGGCTTGCAGTTTGACCTCAGGTGCGTCGAACGGTGTTGCGTTTTTGTGTTCTTTGGTTCTTTTTTCGTGCTGGTTGATATTTGCCACCCAAAAATTGCAAGTTGGACTGCCTTATAAAAGGAAGGAAGGAAGGAAGGAAGGAAGGAAGGAAGGAAGGAAGGAAGGAAGGAAGGAAGGAAGGAAGGAAGGAATCTAGCTATATGAAAGGAAGGGAGGGAGGGAGGGAGGAAGGAAGGAAGGAATCAGGAAAGAAGGAATTTAATTATATGAAAAGGAAGGAAGGAAGGAAGGAAAGAAGGAGGGAAGGAAGGAATCAGAAATGAATCTAACAATATGAATGGAAGGAAGGAAGGAAGGAAAGAAAGAAAGGAAGGAAGTCAGGGAATCAGGAAGGAAGGAATCAGAAAGAAATGAATTTAGCTATATAAACGGAAGGAAGGAAGGAATCTAGCTATATGAATACAAGGAAGGAAGGAAGGAAGGGCAAGAAGAAAAGGACATGGCATGGCATTCTGCACTTGAGGATCTAGAGAAGCCAGCAACATTGATGGCATCTTCAAGCTAGGCCTGCTACGTGCAATTGAGGCACACAGCGGGAAGAGCAATGGGTACAAGAAGAGAAATGACAAAGCTTAATCAATTACAGGGAATTGGAAGCCCTATTCAGGTGAATTCAGACCTAATTGCCTGCAATTTTTCAAAAATGGGATGATTCAGAGAAGAAAGATTTTTGATGGAGAGGCATAAACTTAATAAGGCCTGAAGGAGCTACTTTGATGACGCACACGGCAGTGAGACAAATACATTCATTTTGTTAAGAGCTGAGAACAAGGCTGCTGCTGATGAACCGGGGACCATAGAGTGGACGGATCCACGCAAGACATGTCTTCATCAAGTGCGGAAGAGACGTTCGCCAATTTAGGTAGCTCTTTTCATGTTCAACCTAGTTGATTAGTTGACCTTGGATGATCTCACGAAGTTGAAGGAAGGCCGGGCCTGGTTAGAACTTGGAAAAACATCACACAGGAAGCCAACCGCTGTCACCTGGACTTAGTGGTGGGATTCAGCTGGTTCGCACCAATTCGGCAGAACCGGTAGCCAGATTTTGCTGAGTTCAGAGAACTGGCTGAATGCACACTGCTTCTGGAAGTCCAGTCTAGGACGGCCCGCCGGAAGTGCGTGGATACCACTTCTGGAAGTCCGTTCTAGGCCTCAGAGGTCCAGGCCTGCATCCAATAAGAGAACCAGTTGTTCAGATATTTGAATCCCACCACTGCCTGGACTGAGTGTCAAGAACGAAAATTTTGCAGTTGTGTGCCTCTTCGTTTTCATTTTGCCATTTGAGTAAGGGTGTGTGTATGTGTGTGATGATGCTTTCCTACTGGGTTAGTGAAATGAAACCTTACTAGTTCTTCGGTTGTTTTTTTGACCCGGCTCCCCGAACACAACAGATGCACCAATAAATCTCCAACGTTCCTTTTATTCAGGAATGCCAGCAGCTTCACCCAGCCGACTGTTCAAGTCTTTAGTTGCCTCCAAACAACGGAGCTCCCTCCCTTTTCCCCCGCAGGGGTCTCCCAAAACCCAGAGTTAATCTCAGTCTCTCACCACGCTTGCAGCAAGAGTCCTTCAGGCAAGCTGGCTCTCTTCCAACGTAAGACACATGCACACGCTCAGAAGGCGCTGCGACTCCCAGTGCCCCTGGATCCGAGGAAAACTCCAGCAAGTTTACAAACCAGAGCCAGGAGTTCCAACTAGAAATGGCTGACCGGCAGGGAGACGCATAGTTGTCTACCACACCTATTTGTCTCTGCCCCTGTCTTTCATCCACAGTGGAGGGTGGGGCTCCATTAGCAGCGGTGACTCTTCCGCCCCGAAGACCGGCCCATAGCCTCTCGCAGTTCTCCTCTTCTCAGCCTCCGCCATGCCTGCTCATCAATCACTGGCCCCATGTGATCCTCGTCTCCTGACTCACTTGCCTCAAGGCATGGAGGTCTCGGCCTTTCTGTCTGGGAGCTGATGGATGGGCCAGGCTCTGCCTCTGTCCCTGGCTGCAACAGCTCCATTCCTTCATCCCCATTGGAGTTTTCAGATGGCCCTTACACTAGGCCCATTCCTGTGCTTCCTCCTTTGAGTTGGCTGTGGAGTTCTCTGGAGGCCGACAGGCCACAATAGACATTTGCTGAGAGATGGCTGTCTGGAAACCTTTCAAGGACATTCTAGCAGGCGTGGACGGTTCCCCCAACAAAGAGAATTTGTTCACATGAGCTGCTTGGACATCTGGGAAGTTGGGCTGGGAATGTTATTGTGATATGCTGTGCTTAGATGCCTTGGGATTTTAGAGTTAGTTTTCCTTTACCCACGCCAAGCCATGTATTCAATAAACCAGTAGGTTTTGCAGCAACGAAAGTAATCTTGGACTTCTTTTGGATATCCAAACTGGAGGTTGCCACTGAGAAGTTGAAAGGTGTCTCAGAAGAAGATCCCTTCCAGCCAGAAAGCTCCACATAGTTGTGTTCATGAAGTCACCAGGAGTTGAATGCAGATTGAAGCATAGTGGTTAGAGCAGAAGTCTCCAACCTTTTGGGCACCAGGGACCGGTTCCGTGAAAAGAGGTTTTTCTGTGGACTGGAGAGTGTGTGGTTTTGTGATCTGCCTGCATCCTGTGAATGGGGCTTTGCTTGTTTGCGCGGACCGGTTCCTGGCATGCTGCAGCCCGGTATTGGTTCACGGACCGGGGGTTGAGGACCCCTGGGTTAGAGTGCAGAACTGCAGACTACTAGTGCTGACTGCCAGCTGCCAGCAGTTCAGCAGTTCGATTCTCATCGGCTCAAAAGTTGACTCAGCCTTCCATCCTTCGGAGGTGGGTAAAATGAGGACCCAGATTGTTGGGGGGCAACAGACTGACTCTGTAAACTTCTTAGAGAGGGCTGTAAAGCACCGCGAAGCGGAAGATAAGTCTAAGTGCTATTGCCACTGCTATATACCTTTGCACGGGGAAAGACAAAATACTTGATATCTTTTTGGAGGTAGGCATGTTGACCATTAATTTGTTCCTCCTCTTATGAAAGAGCTAGGGTTAGGGTTAGGGTGTGATAAAGAAATGGCTATATGAAGTTCTATGATCAGATAACCATGTTACAACTACTCACAATTCATTTAGTGACTTTTCAAAATTTACGCCACTGAAAAAAAGGTGAGTTTTGATTGTTTTTCACACTTAACGACCGTTGCAGCATGCCCATGGTCACGCGATCCCAATTTGGACGCTTGGCTCCTACCGTGTTTATGACGGTTGCAGTGTCCCGGGCTAGCTAGCAGTTCTTTTGCGACCTTTTGACAAGCAAAGTCAATGGGGAAGCCCGATTCACTTAACAACTGTGTTACTTGCTTAACAGCTGAGGTCATTCTCTTAAGTACTGTGGCAAGAAAGTTCATAAAATAAGGGGGGGATCTGTGGGGGTTGGGGCGGTCTTAGGGATTCGTTGGTTGGGTTGTTTACTAATAGCTCTTTGGCAGTTTCTTGAGTGGGGTATTGCTTCCTTGATTGTTGATTGTCAGCAGGCAAGGCAGCAGAATATAAACTGACAGCAAACCACAAAGAGCACCAAGAATGCCACAATCCTAGTCCTCCTCCTCCTCCTCCTCCTTCTCCTTCTTCCTCCTCCTCCTCCTCCTCCTCCTCCTCCTCCTCCCTGCAAACCCTTCTCCCTTCTAGCACTGATGATATTACCCAGTTGGGTAATGAAACATCTGCAAGAAAACAATCAAGCTCAAAGAGCACCAAGGACCCCACAGTGCTCTTCTTCTTCTTCTTCTTCTTCTTCTTCTTCTTCTTCTTCTTCTTCTTCTTCTTCTTCTTCTTCTTCTTCTTCTTCTTCTTCTTCTTCTTCTTCTTCTTCTTCTTCTTCTTCTTCTTCTTCTTCTTCTTCTTCTTCTTCTTCTTCTTCTTCTTCTTCTTCTTCTTCTTCTTCTTCTTCTTCTTCTTCTTCTTTTCTTCTTCTTCTTTCTTCTTCTTTTTCCTCTTCCTCTTCCTCTTCCTCTTCCTCTTCTTCTTCTTCTTCTTCTTCTTCTCCTCCTCCTCCTCCTCCTCCTCCTCCTCCTCCTCCTCCTCCTCCTCCTCCTCCCTGCACCTCCACTCCCTTCTAGCACTGATGATGTTACCTAGTTAGGGTGATGAAACGTCTGCAAGAAAACCACCATGTTCAGAGAGAACCAAGGGCCCCCCATTTCAGCCCTGAGCTACACATACTCTCCTTCATTGATAGTAACTGTGGTTGTTGTAAATAACCAAGGTTAAATGCCCGGTGCAACTATTGTCTTGGGCATGTCAGAAGGGCAAGGCTGGATGGAATGATTGCTTTCATGGGCTTGTGATTCTATTATCTCTCCCTTTATTGCTGGCTGTTAAGCAAATGCCAGCCATTGATATTGACTCTTCAGACATCTGAATATAAATGAGCTGAGTGTGGGGGGGGGACATAATACGATCACAATTGCTGGAGTCCATTAGCTAGCAGAGTGTGACATTCTGAATAAGCCCTGCTTAATTATTACAGCGTTCAGGAAAGCAAAGCAGAGCCTAGGCAGAAAAACACTCTCCTTGTGCAAAAAAAAAAATAAAAATAAATAAATAAATAGATTGTGGCCAAACTGTTATTTTTTTCCCCCCTGCTGTGGGCTACCTAGCTTGTCCATTGTGAAGTCTTCTGCCTCTTTATTAATGAGAAATGATTTGGGATGTTCACAAAATGGTTTAATCTGCATCCTTTGTAGATCTGTCTCTTGTTCTGTAGAGTTGCCTCCTGCTTATTCATCTCTGTTGAAGCAATGGGGGAGGGGGAACCCTCAAGCACTTCATTTTAAATTTCCTGGTAAAATGCACAATGTTCTCTTGAAATAAAGTTAATTACAGCTAGCTACTTAGCAAAGTAAATATTGTCAACCCTGTCCATCACAGATCTTATTATGGCTTGGACAGAAAGTATCTCTATCAGCCTGGACATTACGTTCACCTGAAATCATACTGCTGGATACACAATTAAGAGTTTAAGGAGAGAGATATTTCTACATGTGAGCTATACTAAAAAAATAAAAAAAAATAGGAGATGTTTACCTTATTCTTGTGATAGATCTTGCTGCCGCCACAGAGTGTCACTGCAGACCAAAGTCTAGAAGTGGTGAAAAAATAAGTGTGCATCTCTGTGTATCTGCGCAGTCTATAATAAGGACTGTTTGAATTTTAAAACTATTATTTGGACGACTTAGGAAGTAGAAGACTCAGTCGATTTTTGTCTGTGCTCAGAAAGTAAACGGAATCAGGTACCTTTATTCCGTGAACAGAAAACCAAAAGGAAATTCTTATGGTGTTGGCTAGACTGGGGAATTGAAAATACACCCTGGAAGAAGACAACGGTAACCCACTGAGCTGAATCTGAAGACATCATTGCTTTTTATCATTTAAAAGGCTGTGTTCTCTTCCTGGTTTGGGGAATGTTAAGTTTTCTCAGTGTCCAAGAAGGAGGAGAAACTTTGTTGAAAAAGATTACAAGTTCAGAACATGTAGCAGGAAGAATGGCAAAAACTGGGGGCGGAATTAAAAGAGGGACCAGCCTAGAAACTCTACATAGCCACAAGTGACCCCTTTGAGTTCGGAAGGAAGGAAGGAAGGAAGGAAGGAAGGAAGGAAGGAAGGAAGGAAGGAAGGAAGGAAGACAGCACTTAGACTTATATACCACTTCACAGTGCTTTACAGCCCTCTCTAAATGGTTTACAGAATCAGCATTTTGCTCCCCAACAATCTGGGTCCTCGTTTTACTGACCTTGGAAGGACGGAAGGTTGAGTCAACCTTGAGCTGGTCAAGATCGAACTCCTGGCTGTGGGCAGAGTTAACCTGCAATACTGCATTCTAACCAGTGTGTAACCATGGCTCTTGCTTCTCACATATTTCTTGAGTTTCACTTTTGAAATCACATACATACACACACACACACAGAGAGACACACACACGATAGCAGTGTTTCAATATTTAAAGGGTTGCCATGAAGGAGAGGGAGTCAAGCTATTCTCCAAAGCGCCTGAAGGCAGGACAAGAAAGTGGATGGAAACTAACCAAGGAGAGAAGCAACCTAGAACTAAGGAGAAACTTCCTGACAGAACAATTAACCAGTGGAACTGCTTGCCTCCAGAAGCGGTGAATGCTCCAACACTGGAAGTTTTTAAGAAGAGGCTGGACAGCCATTTGGACTAGATGACCTCAAAGGTCCCTTCCATCATCATCATTATTAATATCATCATCATCATCATCATTATCATTATTATATACACACACACACAAACTTATTCTGATGTCAAACTCATAGAAAAATCTAGGGAATTGCATTGCATGAAATCTGCTGGATAGGACATTAAAATTATAATTCATAGAACGGTTGGGCTAAGCCAGCGATGGCAAACCTTTTAGAGACCGAGTGCCCAAACTCCAACCCAAAACCCACATGACTTGTCGGGTGCCGAGTGGGCGTGGCCCATTGGGTGGGTGTGACCCATTGGGTGGGCGTTGCTGCAGTGGTAACGGCAGACTGGGTGGGACTAAAAAGTTTAATCAATCAATTTCAACTTTGCAAGATCTTTTTTTTTCCCGCGAGAAGTTAAAATTGACTGATTGAACCTTTTTTTTTTTTGCACACGGCGGCGGAGGCCTAAAGCAAAAAGGTTTTATAAAACCCAGCTGGAGGCCTAAGACTGGGGCAATGGCGCGCGTGCCCACAGAGAGGGCTCTGAGTGCCACCTCTGGCACCCGTGCCATAGGTTCGCCACCACTGGGCTAAGCGGTCAACACAAACAATAAAGGAACCTTAACATGGCTCTCTGTTCTGCAGAGACCTACCGTAAGCACTTCTGGTTTCAAAAATACAAAATTTCACCTGATTTATATATTTATTTAAACAGGATTCTAATGTGCTTTCCTTCTCTCCTTCAGGATTTTAAATCTGGCTATGGCATTACCGTCATACCTATGAACGTGGCTAATGTGAGGCAGATTGATCGGGCCGCAAAACAATCTTTCGAAATAATTACACCTTACCGGAGCTTTAGGTGAGATCATTGAATGTTTGCTTTTAAAAATGTAGGGTAGGATTTTTGGAGTATAGCTGAAATAAATACTTTGAGAGCGGGCAACTAAATTTCATTTTTGATGTGTGTCGTTGTGCCCACAGTAAAAAATGGCAATAAAGGTTATCTTATTTTAAAAGGTCATAAAATGGGGCAAAAATCATTTAACAACTGCTTCCATTTAACAATGGAAACTTGGGCTCGATTGTGGTTGTAAGTTTAAAGGACAAAAATGTGCTGGAAATACTATAAATGAAAAGGAAACCGATTAGGACAGGGGTAGGCAACCTTGGCTCTTTTATGACTCGTGGACTTCAACTCCCAGAATTCCTGAACCAGCATAGCTCAGCTTGGAAACCTCTCCCTTTCCCCTCAGCATCGCTGGCTCAGGAATTCTGGGAGTTGAAATCCACGAGTCATAAACAAGCCAAGGTTGCCTACCCCTGGGTTAGGAGGAAACATTTTTTTTCCTACATCCGGATTTTTTCATAAGGCAAAGTCAAGTTTAGTGCAGCCGGTTGCCGAAAGTCGTTGCTGATTTGAAAGCACATCATCATCAATAATACATAAATTAATAAAAATCAGGCTAGTTTTGAATGGGGATGTCCCCAAAGGTGCTTTTTCAAAAGGCAAATGGACTTTTGCCTTTCCTTGAAGACGTTTTGCTTCTCATCCAAAAAGCTTCTTGTCAACATCCAGCTCAAGAATCCAAATAAAACTCCAGGTTCATTCCGCTTCCGAAAATCTTACTGTTTATTGAATACACAGCATGGAAATGTTGAACCAAAACTAACTCTGAGGTCCCCAGATACCAGTTTATAGAATTAAACAATAATTTCTCCAGCCAAACCCCCATTCTCTCACATAGTTCACGTAAACAATTTCATTTTGTTCTGGGAACCGGCTGCTTTCTCTCCACACCTGCTGCAGTGTCCTTGAAAAGATTTCAGGCTCTCTGTGATCTTTAGCGGATTCATAGAGGTTTCATTTCTCCATCTTAACCAGTTCTAAAGCAACACCTCCCCCCCTCCTTAATCTAATGGCAAGTTGAAACAAAGAGCCACATAGCTGCCAAAGTTTCATTCTTGACACTTCTTCAGTCAGAACTAAAGAAGCTCCTTGGATGAGAAGCAAAAACCTCTTCAAAGAAAAAAAAACAAAATCCAGTTGCCTTTTGGAAAAGCACCTTTGGGCCAACCGTAACCTGGATGAGTGAGAATCTCCATAGACAAACCCGTTGAATGAAAAGTCATTGGTTATTCTGATGTCACACTCTTTGTGAAACTGTTCCAGATTTTATTTATTTATTGTTTTTCAAATCCTGGTGATTTCCTGGACAGTTTCCCTGGCAAGATTTTGGAAGTGGTTTGCAATTGCTGTCTTCTTCCCAGGGCTGAGAGAAGAACTGGCTTTGTGTCTAAGGCAGGATTAGAACTATAAACTGGTGCCTTAGCCACTAGACTTAGGGCTCTCCAAACCTGACAACTTTAAGACTTGTGGACTTCAACTCCCAGAATTCCTCAGCCAGGCATGGTATCTGAGGAATTCTGGGAGTTGAAGTCCACATGTTGGCTGAGGAATTCTGGGAGTTGAATTCACATCCTGACTGAGGAATTCTGGGAGTTGAGGTCCACATTGTATCTAAGGAATTCTGGGAGTTGAGGTCCACATTCTGGCTGAGGAATTCTAGGAGTTGAAGTCCATATGCTGGCTGAGGAATTCTGGGAATTGAATTTGCATCCTAGCTGAGGAATTCTGGGAGTTGAGGTCTACATTGTATCTAAGGAATTCTGGGAGTTGAAGTCCACATTCTGGCTGAGTAATTCTGGGAGTTGAAGTCCATATGCTGGCTGAGTAATTCTGGGAATTGAATTTGCATGCTGGCTGAGGAATTCTGGGAGCTGAATTCGCATGCTGGCTGAGGAATTCTGGGAGCTGAATTCACATGCTGGCTGAGAAATTCTGGGAGTTGGAGTCCATATTCTATCTTAGGAATTCAGGGAGTTGAAGTCCACAGGTTGGCTGAGGAATTCTGGCAGTTGAAGTCCACATTCTATCTGAGGAATTCTGGGTGTTGAAGTCCACAGGTTGGCTGAGAAATTCTGGGAGTTGAAGTCCACAAGTCTTAAAAGTTGCCAACACCCCTACGCTAGATCCAAACTGGCTTTCAATTGATGCCTTTTAGCTTTACTGCCGAATCTGAGAAAGACAAGCAGGATTGGATAGAAGCCCTCCAGCAGTCCATTGCAGAAACTCTCTCTGACTATGAAGTAGCTGAGAAGATCTGGTTCAATGAATCAAACCGAACTTGTGCTGATTGTAAAGCTCCTGATCCTGACTGGGCATCCATCAATCTCTGCGTCACCATTTGCAAGAAGTGTGCAGGTAATTAAGCAACTTTCGGGATCCTCCTGAGCCCGTTTGGCAACTTTAAAAATTAGTGATATGCTGTATGTATGTTTTCTGAGGTTTTCGCGGGTGTTTGTATGTAGGTCTTATTCGGGTTTTCTCCCGCGTAAAATTGGAAGTGTCTTGGCGACGTTTCGACGAAGTCCCATTCATCATCTTCAGGCTGGTGTTTTCGGCTTCGTGCTTCGTGTATATGTACACACACATACACTATGGGGTTCAGCATCATGTTTCATGATTTCAAGTTGTTTCTGTTTCAAGCTGATTTCAGGACTGTTTGGGTTTACTTGCCTTCAAATTCCTCTCCTCTTTTACTAACCTTCAAGCAAGTTTTATTTTTCTGTTTTTCACAGGACAGCACAGATCGTTAGGACCCAGAGATTCAAAGGTGCGAAGTCTCAAAATGGATGCCAGCGTTTGGACCAATGAACTCATCGAGGTAGGAAAGGAGACCATGGACAAAGAAGAGCAGGAGAAGTCAATTTGACTTGGGAATTCATGACATTTCATTGCCTAATTTACAACAACTAGTGGTCCTAGCACAGTGGTTCTCAACCTTTTTAATGCCGCGACCCCCAACTGGTCATAAGTCGAGGACTACTCAACCGGTCGTAAGTCGAGGACTACTCAACTGGTGCAGCACCGTTTGCAGAATGGGACTTTTGGCGGGCTCAGCAGGGTAGAGACAGCCTGGACAATTCCTATTGGCTTTTGAAAGCCAATAGAATTGGACTCTATTCAAGAGAGTCTATTCTATTGGCTTTCAAAAGCCAGTAGAATAAAAGGGAGTAGCACAGCTAAGGAAAAGGGGAAAAAAATGGCGGACTGCGTTGTTTGGCGACCCCCGTGAAATGGTCGTTCGACCCCAAATGGGGTCCCGACCCACAGGTTGAGAACCACTGTCCTAGCAGATGATCACAGATGATCACTTAAACATGAGCCAGCCGCGTACTGCAGCTGCCCAAAAAGCTAATACAATCCTAGGCTGGATCAACAGAGGGATAGAATCAAGATCATATGAAGTGTTAGTACTGCTTTATAATGCTGTCGGAAGAATCCAGAGAAAGAAATATTTTGAGAAATATTAAAAGGCGGAATATTATATTTCTCCAAAGGATCTTAAAGGCAGAAACCAACTCCCCCCCCCAAGTCTCTCTGCCCTAAACAGAAACCAGGTCTGCAGAAATGCAGATGTGATAATCTTGTCAGAAAGATTGGAGTCAGGAAACTGGGATTACAAAGAAACATCCCTAGAATCAACAATCCCTCACACACAAAAAATCCAACAGCCATCAGCCACAGCCCCAGGGAAGCAGGATATGACCTTTGAGACATAATAGGATTAACCCACCACCATCAGAATACCAGAAAGACACTCTCAGACTCAAGTCAAAGTTCGTGCCACAGGAACAACTCCAAACAAAAGCCCAATAAGATATAAAAACCCACTCCCTACTACATGTGGTCAGTTTTTTTTCCAGAGCCATCTTTCTGTCTGGCTTTCCTCTTCAATAAACTACAACCTTCTTTCTAAAACAGTCTCCATTTTGATTATTCCCAGCTTGGACTGGACCCTGATGAAGGTTTTTCTTTCCACAATTCCTTGCTAAGGCCACACTTGGGATATTGCATCTAGTTTTGGTTACCATGGTATAAAGACTCTAGAAAGAATGCAGAGATTAGACATTTTCCAAAGGAAAAAGTCCAAATAAGCAGTAAGCATCAGCACAAATAAGAAACTGTTAACCATAATCAAGTCCTTTTTTTGTCCAATATCTCTGCCTCATCTTTTGAAATTCTTATAACCGTTCGAATCCACTTGTAATTTCTACAAAGTATCTCCAGCAAATCACTTATATCTCAACTTAAAAGGGTAGTCCACGTTGTTGTTGTGATACATTATCTGCACATCATTTTCCATTTTTAAACGATCGTCCAATTGTATCTGTAAATACGACTGCTCCATCTTGTTCTTTTAAGTTGTAATTTGAAAATCCACCTTTAGAATCCATCTCAATTTTCCCCAGAGGTCTCTGTTCATCTTCCATAATAACTTTTTGGTTCCAATAAAGAACGTAAAAGTTTGAGCACTTCACAAATCAAACCTTCCCTTTAAAGTAGCCATCTTGTACTCTAATAATCAACCTTCAAAGTCTTCATTTTACAATTGATGTGTAAACAAGGCAGATTTTTTTTCCCCCACACAAGAGGCTCTTTCTAATTAACTTCAAAGCTTCTCTTTAGGTCAATTTCACGAAGCCTTAGCATTTACAAAGCTTTGCAGAAACAACTCTGGAATCACCTCTTTCCTGCATATTGCAAGAAATTACAAAGAAAGAAAGGAAGGAAGGAAGGAAGGAAGGAAGGAAGGAAGGAAGGAAGGAAAGAAAGAAGATCTTACAAAGCAGGAAATATGGGATTGCCTTTCTTTTGAAACGGATTGAAGAGAATTTCCACCCACCCAGCACCCAGACTTGTGGTTCTGAAGATTTTTCAGTCTTTTATAAATATTTTATTAATTTTCTATTCTTACAAACAGGCACTTAATAGACAATGTGTTGAATGGGTCCATTAGTAATTCCATGGTACATATCAGCTTCTTCAAACTAAATCCAATATTACACCATCCGATACCTCCTCTCTTCTTCCAGTGATAAACATTTTTCCACATTAAGCAAATACAATTCTTATTATTATTAAATGAGTACCATATTTTCCGGCATATAAAATGACTCGGCGTATAAGATGACCCCCAACTTCGGAGAAGATTTGCATGGTTTAGAAAGTCGTCTTATACATTGGAAAATACGGTAATAAGAAAAGTAAAAAACTTCAAAGTGATTCAAAAGAAGAGGTTTGATCCAATCTTACATCCTGAAAGGATGCATTTACGGCTCGGAGCATATTGGAACCCACCACCCCCAGCTGGAAAAAAAGGATGATTTCTGCAGGATCCAATTTGGGTCGATTACTGGGACCAGAGGATTTAATCTTCCGAGCTTTTGGACTTGTACTGGAGCCCAGTCTGAGGGAACTTCTCTCTACCAGAATGTGTGTTTTGGGCTATTCCGTGTGTGTGTGATATTTACATAGTGCCTGTTGTATGTGGCTTTTTAGGTGTTGATGGCTGGCTATTAAGTTGTTGGCTGTTGTTTCCTTGTGCTGCAATCAGGTGAGCAGTCAGACAAGGAGACCTGAATTCATTGGTATCTTCATACTGCAGTGAACAAGGCATACATTCACTTTTGCAGCTACTAAGATTGTTGGACGAGCAGGCACAAAAACAGCCAGGGAAGTGATTGAAGCCTGGGAAACCGGCCCCTTGTCAGTCAAAAGGAGTGCTGATTTACCACCAGCCTATCAAGTACTTAGAAGGCCAGCACAAGGAAATAACAGCCACCGACTTAAGAGCCAGCCATCAACACCCCAATCAATTTCTAAAAAAGCCACATACAAGAGGCACCATATAAATACTACACACAAAATAGCCCAAAGCACACACACTCTGCCAGAGAAAAGTCAGAAGACTAAAATTCTGGTCCCAGGGATCAACCCAGATTGGATCTTGCAACATCTTGCATTACTGATTGCTGAAGAACAAGCACTACAAACTAATGCCATGAAAGTGAAGATACAAAAATCCACTGACAATCCAAATTGCCGACTTTGCAATGACAAAGTTGAAACTGTTTCACAACTAATCTGTGAGTGCGGCAAAATCGTGCAAACTGATTACAAAGCTAGACATGACCGAGTTGCTAAATTAATCCACTGGGCATTGTGTAAAAAATACAACTTGCCTGTGTCCGAAAAGTTGTGGGAACATAGGGTGGAAAAAGTTGTTAAGAATGAGAGGGTGAAGATCTTGTGGGACTTTCAGATACAGACAGATCACCATTTGGAACACAACATGCCAGATATCACAGTTGTAGAGAACCGAAGCATACAGCTGATTGATATCGCTGTACCAGGAGATGCCAGAGTCGAAAAAAAAGAACTGGAAAAAATCACGAAATATCGTGACCTGGCCATCGAAACTGCGCGATTATGGATGAAACGTGTAATAGTGATACCCACTGTCATCGGGGCACTGGGAACTATGTCCAAAAACGTTGCAAAATACATCAAGAAACTGCAGCTTCCTGCAATAACTCCAGCAATGTTACAAAAAACTGCGCTACTCGGAATATCTTACATTTTAAGGAGGTACCTGGTTGATACCTAGGATGCTGATAGCAACACGTGTCAACCATCAGCGCCAGCCAGTTTGAATGTTCAGTTGACTGAGGTTCATGTCTAATGAATAAAAGATAGATATAGTAATAATAATAATAATAATAATAATAATAAGTAGTAGTAGTAGTAGTAGTAGTAGTAGTAGTAGTAGAAGTAGTAGTAGTTGGAAGGGACCTTGGAGGTCATCTAGTCCAACCCCCTGCTCAGGCAGGAAACCCTATACCATTTCGGACAAATGGCTGTCCAGTCTCTTCTTAAAAGCTTTCAGTGTTGGAGCATTCACAGCTTCTGGAGGCAGGTCATTCCACTGATTAATTGTTCTAACTGTCAGGAAATTTCTCCTTAGTTCTAGGTTGCTTCTCTCTTTGGTTAATTTCCATCCATTGCCTACTGGATGCAGTATTTCAAATGTGGCCTTACCAAGGCATTGTAAACTGGTATTAACACTTCATGTGATCTTGATTCTATCCCTCTGTTAATGCAGCCTAGCACTGTGTTGGCCTTTTTGGCAGCTGCAGCACACGGCTGGCTCATATTTAAGTGATTGTCCACTAGGATTCCGAGATCCCTCTCACAGTTGCTACTATTGAGCAATGTACCTCATAAACTATACCTGTGCATTTGGTTTTTGTTGCCTAAACGTAGAACCATACTTTTTTCACCACTGAATTGTTAGATAGTGCCTAGCGTTCAAGTCTGTCCAGATCCTTCTGTATCTTAAGCCTGTCTTCTGGAGTGTTGGCTATTCCAGCTTGGTGTCATCTGCAAGTTTGATGAGTTCCCCATTCTTTTCCAGCTTTTTATTGTGATAGGCAATGAAAGAGCTAACAGCTTTTGGGAAGGAAATCTTCAGCCGGATGAAAAGTTACAAGTAGATGCCCCAGCTGACAGGAGGCTAACTTTTATTACCCAAAAATATAAAGAAGGAAAATTCCGAAAAATTACGCTGCTGTCTAAAACCAAGGAGGAGTTAAATAAGGTAATGCTGAGGATGGGAATAATTTGGGGTCATACGTTCTGGGCTTGATTATGGTTGTAAGACGGGGGACCACCTGTATCTTCTTCGGATAGCAAACTGTCAGAGCATGCACAGTCTTATTGTGCTGAGGTAACCCAGGAGTAAATTAAATGTGGTTTATATTACACTGTATCTACAAATATACATTAGAAATAAAATACATACATGTGGTGAAACAGCACAGTCAAATACACAGCAGTTACAGCATTCAAACAAATGAGAGAAAGACTCCAGCAAAAAAATTCCCTTTTATACTTAGACTCTTAAAGGGATACAGTCCCTACTTACTCTTAAAGGGACAGACACAGACCCTGCTGAGTCATTCCTATCATTGCATCATCCTACCATTGCATCATCCACGTTACATTACATCTTTACATAAGCTGTTTAGCTATTAAATTATTATCCTGACACAAACAACAATGCCAGGGGACAAGATGCAATCATATTGGGAAGCCAAAATCCAACCTATCGCTCTCAACAACCTTCTCTGCTTGATCAAGGACCCTGTAAAATCTGAACCATTGTCCAGAACTACACACCTTATGCACACAGAGGTCCGGGGTTAGGCAATTGAGAGCACCTTGGTGACTAGAACTCTTTTTTGTATGCTCAAGTCTTGTCTTTGCGAGTTGCCCCCCATTCAATTAAGAAACATCAATCTCTTCTACTTTGGCATTCTGTATGTAGCTCATACTGTCAAGAATGAAACTTTGGCAGCTACGTGCCTCTTCATTTCAACTTGCCATTAAAGGGGGTGCATGGGAGGTGTTGCTTTAGAATGGTTTAGATGGAGAGAAATGAAACCTCCATGATTCCGCTGAAGATTGTGAAAGCCTCACACCGTTCCAAGGACACTGCAGCAGGTGTAGAGAGGAAGCAGATGGTTCCCATAACAAAGTGAAATTGTTTACATGGACACTGTGAGGGGGGGGGTTGGCTGGAGAAATTATTGTTTAATTCTATGAACTGTTGTCTGGGAAGCTCAGAGTGAGTTTTGCTTTGACATTTCCATGCCATGTATTCAATAAAAAGTAAGATTTTCTGGAAATGGAATGAACCTGGACTTTTATTTGGATCTCCAAGCTGGATGTTGACATACACTTTTCATTTTTATGATCAGGCGCTCTGTGCTGCAGTTATTAAGCTGGATGTATTAGAGACCATGATGTTGTTGTTTAGTGGAGCAGACGTGATGTGCGCAACTGGAGACCCCGTGTTCAGCACCCCATATTTGTTAGCCAAAAAATCTGGGCAGAGATTGCAAATGGAATTCCTCCACCACAATAAGTTTTCAGGTATGGTTTTCAGGTAGTGTGGACCTTGTATAGTTTGAATAGGGGCTGTGTTTGTGTATAATTCAGTGAACACCGATTTCAGGTTAGCAGAGGCCCACAAGTAAGGGAGCAAGCATTTATTATTTCTGTGTATGAAGAAAATGTATAGGAGAACCCCGGTCACAGTGAATCTGGGTTGTCTTACAAAAACAAAGCTCAATACAAAATCCAATAAGCCCCCATTCCCCTAGTGAAAGCAATCAGATCAACCACTCGGTTTTCAAGAGGCAACTGGACTTTCTTGTTCTTCTTTGAAGACGTTTCACTTCTTATCCAAGTAGCTTCTTCAGCTCTGACTGGGATGGTGGAGAATGGAAGGATTTATACTCCAGCTCCTGAGCTGAAGAAGTTTCTTGGATGAGAAGCAAAGTGTCTTCAAAGAAAAACAAGGAAGTCCAGCTGCCTTGTGAAAACAAGCATCTTTGGGACAACCATGACTTGGATGACTGAGAATCTCCTTGGACACTTGATCACCAGGCCCAATGGCAGAATCAGGTCTTCAAGGCCTTTGGAAAGAGTGTCAAGGAGGAGGCAAATCTTATCTCCACAGGGATGATTTTCCACAGGGAGGGAGCCACCATGGAGAAGGTCCTTTTTCTAGATGGACCTCCCTAAGAGAGGAGATCCATAGTATCTCCTGTCTCCCCACTCTTGTGGGCCAGGTATATATGACTGGGAAAAAAACAGTCCTTCGGATAAATTGAGCCCAGGCCATGGAGGGTTTTAAAGGTGACAGCCAGCATCTTGAATTGGATCTAGAAGCAAGTCAGCAGCCAATGTAGCTCCTGCAAGAGAGGGGATGCATATGTAAATGTGATGCCTGAGGGCCACCATATTTTGTACCAGGAACCTCCGAGGTCCCTTCCAACTCGGATTATTCTATGTTTTGTGTTCTATTTCCTGAGTACTGAAACCAAATGCTAAGTAGATCTGACTGGGCATCAACCTAGATATTCCAGCTTCTGCTCTTCGGAGCAAGTAGTCTCAATAGTTTGAAATGTCAGGTTTCCGACAGATGAAACTCTTCAAAGAACTTTGAGGCATTGTTTACCTTAAAGAATCTTTATGGGAGTAGTATAGCTTCGGCACAAACATAGTTGAAGCCAAAAACTGCATTCCCCTCCCCTGTAGTATCAAAGCACAATTCCTTCCTTCCTTCAATTAACAGTCATAAATCACATTGTTCAATTAGCTTGAAAATGCAGGCTTTCCCTCCTGTTCTGCTACCCGCCTATTCTTATCATCTCTTATTTCACACACTAGTACAATATTATGTCTAACTAACTCCCACCACATTCCGCCTCCTCCCCCAGCATCGTCTAATTCTAAGAGTAAAGCATAAGAAATAAAAAGGCTGCATCTTCATATGTTGTCAGGCAAGAATGTCCAATGTTAGCAGCATTGACATGAAATTTTTACTTCCATAACTAACAGTTCTCCATTTACAGATTTTTCCAGCTGTGATGGCCACGCCAACACCATTTCCTCTCCCAATTCGCCTTTACTGTCCTTCCTTTACGATAATTTATACATGGTTTCCTTCAACCCTTCCAAATTGTTTATTGAGAGAAAAATTAAAGAAGGTACAGTATATTGGTTTTTCTTTCTTATCTATGGCTTAGGTGTCCTGATACTATATTAGTAAGATGCTAGACCTTTTTACTGTTTTATTTTAGAACTTTATCAGTAATAAGTATGTATTCCAGGGCTTGAGAATGAGCATGGAAAAAAAAATAAAGCAAGAAAATAATTTCCCCTTCAAGTGAAATAAAGTTCTGAAGTGACCGGTTCACGCAAAAAAAAAAAAAAGAAAAAAAGAAAAAGAAAACAAATAGTAGTTTGATTACTAAGCATTGCAATCTCTTAAAACATTAGGAAGTTAACCACCAGATTGCAAGAACACAAGTGGGTGGTCAGATGAGGAGATTCAAACTCATTGGTAGCCTCACATTGCAATGAACAAGGGTCTACATTCAATTTCACAGCTACTAAGATTGTTGGCTGTGTAGGTACAAAAACAGCCAGGGAAATGGTGGGAGCCTGGGAAACGGCTCCCTTGTCAGTCAGCAAGAGTGCTGATTTACCACCAACTTATCAGGTCCTTAGGAACTGAGAGCTTGGCAGTACAAGGAAACAACAACCAATCACTGGCCATCAACACACCTATCAACCAATAGGAAGCCACCACATAAATACAACTCATAGAATAGCCCAAAGCATATATTCCAATAGAGAGAAGTTCCCTGAAGATGAGCTCCAGCACAAGTCCAAAAGTTCGGAAGATTGGACCTTAAAACATTTCTCACCCAGATTAATTTATGGAATTCTCCACATTTCTAACAGCCAGAGGACTGTTGTTATAGGCAACCAAAGCATAGGTTTAAGGAATAGAGAGCAAATAGCCTTAGAATTAAATTAAAGGCGCATCTTGTATTTTTTTATTATTAAATTTATATGCCGCTTAATGTCACCTTGTTAGTCAAGAGCGGCATATTAAATAAATGAATGGACGAACGATTCTAAAAAAAAAATGGAAAAATATATTTTCCTGAGAATATATGGACTCTTGTCCTAGTCCTTTTTAGAAAAAAAAAATGCAATGTATTTATTTAGGTGTAAGGGGGAAAAAAAGATAAAAAGAATATAAAATAATTTTTCGCCTCAATGTCATGATCCCCTTGCCCTCCCAAAAAATTTCAACCCAATTAGGTTAGACCAGGGGTAGGTAACCTTGGCTCTTTTATGACTCGTGGACTTCAACTCCCAGAATTCCTGAGCCAAGGTTGCCTACCCCTGGGTTAGATTAAAGAAATAGCAGAATGGGAAATGTTTTGGCCACTATAAAAAAATAAAAGGTGTTTCATTAGAGTTCACGGTGAGAAGCTCTCCCTTTTTTCGACACCCCACCAAATGAAATAACTGAGCAGACAATTTTGCACATTTGCAAAGAGTTTGAGATATTCAATTCTTTGGGTTACCTTCCACTTTAGAAAGATGGGGACTGCAGAACACACTGAAAATGGCATGAAAGTCCCCATTTTATTGTCTATGTAGCAATAGCTAATAGCAATTAGAGTTGTATACTGCTTCACAATGCTTCACAGCCCTCTCTAAGCGGTTGACAGAGTCAGCCTGTTGCCCCCAACCATCTGGGTCCTCATTTTACCAACTTCGGAAGGATGGAAGGCTGAGTCAACCTTCAGCCGGTCAGAATCGAACTCCTGGCAGTGAGCTGAATTAGCCTGCAATACTGCATTCTAACCACTCGGAAGGAAGGAAGGAAGGAAGGAAGGAAGGAAGGAAGGAAGGGAGGGAGGAAGGGGAGGGTAAATGAAGGAAAAGAGAGAGGGAGGAAAGGTGGAGGAAAGGGAGGGTGTGAAGGAAGGGAGGGAAGGAAGGAAGGAGGAAGGAAGGAAGGGAAGGAGGGAAGGAGGGAAGGAAGGAATAGCAATAGCACATAGACTTATATACCACTTTACAGTGCTTTACAGCCCTCTCTAAGTGGTTTACAAGTCAGCCTACTGCCCATAACAATCTGGGTCCTCATTTTACCGACCTCGGAAAGATGGAAGGCTGAGTCAACCTTGAGCCGGTCAGGATCAAACTTCCTGGCAGTAGGCAGAGTGAGCCTGCAATACTGCATTCTAACCACTGCGCCGCCATGGCTCATTATGTAGCTATAGTAACTTCAGAAAGAGTTTAACTATGCATACATTGCAATATGAAAAATAAGAAACTCTTTCTTATTTTTCATATTGCAATGTATGCATAGTTAAATTAACAACCTTGAATGGCTTTGTGTGTCAAGGGAACAGAAATTTGGATAAGCCAGAAGGATAGGAAACACCCTGATATTTTGTTATAAACAGGACAACCTGCCTGGTCTTGACCCTATTGCTTGAAAGTCTTCTTCCTGGGCTTGTGTGTGAGTGCGTTTCTGAAAAAAAAAACTAAAGCAAATATTGACAAAGGCCCCATATCAACAAACTGTAACACTTAACGCAGCAGGAATATAGCACAGTTCTGTTTAATTTCTGTTTCCATAATAGAGGTTCCAGACTTAAACCTTATTCTTTGGAAGCTATTTGGTGGTGAAGGTATTAAAAGTAAACAATCTGCCTTGGCTGTTTGCTTTTATTGTGTACTGTGTGTTCCTTTTTTTGAACCATATATCAATAAAATAATAGGTGTCATGGTTCCGAAAGGAAAGAAGAAGCTCTTCAAATAACTTTGAGGCATTGTTTACCTTAAAGAATCTTTAATTTGCAACATAGCTTCCACGGGTACATAGAGAAGCCAAAATCTGGAATTCTCCTCCCTCAGACACACAATAACAAAGCATAACTCACTCCTTCATTTAACAGTCATTAATCACATTCTCCAATTAGTTTGAAGTGTGAACTTTCCCTCCAGTTATCTCCTCTTATTACAACTAACCTTGAAGAATACTCTACTGTGATATTGTTATGGCTAACTAGTCCCCAAGCACATTTCCCCCCTCCCTTCCAACACCGTCTAATTTTAACTCTAAGTAATACGCAGGTTAAATAGAAAATGTCTGCATCTTCATATATTGTCAAGCAAGAACATCCAATATTAGCAGCATTGACAATATATTTGTGAAAATCAGCTAAATATCTCGGTATCTCATCTATCTTCTAGTATTGTATAATAATTATTTTACCAGCACACATGATTGAGAAAACAGTGTTTGTATTATATGTCCCTTTTTATGATAACAATCTACTAGTTAAATCTATCTGTTCTCTCTCTCCCTCTTATCTATCTATCTATCTATCTATCTATCTATCTATCTATCTATCTATCTATAAGATTTATAGATAGATAGATAGATAGATAGATAGATAGATAGATAGATAGATGTAGATAGGTAGGTAGGTAGGTAGGTAGGTAGATAGATAGAGGTAGATAATAGATAGATAGAGGTAGGTAGGTAGATAGATATAGATAGATAGATAGATAGATAGATAGATAGATAGATAGATAGATAGAGGTAGATGATAGATAAATAGATAGATAGATAGATAGATAGATAGATGTAGGTAGGTAGGTAGATAGATATGTAGCTAGCTAGATAGCTAGCTACCTACTTACCTAGATAGATAGATAGATAGATAGATAGATAGATAGATAGATAGATAGATTACACTGAATGTGTAGGATGGAAAATTGATTAAATAAAAAGATAAAGATGATAGATACTGAGAAAAGAAAAAAAGAAAAAGAAAAGAGAGAAAGAAAAAGGGAGGGAGGAAGAGAAAAAAAGGAAGGAATCTATTTGAAAATAAGGAAAGGTAGGAGGAAGGGAGGAAGGAGGAAGGAAGAGAAAGAAGAAGGAAAGAAGGAAGGAAGATAGGAAGATCTACTGGCTTCTTTCCCCCTTTATGCGTTTTAAGAACATAGAATAATTGTTAGCGTTGGTCCGTTTTAACACTACAGGAAATCTTGCACGGTTATATTTATGACCAATCTGATCAGAATGTATTTTGGGGGATGATTTTTCAAGGCTCTTTTTGTCCCCCCCCCTTTCCTTCCAAAGCTATGTCTTGTCTTCCTTAGCTTTGCTCCATTGAGGAGGCTTTTTGCCGTGACTTCCACCAACGCAAAATAGATTGACTCTGCCTTGGCCTCTATTTCCACCATTTGTGGTGGGTTGCGTTCGCTTTTGTGTGCTCTGACTCAACCGTTCATTTTTGCAATCCGCTTCTGTCAAGCTACTTATTTTTTTTTGGTTTTGTTTTCCTGCAGCTTCAATTTCCTTTTTCAGTTCAAAGGAGTCTCTTATTTTTCTACTTTCTTTTCTTTTCTATTAATTTTTTTTTTAATCTCCCGATCTCTTGCGTTTGAGTCTTTACGGTTTCTGTACATCCGAAACCGGCGACCGCAATACGAAGCTTTTAAAAGCTTCTGGGTTTTTTTTTCTTTTCTTTTCTTTTTTTAAAGAAAGAAACAACAACAAGGCCTGCATCGATGCAATGAGGCTATTTAAAAATATCAAAAAAGAAGGAAGGGGAATAAAGCTTTTCCTGTGCTTATTAATTTTAACAATGAAAACATCCCTTCGTTTAACTGGAGGTTGAAATTGGACCGGCTACTTCAATGAGCTTAAACAGGAAGCGGAGTAATTTACTTAATTAGAAATCTGATTATTTCTGATGGAGATGGAAGCTCAAAGGACCTTATATGGTGCATAAGTGTAGGTAAAACGCGTATATTCAGTGGTAAACGCGTATGTTTAGTACGTCAGATGTGAACAATCTGTGTACTGCATGAACCAGAAAAAGGGCTGAGAAAAGTCTAAAGAAAAGAAGAATTAGGGGCGACATGATAGTAGTGTTCTGGTATGTGAGGGGCTGCCACAAAGAAGAGGGGGGCCAGGTTGTTCACCAGAGCACCAGAGGGAAGGACGAGAAACAATGGTTGGAAACTGATCAAAGAGAGAAACAACCTGGAATTAAGGAGAAAGTTCCTAACAGTGAGGACAATTAACCAGTGGAACAGCTTTGCCTTCGTGGGCGCTCCATCACTGGAAGTTTTTAAGAAGACACTAGACAGTCACTTTTCTGACATGGTATAGGTTCACCTGCTTAATATATATATATATATATATGTAGGTCATTGGTTATTTGGGTTTTCTCCCATGTAAAGTTGGAAGTGTCTTGGCGACGTTTCGACGAAGTCTCATTCGTCATCTTCAGGCTGGTGCTTTCGGCTTCGTGCTTCTAGGAGCAATTCTAGGAGCAATTGCTTCATGCTTCTAGGAGCAATTGCTCCTAGAAGCACGAAGCCGAAAGCACCAGCCTGAAGATGATGAATGAGACTTTGTCGAAACGTCGCCAAGACACTTCCAATTTTATGTGGGAGAAAACCCGTATAACCAATGACCTACATACAAACACCCGTGAAAACCTCAGAAAACATATATATATATACAATTAAACACTCTGCTGATCACTTAATTCTCACAGTACTGTCTTAGGCCTAAATATATTTTACCCATGTAGTAGGGCTGTATTGCTATTATCTTTCTCACCTTTCCTACTATCTTCTCCTATTGGTATCTATGATTTATCATGTGATGTTTGTATCTTACGATTAATGATTGTACCTATGATCTATGACCTATCACATCGTTGTTTGTATGTACACTGAGAGCTTATGCACCGGAGACAAATTCCTTGTGTGTCCAATCGCACTTGGTCAATAAAGAATTCTATTCTATTCTATAAAGAATTCTATTGATTTCAGATCCAGGCAAGATTTTACTTCATCTATGGTCATTTGATCCCCAATTTTAGACCTGTGACAGTTGCATTCTGTTTTATAGCATGTGTCTCTATATGCTGTCTGTTTTATTAGAATTCCCAGTTTATATGGGATAAGGGACTGGATTTTTAAAAGCATTATGATCCAATTAATTTAAATCATCCAGCAGAATGTAGCATTCCAATTCTTATATTTATGTCAAATTCCTTGTGTGTCCAATCACAGTTTGCTAATAAATAATTCTATTCTATTCTATTCTATTCTATTCTATTCTATTCTATTCTATTCTATTCTATTCTATTCTATTCTATTCTATTCTATTCTATTCCATTCCTATTCCACTCCACTCCTCTCCACTCCTCCACTCCTCTCCACTCCTCCTCTCCTCTCCTCTCCTCTCCTCTCCTCTCCTCTCCTCTCCTCTCCTCTCCTCTCCTCTCCTCTCCTCTCCTCTCCTCTCCTCTTCTGTCCCATCCCATCCCATCCCATCCCACTCTACTCTACCCTACCCTACCCTACCCTACCCTACCCTACCCTACCCTACCCTACCCTACCCTACTCTACTCTACTCTACTCTGTTGTGTTCTGTTCTATCCTATCCTATCCTATCCTAGCCTAGCCTATCCTAGCCTATCCTAGCCTAGCCTATATTCTGTTCTGCTCTGCTCTGCTCTACTCTACTCTACTCTACTCTACTCTACTCTACTCTACTCCACTCCACTCCACTCCACTCTACTCTATTCAGGATAAAATAATTTTGGGAAATGATCTGGACATTAAAAACAGAACCCTTGCAAGTTAAAATACCAGCTAGCAAATTTGTTGCGCATCCCTGAATCGTTTGGTTAAAAGCAGATGGAAAATTGAAGTTTTGCAAGACTCATTTAAAAACTCTGCAGGCAAGGTCTGTTTATGTTATGGATCATTTGCTAGTCATCTTGTGATAATGGCTAACTCTTCCGTTAATAAATAAAACCATCTTTAAACGTAGAGTGCAGTAGGAGATGGTGCGTGTTGGAAAGCGGCTTTTTGAGTTACTACGAGAACGAGAAGATGGCCACCCCAAGTGGGACATTGGACATCAGTGAAGTCATCTGTCTTATCATTCATAAGTCGGAAGACACCTTACCCATGGGGTAAGTCCAGTGTCTTTGATGGTTTTGTTAATGATTTGTTCTGTCGATATTGATCTTGTTTTTTTTTTTTATCTAAAGCAACTTTTTATAATGGCTGTTACATTCTTAATTCTGGATTTCTCATTGCCAATTGCTGGAAGGTTCAAAAATAAACAAATAAATCATAGAATAGCAGAGTTGGTAGAGAGCTCGGAGGTCATCTAGTCCAACCCTCTGCCCGAACAGAAGACCCTATACCAGGGATAGGCAACCTTGGCTCTTTTATGACTGGTGGACTTCAACTCCCAGAATTCTTGAGCCAGCACGGCTCAGCTTGGAAACCTCTCCCTTTTCCTTCAGCATGGCTGGCTCAATAATTCTGGGAGTTGAAGTCCACCAGTCATGAGGGGGCCATAGTTCCCCCCATGCTGGCTCAGGAATTCTGGGAGTTGAAGTCCATTAGTCATAAAAGAGCCCAGGTTGCCTACACTTGCCCTATACCTTTCCAGACAAATGGTCGTCCAGTCTCTGTTTGAAAGCTTCCAGGGATGGAGCACCCACCACTTCTAAGTTCTCCTGGTTGGTTGATGGTTGAACTGAGTGGAATGAGTGAGTCAATTAATAAAGGAATGATATGAGAAATTAAACTCACACATTATGGACAGCATGAGGACTTTGAATTTGCTCTCTTCCAATAAAATATTATTCTTAATGAATGTAATGGAATTAAAATTATTTGACGTTAACTGGCTTGTTAAATCAGTGGATCTGGGAGTTCATGGCAGATCCAGCCATGTACATACGGAGGGAGTGAGAGAATGGATAGAATGAATGAATGAATGAATGAATGATCTTCTGAGAAATGAACCCTATGCTTTATGGGCAGTGAATTTGCTCTTTGAATTTGCTCTTTCCCCATAAAACCTTACTCTTAATGAACTTAGTGAAATTAAAATGCCTTGATATCCCCTGCTCTTTTTTTAAATCGGTGGAGCTTGTAAAAATGGCAAACTTTTCCAGAGGCAGGAGGATAGCCCTGTCAATTTTTTAAAGCCAGGATTTGCATCTTTGATAGCTCAGGGCTAGGTTTTCCAGGAGGGAAAACAAGACTTGAAAGGGGTTAGCTCTGTGTGCGCAAGACTCTGTTTGACAAGCAAGGAGGTGGAACAGTGAGAAGCATCTCCCGCAATTTCTCCCCTCCGGAGGCCCTAGGTTTGCTCAGATGGGAAATTCTTCTTCTTTCCCCCTATTTATTCCAACTGGAATAGAAAAAAAGGATCAATTTCGACCTTCTTTCTTAAAGCCCAGAAGCACAAGCTTAACAGCCTTCTGCCAATCCTGCACCACAAGGAAGGTAGCTAAGCAACCATGTACATTGCACGTGGAGAAGGTAGTGATGAATTTCCCTCGCGTTTGAATCCAGGCATCTAGATATAGAAAGAAATTGGTGGGGCAAATGGAAGTATAAGAGAGAGGGAAAAACAAGGGAAGGCAACAAGGGACCTATGCAGAATTCCAAAACCAATAGAGTTAGCCAACTAAATTAGTTACATTATCTCCTTAAATAAGGTCTTGGGATTTACTATATGTTCATTGTTTCCTGCACAAAAATGCATGGACAGGGATAATCTGGACTTCCTGTTTGGATATTAATAGTCTTCCCTCCCTTCCTTCCTTCCTTCCTTCCTTCCTTCCTTCCTTCCTTCCTTCCTTCCTTCCTTCCTTCCTTCCTCTCTCCCTCCCTCCCTCCCTCCCTCCCTTCCTTCCTCTCTCCCCCTCTCTCCCTTCCTTCTTAATTCATATAGCTAGATTCCTTCCTTCCTCCCTCCCTCCCTCCCTCCCTTCCTTCCTCTCTCCCTTCCTTCCTTCTTAATTCATATAGCTAGATTCCTTCCTTCCTTCCCTTCCTCCCTCCCTCCCTCCCTCTCCTTCCCTCCTTCCCTCCCTCCCTCCCTTCCTTTCTTCCTGATTCATATAGCTAGATTCCTTTCTTCTTTCCTGTGGTAAAAGAAAGCAAAGGTAGTGATAAACAACTTGGGTACAATCCCAAAATCTCTGGAGCAGCACTTGAACACTATCGGCATTGACTAAAATCACCATCGGTCAATTGCAAAAGGCAGTTTTACTTAGAATAGCTTACACTCTACGACTGTACTTCTAACCCCATCAAAACAACCTCTGCCTACTCCAGGTCCTTGGGAGGGATTCAACCCATGAATAAAAAATGTCCAATCCAGTCTAAACATTTGGCTGACATAATCAGGTTAGGGATAAAACCGACCAGACTAAGATAGGATGAAGTTAGTTTTTCTAGGTGCATTTTCACGATATCCCTTCTATGTACACGAGAATAACCTTTTGCAGTGCCTGAAAAAGGCGGTGTCACCTTTAAATCAGCCAGTGAGACTTTCTGCAGTAGGATGGGTCTGTTTGTGTGTGTTTGTGTTTGAATTTTCACGTGCATGGACTGAAGACACCATATTTTCCATTTCTGTTCTAAAAGCATAGCTAAATGCAATTCAGAAGATTCAAATTTTCTTTTTCCAGTTTGAAAATAAAGTCCCAATTTAATCAGGCAATATGTCGACTATTGTTCTTTCCCCGCCCAAATTATTGGTTTAGTTCCATTATTTTAGCTCTCATTCATAGTACAGTTTATATACCTCCTCTGTTCCTCTTCATTAGACTATCAAATGCATATTGATTCCCCATTATCTTCCAAACAAACCCGACACAAATAAAGCACTTTAGAGGGAAGAACTCTTGCGATTCGTTTCCAGGACAAGAGGAACAAAGGTCTGAGAACAATAAAATGTACCACTTTATTGTTTTCCTTTTGTGAGGCTAATACTAAATAGATTTGATTCCTCTTCTCCTCCGCAATTTCAGAGCGATGTTTACCTTTGAAATCTACTTACTGTCAGAACGTGCATTTCTCTTTGGAGCGGAAACCGCGCATTCTCAACGAAAATGGACTCGGGCAATTGCTAAGGTAATTTTTGTAATTATCCATTCAAGTTAAGACAGGCACCTTTAAAGGAAATCGAGAGAAACCCTTTTGTTTTAACAAGGAGACCTAAGACAAAGGCAGATTTTTAATGGAGGCCAATTTAGATTGCAAAGAAGTAAAAAATTGTTTTCTTGACGAGTAGGAAACGGTGCAGTTGAACGTAAATAACAATTCTTTTTTTTTTTTTTAATGATTTGAGTTAAGGAACTCTGCCCGAGTTATTAGAAGCCATCTTAAGAGTAGATGTTTTTTTCTTTCTTGTGCAAAATTCTGACTTTTCTGTTTCAAAGAATTCTAATTCAAAAGTCCAAGAAGGCTACAAAATTGAATTCTTCTAATTCTAAGAATGAGTATTTGGTCATACCGGATAGCCAAATCTAGCCCTCGGTTCTGCCTCGGTTTACTTCCCCAATAAACAACCAAATCGGAAGATCCTTTAAAAGTAGTTTATTAGGGTACCCTGATAAAATGGGATCTCTCTATGAAAAAGGAGAGAGTGTTCTATCCCAGCCTATTGCCATCCTTGTTAAAGGCACAAGGACCAAACCCCTATTGATGCAATAGGCTGGAGACTTTGCAACAAAACAAAACTCTTTTAATATGGTTGACAAACCTGTCCAATAGTCCAAAACACAAACAGTAAAACTCAGGTCCAAAGGAAACACGATGCAAACAGACGAGAAGTCACAAGCAAGACGAACAGACCAGGATTCCAAGAAGCACTTTGCAAACGGTTGCCTTCAGCAACCAGCACCGCCCACACCTCCTCTTTTTATACAGCAATCCCAAGGCGTTGCCTCTCAGTGCCTTCTCCTTTTTCCCTGGAGTAGTCACATTGACTGCTGCTGATTTACTCTTGCTAATTGACGATGGGAGCGTGCATCAATTAGCAAGTCCATCAGATGTGATTCTTCCAAGTCTGACTCATTCTCCTCACACAGCTGAGCTTCATCAGAAACACGACTGGAGGGCCCAGGCTCTGTATCAAACCGTGAGTCCTGTAATTCATCAGAGCCTCCCTCTGCCCCGATGGCCCTTCAAATGCCTCCTCCACCTCCTCCTCAGATTCCTCAGACTCAGCTGTTGGGAGCACAGGCTGGCACGGAATCACAACAGAGAGAGAACCACAAGCCCAATCTTACATTCCTTTTTGTATTTAACACACAAAGAAAACAAGACAGGAAAGTTGATTGGGCAGGATAATAGTAACCTGCTGTTTGCATAAGAAATCAGTTACATATTTGCATCCCATGTTCATTAAATGTATGGCTGTGAAAGTTGGACCATAAGAAAGGCTGAGCGCCAAAGAATGGAGGCCTTTGAACTCTGATGCTGGAGAAGCCTCCTGCAAGTCCCCTGGACTGCAAGGCGATCCAACCGGTCAGTCCTAGAGGAGATCAACCCTGAATGCTCTTTAGAAGGCCAGATCCTGAAGTTGAAACTCAAATACTTTGGCCACCTAATGAGAAGGAAGGACTCACTGGAGAAGAGCCTAATGCTGGGAAAGATGGAGGGCAAGAGAAGAAGGGGACGACAGAGAAGGAGGTGGCTGGATGGAGTCACTGAAGCAGCAGGCGGGAGCTTCAGTGGACTCCAGAAGATGGTAGAGGACAGGAAGGCCTGGAGGAACGTTGTCCATGGGTCGGACACGACTTCGCAACTAACAACAAAAACAATAACATGTTCATTAAAATGAGGCCTGATGTCAGAAGGGGAGTAAATTGTAAGGAAAAAAAAGGTGGTTTGGAGTTCACAAAAAGAGAAAAACCAGACCCCAGTTTGTACTAACAAATTTTTTCTTATCTGGAGATAGTCTCCAGCCTGTTTATCTTTTCAGTTTAGGAATGTCGAAAGCTATTCTTTCCTTCCGGTCTGTAATGTGCCTGAACGTTATTTCAAAGGAAAGAGAATGTGAACTTAAAATGCAAAATAACTATGTTAAACATAGTAAAGTATGTAACCATGTTAGCTAACAAATGACAAAGTCTATGTCTTGTTTTTTTTTGTTTCTGTTTGCAATAGCACTTTGTACCTGAATTGGCCCAAGGTCTTCAGGAGAGAGAGACAGATGTTATTGGCCAGCTGTTCTACAAAGACTGCCAGGACCTTGATAATTGGAAAAAGGGCTGGTTTGCTCTAGAGAAGACCAGCTTGTATTTTTACCTCAAACTGGAAAATTCACAAGAGAATTCAATGCATCTAAGGCGGCTCCAGGAGTTAAGTAAGACTTAATATATATATTATCTGAAGGCCAGACAAAGAATAAGAGAGATTCAACCTAGAAATAAGGATAAATTTTCTGACAGTGAGAACAATCAACCAGTGGAACAGAAGTTGCTTTCAGAAGTTGTTGGAGATTATCACTGGAAACTTTCAGGAAGTGACTGGACTGCCATCTGTCAGAAATGGTGTAGGATCTCCTGTGTCGGTGGGGTGCGGGGTTGGACTAGATCTACAAGATCCCTTCCAACTCTGTTATTCTATTCCATTCCATTCCATTCCATTCCATTCCATTCCATTCTATTCTATTCTATTCTATTCTATTCTATTCTATTCTATTCTATTCTATTCTATTCTATTCTATTCCAATTCTTCATTTCTCTGTTCTGCTCTGCTCTATTCTATTCTATTCTATTCTATTCTATTCTATTCTATTCTATTCTATTCTATTCTATTCTATTCTATTCCATTCCATTCCATTCCATTCCATTCCATTCCAATCTAATTCTTCATTTCTCTATTCTGTTCTGTTCTGCTCTGCTCTATTCTATTCTATTCTATTCCAATTCTTCATTTCTCTGTTCTATTCTATTCTATTCTATTCTATTCTATTCTATTCTATTCTATTCTATTCTATTCTATTCTATTCCATTCCATTCCATTCCATTCCATTCCATTCCATTCCATTCCATTCCAATCTAATTCTTCATTTCTCTATTCTGTTCTGTTCTGCTCTGCTCTATTCTATTCTATTCTGTTCTGTTCTGTTCTGTTCTATTCTATTCTATTCTATTCTATTCCATTCCATTCCATTCTATTCTATTCTATTTGAACTGACGTAAGTCAAGCACCACGTGTCCTTTTCTGAATACTGTGGTTTCTTCACACACGACTTCAATAATATAGGAAGCAATATGGTCAAGTGCTGTGACATATACAATTAGCTGTGTTGCCTCAGTAATTATAATGAAGGAATGGCTGTAATAAAATCAGATGGTGAAGAAGTAGACTGGTGGAATTGTAAAGTTGGCATTGCAAAGTTATGTAAAAATTGGAACCAGAACAGAAAGATATTGGCCAGATATTGTTCAATGAAGGTCCATGGAGATTCTCAATCATCCAGCTCATGGTTGTCCCAAAGATGCTTTTTCAAGAGGCAACTGGACTTTCTTGTTTTTCTTTGAAGACGTTTTGCTTCTCATCTAAGAAGCTTCTTGGATGAGAAACAAAAATGTTTTCAAACAAAAGCACCTTTGGGACATGTTCAATGAAGCTTGACTGAACCAGGCAATTAAGAAGCCCATCCTATCTTTCCAAAATTCCACCTTCCACATTGGAAGAAAAACTTATTGCCTACTTTGGAAGAATGGATACTTAAAGTGTCTAATTTAGCAGACATGGCGAAAATCTCCACCTATTTGAAGGATCATTCACAAGAAAAATATATTATGGTTTGGAGAAGATGGATTGATTACATTCAGAAGAAATATGAGATTGAAAAATATTGTCTTGCTTTTGAGTAGATTTTAGATAATTATTATTAGTTTTAATTATTTTATTATTTTTGACTTAATTTGTTAATATTTGTTGGGAGAAGGAGTTAAAGTGTGTTATGGTTTTGATTGATAGTATAGTTGATTAATCTTAGTTAGATTATATTTGTTTATTTTATTTTTTATCCTGTAATCAGCTCTGGGAAGTGGGGAAGAGGTGTGGGGGGGTTTATATTGTAATAAATTTATAAAACTTTTAAATAAAAAAAGCACCTTTGGGACATGTTCAGTGAAGCTTGACTGAACCAGGCAATTAAGAAGCCCATCCTATCTTTCCAAAATTCCACCTTCCACATGGCAACAAGGTCATCGATCAGAAAGATCCTGTACTTCATTGGACATCCACATTAACTGAGAATTGATACAGATCCCTTATTAAAACTTAAGGATCTTTCTCTCCAAATTCAACCCAGCCATCCAACAGAGATCACAACATTAGGGACAACAATTGGCCCACCAGAAATCAGAGCCAATAAAGGAGAATATTCGTAGCTCAGGGCTGAAATGAGGGGTCCTTGGTGCTCTCTGAGCTTGCTTGTTTTCTTGCAGAGGTTTCATGACCCAAACTAGGTAACATCATCAGTGCTAGCAAGTCAGTCAGTCACTAACAATGAGGATGTTATCTGGTTTGGGTCATGAAACGTCTGCAAGAAAACAAGCAAGCTCAGAGAGGAGTAAGAAATCAGAGCTGAAAATGACCATTAAAATAAATAGGTAATAGTCACAGTGTTATGGTTCCGGCTAATGAAACATTTCAAAGAACTTCCAGGCATTTATTTTCCTAAAAGTCTTTTATTGTTACAAAATGTCGGCACAGGCACAACAGAGGGATGCTAGGATCTAAGTTCTCTTCCTCTGAGCAGTTAAATTATCAGCATGTTCCCTCCCTAACTTAGCCCTCATATCTCACACTATCCAATTAGTGTGAAGGTCAAAGGTTTCCTTCCTCTTTCTTTCCCAGGCTTTACCCCCAACCCCCCTTCTGCTCTGTGTTAACCCCATAATTACCAGACAATTCTGCATATTGTCAAAAGCAAGAATATACAATATTTGCAGCGTTGACATACAGGATGTACAATGGGGGGGGGTTAACATAGGGAAATAGGAGAAACAGGTGCTGCCTGGGAACAATCAGGTGACAATAAGCAACAGACACCTTCTTTCCGCAGCCAGCCTCCATTTTATTTTCAGTGTCTTTCTCCCGGCTTGGAACTGGAGCTGATGTTTCTTCCAACACTATTAAAATAGATTGTTTCCAAGCTCCGTTGTTATTGAGCATATGTTTTCTATGGATTTTGTGCACTTAGGAAAAGACGACTGGTTTAAGTTTGTAAATGGCTCTGCCTTTCACGTTTCAGCGATCAGTAGCTGTGTCCAAAATGGAGAAAAAACAGATGTTCTGCTACTGGTTGAGAAAGGAAGGTAAGCTGTAAATTATAGAGTCTCAAGACGAGGATGGGGACTGATCAAAGCAATTGGAGAGGTTTGCTAGACATCCTGGCAAATACCCATTTGCACATGTGTGGGTGGACACATAGCTTCAGAAGATCCTCAAAGCAGATGGAGATAGTTCTTGCCTTGATGGATATTCTCAGATGGCTTCTTAGTTTTCTGGAAAAGGCTGTGAAATAGGAACTTCATAGAAATAGAGCACTAGAAATTATCTTGTTTTGTACACCTAGGATTGCTTTTACCAAATTTGTATTGGCTGTGTATGGTTAGAAGTAAAACCTTTGCTGGGAACCAGGATGTGGAAATTGATACACAAAGTTCACAAACTTGGTTCCATCCATTATAGCACGGGTCCCCAATCCCAGTTGTGTGGACCAGTACTGGGCCATGGCATGCCAGCAACTGGTCCACACAAACAAGCAAAGCCCTATCCGTGGGACGCAGGCAGCACACAAAACCATGCACTCTCTGGTCCTTGGAAAAACCTTTCTCCACAGAACCGGTCCCTGGTGTCCAAAAGGTTGGAGACCTCTGCATTACAGTTTGTCCTCAACTTACGATCACAATTGACCCCAAAATTAGGCAGATTCTCAAGTCTGTTGAGAGAGAGCTGTTCAATTTTAACACAGAGGGGGAGGGATACAACATTATCAATCTCCAGTCTACAACACAGCCCTTTCAGCAGTCCCAAGAAGGTTCCACGCCCATTTGCACCACTCAGTTGATCCTGAGGACACAGATCAATTTCCAAGTGGCCTCAACGACTCTTTAAAAGAGTGCAAGTGACCACTGTCTGCAAGGAGTATAAATCCTTCCATTCCCCACCAATCGGTCAGAGCTGAAGAAGCTTCTTGGATGCGAAGCAAAATGTCTTCAAAGAAAAACCAGAAAGTCCAGTTGCCTCTTGAAAAAGCATCTCTGGGACAAGTCCCATTCTAGTTATCTTTGGGAGATCAACCATGGTCTGTTCAGTGCAACCACCTAATGGTGTTTATTGGATGCATGTTAGTGCATACATACGTCTGTTTAGACATGGTCCTGGGAAGACATAAACACATATGAAAAAGTAGACATCACTTCTCACGGATCCTGCTCATGTGCAGAGATTTTGAGTAAATTTGCTGTTCCTAAGGTCTTTTTTCTCACCGTGCCGCTGATGTTTGGATGCTACCCCGGTAAAGGATTAAGATTATTAATTCTTGGCATTTCGTTTTTCAGTGGCCTTTATTCTAGGTTGGTACAGTAGAAAAATGAACGTGATATGGTTTGGCAAAAGCTTCGTTAGGTGTTGCTCTTCTCTTAGGAAATAAAATGTGGCCTGAGTTTTACACGCAGGCTTAGATGCATTTGGAAAGATCCAAGGGAGACGGACTTTAATAAAACCGCATTTCTTTATTTTATAGGGACTATTTACATGATACGGTAGAACGTCCAACAGAATCCGTAAGGACTTTGCAAGTGATAAATTGCCCATAAACAAGAAGCAATAGATGTGTCAGGAGGGGAAAGCAGCTTTTGCTCTTAGTTATTTTTCTTTTTTAAAAAAAAAATATCAGCCAAATAAAACGTGATGAGTGCCATGGCATCTGCTCCTTAGCTAATGCTGTATAAATATTGACTGAAAAACTCAACTGAGCAGAGAAAATATATTTTGCACAGGGTTGTAATCCCTTTGCCTTTTAAAATGGATGTGTGTATACCGCAGTAGACTGCACCTGGCTGTATTCTAGCTACTTTGGTCTGTTCGAGAGAGGAGACTATTTCTAGCTCATAGTCCTTGGTGCTCCCTGAGTTTGGTGCTTTTATTGCAGACATTTCATTACCCATTTAGGTAACATCAGTGGTGGGATTCAAATACCTCAACAACCGGTTCTCTTATTGGATGCAGGCCTGGGCCTTCGAGGCCTAGAACGAACTTCCAGAAGTGGCATCCATGCACTTTCGGCGGGCCGTTGTAGGCTTGGGAGGCCTCCTCCAGGCCTCTGAGGCCTAGAACGGACTTCCGGAAGTGGCATCCATGCACTTCTGGCAGGCCGTTCTAGGCCTGGGAGGCTTCCTCCAGGCCTCTGAGGCCTAGAACGGACTTCCGGAAGTGGCATCCATGCACTTCTGGCAGGCCATTCTAGGCCTGAGAGGCCTCCTCCAGGCCTTCAAAGCACAGAATGGACTTCTGGAAGCAGAGTTCATTCAGCCGGTTCTCTGAACTCCACAAAATTAAGCTACCGGTTCTGCTGAACTGGTGCAAACTGGCTGAATCCCACCACTGGGTAACATCCTCAGTGCTGGAAGGAAGAGGATGGGGGGAGGAGGAGAAGGAGGAGGAAGCAAAGGAGGAGAAGGAAAAGGATATTTTATTAACAAGCTAGGTAACATCATCACTGCCAAATGGGAGCAGAGTTTGCAGAGCAGAAGAGGAGGAAAAGGATTGTTTATGGCAGACATGTCAAACTCGTGACGTCATGTGACGTCGTGCAACGTATCGGGACAGTTTTGCCATTGCCAGCAATGGGGTGGGCATGGCTTCTACGTGATGTGTTCGGCCCACAGGCCGGCAGTTTGACACCCCTGGTCTATAGAGATTCTCAGTCATCTAAGTCATAATTGTCCCAAAGATGCTTTCTTAGGAGGCAACTGGACCTTCTTGTTTTTCTTACAAGACGTTTCTCATCCCAAAAGCTTCTTCAGCTCTGACTGGAGGGTGTGGAATGGAAGGATTTATACTCCTTGCAGAGAGCTGGTCATTTGCATTCTTTTAGAGGGTCTTTGAGGCCACCTGGAGGTTTATCCATGTTATCAAACCTTGAGTGGCTGGCAGATGACTTGAAAGTCAAGACTTTTACAGCTAGAAAAGCTTTGAAGCTATGTGAACGTTCCTTCTCTTTCTCCTTCAGCCAATGAGAGTGAAAAAAGAAGGAAGTCAACTCAGAATGAGCTCTAAACCTCTAAGCTTTTTTCTTAATATGTAGGAGAAATCAAAATATCTCATTAATTCCTCACAATGGTCTTCCACATTGCCACTACATTCTACAGCAGGGGTCCCCAACCGCCGGTCCATGGGCCGCGGCATGCCAACAACCGGTCCGCACAAACAAGCAAAGCCCCATCCATGGAATGCAGGCAGCACATAAAACCACACCCCCTCCGGTCTGTGGAAAAAACTCTCCACGGAACTGGTCCCTGGTGTTCAAAAGGTTGGGGACCTCTGTTGTACAGCACTAAGATTTTGGGCTGTCTATCTCATCCAAGCATGAGCCAAGCCTGACTGTCTCAGCTTCTTACTCAGACAAGGTGTGCTTTTCTTAAATGGAATAACTGCTCTCTGCAACAGCCAGCAGTGGTCTCCTGAACTTGTTTTGCAGTTGCAGCGTTTGTGTGATCGGTCCTTGCCATGGCTTTTCATTTAAAGAGAGAGCATTTTCACCCCCCCTCTCTCTCTCCCCCCCCCCTCTCTCTCTCTCTCCCCTTTTCGACATCTTTCCTCAAACTTTTTTTTTTTTCAGAACATTATACATCCGCGGCCACACCAAGTTGGATTTCACAGTCTGGCGTAGCGCAATTGAAAAAGCAGCTGGTACAGATGGCAACATGTTAGAAGATCAGCAGCTCAGCAAAAATGACGTGCCGATTATAGTGACCAGCTGTATCGCATTTGTTACGCAGTATGGTAAGTGGAGAGGGTGCGTTTGTTCAGATTCCTGAAAATTGGAGATGCACTTGGATAGAGTACTTAAGAAGTGTTGCCATCAGATTACACTAGGTGGGCTTGAGCTGTGATCTGTAAAGACTATGCTTTGAGTGGCATTTACTGTAAAGCTCAGTTTGAAGTAATTGTGTTGAGCATGGAACATGTACAGTACTACCTTGTTACTCATTTTTAGTTGCTTCCAGGAGGCACAATGAGTACCAAAGAATTTTTTTCCATAAGGAATAATGTAGTGCAGGGGTCTTCAAACTTGGCCCTTTTATGACTTGAGGACTTCAACTCGCAGAATTCCTCAGCCAGAGTGCCTGGCTGAGGAATTCTGGGAGTTGAGGTTCACAAGTCATAAAAGGGCCAAGTTTGAAGACCCCTGATGTAGTGAGTCCCAAGGCAGCTGACATCAACAAGTTCTAGCTTGTGCATCGAGTACCAAACAAACAACGAGTACCGAGGCAACATTTTTTGCATCAAAATGCGTTGTGTACCAAATTTGATGAATTTCCAAGCAGTTGAGTATCAAGGTACCACTCTATCTCGTTATGAGAGCAATAGGGCTGGAAAATTAAAATTAGAGCATCTTAGAGAACCTGAGGGATCTCTTTTATTTGTATTAGACAGAGGGAATAACTAAATGCACAGTGATGATGCCCTGTGCAGGACAGGAGGTCCTTGACTTACCACAGTTTGGTTAGTGACTGTTTGAAGTTGCAGCTGCACTGAAAAAAAAGTGTCTTACGATTGTTTTTTATCCTTCTGATCATTGTATGATCCCCATGGTCATGTGATCAAAATCCAGACACTTGACAACTGACAGTTCGCAGTGTCCCAAGTTCACGTGTTCTCTTGTTGTGACTTTCCAATGAGCAAAATCAACGGGGAAGTTAGGTTCACTTAGCAACCAATTGTGCCCAAGGGAAGGATGTATATTCCTTGCAGACAGCTAGTCATTTGTATTCTTTTAGAGAGTCGTTGAGGCCACTTGGAGGGTTTAATCTGTGTCCTCAAGGTCACCCGATGGGCCTTCCCTCAACACAGGAGGATGGAGATGGATGTCTCCAGTCTCAACACAGTCCTTTCTGCAGTTCCAAGAAGGCTCCACGCCCATTTTCACTGTTCAGGAGAGCCTGGGGGCACAGATAAACCTCCAAGTGGCCTCAACGACTCTCAGAAAGAGCGCTAATGACCAGATGACTGCAAAGAATATAAATCTTTCCATTCTGCACAATTCAGCCTGAACTGAAGAAGCTTCTTGGATGAGAAGTGAAATGTCTTCAAAGAAAAATCAGAAAATCCAGTTGCCTCCTGAAAAAAAAAGCATCTTTGGGACATTTTCTGCAGATGAAAGATAAACAAGATGATCTATGCCAGGGATATCAAACTCAATTTCATTGGGGGCCACATCAGCATTGCAGTTGCCTTGGGGGGCCAGGTGGGTGTGGCCAGGGTGGATGCAGCCTACTGGGTGGGCGTGGATGGAGTGGGTGTGGTCTACTGGATGGGCATCACCAGCTCTACATCGCTCGCATCTAGGGTGCCTGTGGGGGTCTGGGCAGGAGTGGGACAGATCTGAGGGTCTCTGGCAGAAGGGGGTGGGACCGGGGCAAGCACCAAGACATGGTCCATTTCTTCATTCCTCACAAAGGGTGACACCTCCCCAGCATGCACCCAGGGGGCGGGGCCAATGTGGCAGGGGCTGGTTCCTCACTGTTTCTAGATGGCCTTGTGGAGCTAAGACTGAATGTGTTTCAGCATAGATGGCCACCACAAAATTGTACATTGGCTCCCGGCTGGCCTGGACCAGGGCCAAGGCAGAGGGGGCCATTCCCTCACTGTTTCCAGGATGGCTTCGTGGGCCACATGAAACCACTTTGCGGGCTGCATCGGCCCCCGGGCCTTGTGTTTGACATGTCTGCTCTACGCCATTATATGAAGTGGTTCCAGATATAACGGCATGAAGCATCTTGTTTCTTTGATACTGTTTTATTTTATTTTTTTTTTTTTTTATGTATTTGGCTGATAACTTCTTTTTTTCTTATTTAAGGTTTGGGAAGCAAACATATCTACCTGAAGAATGGAAATCCTTTATATGTCAGAGAGCTTTTGGAAGATTTCAAGAAAGATGCCCGAAGTGTTAAGCTGAGGACTGGGAAGAACCGTCTGGAAGATGTTACTGATACCCTGAAATGTTTTCTTTCTGAAATAGATGACGCACTACTGACCAAAGAACTTTATCCTTTTTGGATCTCAGCACTAGGTAATGCATTATGGAATAGCTCTGAAACCTTATTTACCGTGCCTAAGGTAGAACAGAAAACATAGAATAATAGAGGTGGAAGGGACTTCAGAGGCAGTCAAGCTATTCTCCAAGGCGCCTGAAGGCAGGACAAGAAGCAACGGATGGAAACTAACCAAGGAGAGAAGCAACTTAGAACTAAGGAGAAACTTCCTGATGGTGAGAACAATTCACCAGTGGAACAACCTGCCTCCAGAAGTGATGAATGCTCCAACACTGAAAGTTTTTAAGAAGAGACTGGAGAGCCATTTGTCTGAAATGGTGTAGGGTTTCCTGCCTGAGCAGGGGGTTGGACTAGATGACCTCCAAGGTCCCTTCCAACATTATTATTATTAGCATTAGCATTATTATCATTATCATCATCATTATTATTATTATTATTATGGATCATCGCACAGTCAGCCAGATGTTCCGACTGGATTTGGCATTTTTGTCTACCTATCGAGTCCTTACCCAGGACCTGGGATAGGGAGATGTGGATGTCTGATGGTATTACAGATATCGTCGCAGGATGGAAGCGGTTCCTAGTAAGGCCACCTTTTGCAATTGACTAATTGTGAATTTGTCAATGCCGATGATGATGTTCAAGTGGTGTTCCAGTTGTTTTGGGATTGCACCCAAGGTGCCTATGACTATTGGTACTAGCCTTGCTTGCTTTTGCCACAGTCTTTCTATTTCTATTATTATTATTATTATTATTATTATTATTATTATTATTATTATTATTATTATTATCATCATCATCATCATTATCATCATTATTGTAAAATGGAGCAAAACTCACTTCACAAGTGTCTCGCTTAACGGCAGCAGTAACTTTGGGTTCAGTTGTGATCGTAAGGCGAGGACCACCCGTGTTTGTATTGTGCCGATGAAGGAGAGGCCGATTGGCTAAGTGATCTTTGCCAGGGACTCGGTGCTACTGAAGGGATAACTCGATCCCTTTTGTCTTTTGGACCGCGTGCTTGTTAATCCCAGGTAATTTAATTTCTAAGCTCCCCTCCTCCTTCTTCTCCCTCAGATACCCTGGATGACAAAGAAAGGGTGCGAAAATACAGCAGCTTTATTCACACGCTTCCACCCATCAATCAAGCCACTCTGGCAGCATTAATGGAACACCTGTACAGGTCAGTGTATCTATGGAGATTCTCCATCATCCAGGTCCGGGATGTCCCAAAGGTACTTTTTCAAGGAAGCAACTGGACTTTCTTGTTTTTCTTTGAAGACGTTTCACTTCTCATCCAAGAAGCTTCTTCAGCTCTGACTAGATGGTGGGGAATGGAAGGATTTATACTCCTTGCAGACACCTGGTCACTTGCATCCTTTTAGAGAGTTGTTGAGTCCACTTGGAGGTTTATCTGTGTCCTCAGGGTTACCTGAGTGGTGCAAATGGGTGTGGAGCCTTCTTGGGATCATTGAAAGGACTGTGTTGTGGAGGGTCACCTGTGAGGATAGTGAGGATGTAGATAAACCTCTGAGTGGCACAGCACAGAGGCAAAACAGTCAACTGGCAGTTCGAACCACCCTTTATTTGCTCCAATTTTCCCCAAATGCTCCCACGTTTCTGGCAAGCCCCAGAACAAAGTCAGACACATACACACACACCTTCAGCAGTCTCTGGCTGCAAGTAGTTTCAGGTACTGTTAGATTAGAAGAGTAATTTACTCAAGGCCACATAGATAACACGGAAAGAAATCTTACGAGTCTGTGGGAAAACAAGCTTGCCTGAGCAGTTTCAGAAGAGAAGCCGAAATTCAATCCAGAGGTCTTTGAACACCAAATCAAGTTTGTCAGCCAGTCCAACGGTCAAAGAGTTTTAGGGTTTCCAAGCAGAAATCACAACATGGAACAAGAGATCAGAGAGTTGTTTCCAAGATCAGCAACAGCACACCAAACTCCAACGAATCAGCGTTTGTCCCTGACAAATGCCTCTCCCTACAGCGTCTCCTTAAGTCTCAGTCTCCAGGAGTGCCTTTTGGAGAGGAGTGGGGCGCTCTCCTCTCAAGTAGTTGAGCCTGCCTGCATTGTTCCCTCCTTCTCTCCACTCTTCGTGCTCTAGGATCAGGAGGGGGTGGCCCTTACTCATCGCCTGAACTCTGCCTCTCATTCCATTCCGTTCCACTCCACTCCACTCCACTCTACTCTATTCTTATTCCATTCCATTCCATTCCATTCCATTCCACATTCTATTCTATTCTATTCTGTTCTGTTCTATTCTATTCTATTCCATTCCATTCCATTCCATTCCATATTCTATTCTATTCTATTCTATTCTATTCTATTCTATTCTATTCTATTCTATTCTATTCTATTCTATTCTATTCTATTCTATTCTATTCCATTCTATTCTATTCCATATTCTATTCTATTCTATTCTATTCTATTCTATTCTATTCTATTCTATTCTATTCTATTCTATTCTATTCTATTCTATTCCATTCCATATTCTATTCCATTCCATATTCTATTCTATTCTACTCTACTCTACTCTACTCCACTCCACTCCACTCCACTCCATTCCATTCCATTCCATTCCATTCCATTCCACATTCTATTCTATTCTATTCTATTCTATTCTATTCTATTCTATTCTATTCTATTCTATTCTATTCTATTCTACTCTACTCTACTCTACTCTACTCTACTCTACTCCACTCTAATCATGTTTTTCCTAAGGTCAGAAGGATAAGCTCTACCTGCAAGCTTAGCTTACTGGCCTAAATAGATTTTTTTTTTGCTTTGATCCTCATTCTCTATCATGTTCTCATCCATGAAGAGCGTTTTCTCCAAGGCATCTTCTTGACAAATAGAAGACAAAGGTTGAATAGCATCATGGGAAACATCAGTTAACGAGCTGGGAAAAGATAACGTGTACAATATCAGTTTACCGAGAACGTCTCTTTGGGTTGAACTCGGTTGTCGGAAAAGACAACCTGCAGCCACCACTGTGCCTATCAATGCCTGCTATATTTCTTTTTAAAGAAATGGATTTATTAACTTTATCCACAGGGTGCAAAAATGTTCAGAAATCAACCTGATGGACCCTCACCATCTGGCGATGGCTTTGTCCTCCTGCCTCTTTCAGACCAAAGGACAGACGAGCGAGGAAGTTGACGTGGTGGAGGACTTAATTATAAATTACGTGCAGCTTTTTGATGTGAGTCCTCTGCGTATCAATCGGGGGGGATATAATTCGGCAAACGGGACGAAAGCTTCAAATGCTGCTTCGTGTCTATGCTTGGGAAGGTGGTTTTTTTTGTTTTTTTTTAATCAAGCTTGGTAAATTATTTGCTTTGTAATCTGAATGGTTCTAAAGATAAGCCAGGGTTTTGTTGAACAGGCTGCCTTCAGCCGGGACTCCCACTTATTTCCATGAAATATACAATATGGGAAAACACTCACGGAGCCACTGCGACTGGGTGAAGGCTAACACTGTTTTTCGTAGGCTAAAGGTGTTGTTACGTCTCTGGTGTCGTCCCCGTAGAAGTGGCTTAGTTAGGAGGTCCAGGAGCGTACGGGGTTTTTCCACAAGCACAAGAGGCATGCTTACAAGAGGCATGCTTAAAATATTTTTATTATATATATATATATATATATATATATATATATATATATATATATATATATACACAAGGATGTTGGCATGGTGGGCTTGGTCAGCCAGAGAGCGCCCGTTTTCTGAAAGTAGTAGCCCAGGAGAAATAACCTTGATGTAATGCAGGCTGGGGGTCTCTTTGGAAATATACCAGCGTTTTGTCCTTCTCTTCTGTATCTCTCTCTCTCTTCTCCTTCCTCCCTCCCTCCCTCCCTTCCTTTCCCCTCCCTCCCTCCCTCCTTATGTCTTCCTTCCTTCCTTCCTCCCCTCCCATCTTCCTTCCTTTCTCCCTCCCTCCATCCCTCCCTCCCATCTCCTTCCTCCCTCTCTCCCCTCCCCTCCCTCCCTCCCTTCCTTCCTCCCTTCCTCCCTCCCTCCTCCTTTCCCTTCCCTCCCATCATTCCCTCCCTTCCTTTCCCTTCTATCATCCCTCCCTTCCTTTTCCCTTCCCCCATCTCCCTCCTTCCTTTCTCCTCCCTTCCCGCCATCTTCTTCCTTCCTTCCTTCCTTCCTTCCTTCCTTCCTTCCTTCCTTCCTCCTCCCCCTCCCTCCCTCCTCTTCCCTTCCCTCCCATCATCTTTCTTCCTTTCTTCTATCCTCCCTCCCTCCTCCCTTCCCTTCCCACCCATTTCCCTCCTTCTTTTCTCTCTCCCTTCCCACCATCCCTCTTCCTTCCTTCCTCTCTTCCCTCCCATCTTCCTTCCTTTCTCCCTCCCTCCTTCCCTCCCTCCCATCCCCTTCCTCCCTCTCTCCCCTCCCCTCCCTCCCTTCCTTCCTCCCTCCCTCTCTCCCTCCTCCTTTCCCTTCCCTCCCATCATCTTTCTTCCTTTCTTCTATCCTCCCTCCCTCCTCCCTTCCCTTCCCCCCATCTCCCTCCTTCCTTTCTCTCTCCCTTCCCGCCATCTTCTTCCTTCCTTCCTTCCTTCCTTCCTTCCTTCCTTCCTTCCTTCCTTCCTTCCCTCCTTCCTTCCTCCCTCCCTCCCTCTCTCCCTCCCTCCTCCTTTCCCTTCCCTTCCCTCCCATCATCTTTCTTCCTTTCTTCTATCCTCCCTCCTCCCTTCCCTTCCCACCCATCTCCCTTCTTCCTTTCTCTCTCCCTTCCCGCCATCTTCTTCCTTCCTTCCTTCCTTCCTTCCTTCCTTCCTTCCTTCCTTCCTTCCTTCCTTCCTCCCCCCCCCTTTATCCCCCCTTCTGATAGATTGTGTGGTCTTGTAGGATCACATAACTCTGTCATGTACCTACATATAGAAAGCTCGGCAATTTCTTTGAACATGCTTACCTGCTGACAAAATACACAGTAATTTAAAAGTTTAATTGGAAATGTAATATATGTACATACATACGTACGTACATACATACATATATACATACATACATACCTGCCAAATTGTACCAGTAGCATTACAAATACTTGTATTAGTAAATTTCAAATACTTGTTTTTACTTAAATTGATTCTTTGGAGGTTTTTTTTTTTTTTGAAGTAATGTTTAATTTATAGCCACCACAGAAGCATGGATTAAGGTTTAGCGTTTGAAAACATTTCTCTGTGGATATTCTGTTTTACTTTTTTAGGAAGATCAAAAGAAGGCTGCTAGCACCTTTTGTAACACGGAACCGCAGCTCATTTTATCAGATGCAAAAAATGGCTGAATGAATGTAGGAGCTAAATTGAATTTTAATTGAAGTGGGCTGGGGGAAAAAGGAAGGGGAAGGTAGGAGGGCTATACAAATTTATAAGATTGGCCAGCGTCCCTAATAGAACACATTGCTGTCAGGATAATAACCTTCAACTTCGACTTTTCACTTTTACATAATAATATATGGTAGCCATTTCTATGACAACAAACTTATCAAATCAGCAAACCAAAAAACTAAAGGTTTATTTTTTTTCTCCACCTCAAGCATAAAGTCCAAAAGCGGTTTCCAAATAGAAACAAAATTAATTTCATTCTTTTCTTCAATCATTTCAGAATAACAGAGTTGGAATGGAGGTCTTCTAATCCAATCCCTCAGTCAAAAACTATGTTACATGCTCAAAAACGTGTAGAGTGCTCAAAAACTATATTTTTCCTCTTATTTGTCTGGGTAATGGATCCCTCCTATTTCTCCAGCTTATCTTCCTCGCTGTCTACATCACTGTTTCTCAGCTTTAGCAGCTTAAAGACATATGGACTTCAACTCCCAGAATTCCTCAGCTGGCTGAATGATGAACTCTGGGAATTGAGGTCCACACGTTTAAGTTGGTTAGTTTCAAAACAGTGGTCTATACCAGTGTCTCTTTGGGGATGAGAGAGATACAGGGAGAGAGAGAGAGATACACACAAATAGAGAAAGAGAAACACACAGCGAGAAAGAAGAGAAACAGAAAGAGAAAGAAAGAAAAAGAAAGAGAGAAAGAGAAACAGGGAGAAAAAGAGAAATAGAGAGAGAAAGAAACAGAGAGAAAGAGAAACAATGAGAAAGAGAAACAGAGAGAAAGAGACAAAGAGAAACGGAGAGAAACAGAGAAATGTTTTCATAGAAATATCAAATAGTGTTAAAAATGAAATATTTGATATTTCATAGAAATATTTTCATAGAAATATCAATTAGTGTTAAAAATGAAATATTTGATATTTCATAGAAATATTTTCATAGAAATATCTAATAGTGTTAAAATGGAAATAGTTCATATTTCACAGAAATGTTTTCATAGAAATATAAACTGGTGTTAAAATGGAAATATTTCATATTTCATAGAAATATCAAATAGTGTTAAAAAGGAAATACTTTATATTTCATAGAAATGTTTTCATAAAAATATAAACTGGTGTTAAAATGGAAATACTTCATCTTTCATAGAAATGTTTTCATAGAAATATCAAATAGTGTTAAAATGGAAATTTCATATTTCATAGAAATGTTTTCATACAAATATCAAATAATGTTAAAATGGAAATATTTCATATTTCATAGAAATGTTTTCATACAGATATCAAATAATGTTAAAATGGAAATATTCCATATTTCATAAATCAATCTTTTTTTGGTTTCTGCAGCTCCTCCATTTTGTTTCACGGTACAGTTTGTGCTCTCTGTTTATTGCTTGTAAAATTTGCTAATTCCCGCTTGACTTGCAACGGGCCACGTTGATGTGTGATTGCTAGAAAACATAAAAACCATAATGGAAACCTCAAAAGCAGCTGTAAAGCTGTCCAGAAAAGCCTTTCCTGAAATATCTAGTTGTAAATGTAAAATGGCTAGTAAAATAACCAGATTTTATTACGTACTTTGTCAGGTCACACAAATGTGGTAATGTAGAGAGGAGTGTATAGCAGCCGAAATATAAAAAGAGAGGATCAATAAAACTCAAGTGCATAATAAGATGGATAGATAATTGTCAATCATTTCTGACTCTAGAAATGATCTTCAGGTTTTCCAATTACTAAGCAGTGATTAAAATTGTCAGAGAATTAACAAACAGGCTGGAGAGCTTTCGTTTCCAGGTTTAGTGTCATGTCAATGTAAGTTGGTTCAAACTTCTAATTAAAGGCTAAAGTCTACATTTCAGCAGGCTAAAGGTCCTTTTTAAATTTCCTTAAGTTAAGATTAGCACACTTGCAGTCTAGATTGAAAACATTTAATTCAAAGCATGCGAATATAACAGTTCCGATGAACAGTGTTAATTGGAAGAAAGATTGAGGTTCTATAACAATGGTGGCGAACCTATGGCACGCGTGCCAGAGGCGGCACTCAGAGCCCTCTCTGTGGGCACGTGCGCCATTGCCTCAGCCCCGCCTCCCCCTGTGGCCCCCTCCTCACCAGCAGCCCCCCCCAGAGGAGAATCACACCCGAGCAGCCAAGGACATGATGATGCTGCAGGACGCGGGCAGAGGGTGTGGCTTCCATGGCGCTGCTGGGCTGCCTGGGCAATCTGCGGCAGGCCATGGAGCGGTGGGGGGCATGGTCGGGGGCCCTGTGGGCAGGTGGGGGATGGGGCAGGGGTGGTTTTTGGGCACTTGGTCTCTAAAAGGTTTGCCATCACTATTCTATAACGCAAGAATCCCACCTTATTTTCAAATAGGCAACTTGTGACGTTGTTGGTTTCATTTTGCTTCTTTGATACAAAGAGTTGGAAAGTTGCCTAAGATAAAACAGTCTCTGTAGATTTATTGTGTTGGTAAATACTAGATTTTTTTTAAATATATATATATATATATATATATATTAATGAAAGAAATAACTTTTGCAACAGTGCTGGACGGAATAGGTCAAATGATTTGACTAAACAAAGAATTCAATAATACAGGGCTGGAATAAATTTGTTTTACAGAAGAATTTGATATTGTTTGCTCCTTATTATATTACTGAAGAACCATTTTGGGAGATGGACATCTCCCTTTATTAGCCTGGTCTGTGAACAGTGGATGCAAGAATAGAACTGATGTCCTTTTCTTTGTTAAAAAAAAAAGATGCTTGGGCGACTCATTAAATTGTTCTTGTTGTTTTTACACAGATTCAGCAAGATCAAGTGAAGCAAATGGACATTGAAAACAGCTTTATCACCAAATGGAAAGACACGCAAGTATGTAAGGATGGTTCCTTCACTTGTGGATAGAGTGGAGTGGAGTGGAATGGAATAGAATAGAATAGAATAGAATAGAATATGGAATGGAATAGAATATGGAATGGAATGGAATGGAATATAATATAATAGAATAGAATATGGAATGGAATATAGAATAGAATAGAATAGAATAGAATAGAATAGAATAGAATAGAATAGAATAGAATAGAATAGAGTAGAATAGAATAGAATATGGAATGGAATATAGAATAGAATAGAATAGAATAGAATAGAATAGAATAGAATAGAATAGAATAGAATATGGAATGGAATATGGAATGGAATATAGAATAGTATAGAATAGAATAGAATAGAATAGAATAGAATAGAATAGAATAGAATAGAATAGAATAGAATATGGAATGTATAGAATAGAATAGAATAGAATAGAATAGAATAGAATATGGAATGAATAGAATAGAATAGAATAGAATATGGAATGGAATATGGAATGGAATATAGAATAGAATAGAATATGGAATGACTAGAATAGAATAGAGTAGAGTAGAGTAGAGTATAGAGTAGAGTAGAGTAGAGTAGAGTAGAGTAGAGTAGAATAGAATAGAATAGCCTTCCTAATTCAGCCTCCTTCCCTGTTTGCCTGCAGCCTGAAAGATTTCAAAATAAATAAATACATCTTCAGAGCATGTTTATCAGGAGTCTAAAACGGACTGATGATCAAGGGTAGACTAGACCAGGGGTAGGCAACCTTGGCTCTTTTATGACTCGTGGACTTCAACTCCTAGAATTCCTGAGCCAGCCATGTTGAGGGAAAAGGGAGAGGTTTCCAAGCTGAGCCATGCTGGCTCAGGAATTCTGGGAGTTAGTCCACCAGTCATAAAAGAGCCAAGGTTGCCTACCCCTGGATTAGATCATATTACAAATTTGAAATAAAAGAAAAAAAAATCATTTCCCCCTAGGTGGAGCCAGTTTTCCTTGGCACCTCTGCTTCTTTTCCCAAATCTTAAACCAAAATCTGGTGACGCTTCAAGCTTGCCTCCTCTTAAAACCTTCAAAAGATTCAAAAGGATAGACTTTGCCGTGGCCTTTTTATTATGATTTGTTTGTACAGGATTTAAAAGATATTTGTTGCAAAGAAAGCTTTTGGTGAGGCAGGGTCTTTATCATCATGGGGGTAAAAAAAAGGCATGCTGTGTTAAAAATAAAGCACGCTTAGCCCAAAATTTGCAGCTTAAAAAAAAGAAGGAATTTTGTTTTGTTGATAATAACCTTGTTTGTCATTGGGGTTGACGCTTGGTTAACCTTGATTCTTTCTGTTTGCAGCACAAACTTCCCCACCCCTCTAGTGTGCAATTGTTTACATGTACTAGTGCAAATTAAATATCAACCTCATTCTATCCCCCAACATTTTTTTTTTTTTTTTTAGTGGAATCCTCTCAAAAGCAGAGTTTACCAGGAAATGAGCTTTTTCTGAGTCAGGGCCAGCATAATTAGGTTTTCTTCAAAGTCACTTTGTGATGTTTTTTTTTCCCTCTCTCTTTTCACAAATGATTTCATTAATTTCTCTAGAGGTTGCAGTGACCCTAGACTGCTAATCTTTCCATTGTGTGGCTCCTTCCAAGCCGAAGTCTTGTGTTTATTTATTTATTTGCTCACGGAAGATAGATTATTTGTATTAGAAAATTGCATGGACTAGCTTCCATAACCATTTTTTTTTTTTTTTTGCTTTTCTAATTCTATACCATCATGCCAATAAATGTGCCTGGTCTCTATAAACCATCAGGGCAGTGACGGATGTCATTACTGTATATATTGTAACAATCCTTAGTAAAAGAGAATGTTTTTAGCGCAGGGTTGAACTGCGGGATCCTTGGTGCTCTCTGAGCTTGGTGGTTTTCTTGCAGACGTTTCATTGCCCAAATAGGTAACATCTTCAGTGCTAGGAGGAAGTGAGGATTGTGAAATGGAGGAGGAGGAGGAGGAGAAGGAGGAGGAGGAGGAGGAGGAGGAGGAAAAGGAGGAGGAGAAGGAGGAGGAGAAGAGGAGGAGGAGAAGGAGGAGGAGGAGGAGGAGGAGGAGGAAGATTCAGTTGTTTCACTCGAAATTCAATTGTTTAAGGAAACCTTAATATACTAGAATCAGGAAAAAGAGATGCGCCCATATGTCAATTCATTGCATTTTATATACATACATACATACATACATACATACATACATACATACATACATATATATATATATATATAACTTTTATTTTAGATTTCTCAAGCTGGAGACTTGCTAATCGAAGTTTACGTGGAAAGGAAGGAACACGATTCCAGCATTATAATAAGGGTTTGTATAACATTTTTTTTTAACATTTTAACATTTTTTTATTTTGTCTGTTGCTTTAAAGGGCATTCAAAAGGCCATTTTCTCTCTTTTTTTCAAACATTGGCCTAAGTTGCTAATTTTTTAAATTTATATCTATTTTTTTATTATTACATTTTGCAGAATGAGTTCCAGACTCTGTCATAAACATGCACGGAACCCTATCTCTAGTCTAGTGTAAAGAAGGACCAGGAGTGACGTGATAGCAGGGTTCCAATATTTGAGGGGCAGCCACAAAGAAAAGGGGGGTCAACCTATTCTCCAAAGCACCCGAAGGCAGGACAAGAAGGAACGGATGGAAACTAATCAAGGAGAGAAGCAACCTAGAACTAAGGAGAAATTTCCTGACAGTTAGAACAATTAATCTGTGGAAACCAGAAGTTGTGGGTGCTCCAACACTGGAAGTTTTTAAGAATAGAATAGAATAGAACAGAACAGAACAGAACAGAACAGAACAGAATAGAATAGAAGCTGTAAGGGACCTTGGAGGTCTTCTAGTCCAGCCCCCTGCTCCAGCAAGAGAACCTATACCATTTCAGACAAATGGTTGTCCAGTTTCTTCTTAAAAACTTCCAATGTTGGAGCATTCACAACTTCTGGAGGCAGGCTGTTCCACCGATTAATTGTTCCAACTGTCAGGAAATTTCTCCTTAGTTCCAGGTTGCTTCTCTCCTTGATTAGTTTCCATCCGTTGCTTCTTGTCCTGCCTTCAGGTGCTTTGGAAAATAGCTTGACTCCCTGCAGGATGCAGAATGGAATGGAATGGAATGGAATGGAATAGAATAGAATGGAATAGATCATAAGCCTGAAAAACGGTCATATGTCACTTTTTTCAGTGCTGTTGTAATAATAATAATAAAGTTGGAAGGGATCTTGGAGGTCATCTAGTCCAACCCCCTGCTTAGGCAGGAACTTAGGCACTAAACAAACTGTTATAAGCCAAAGACTACATATTCTCCAGTTACAGCAACTGTAAGCTTCGTGTTTTAAACTGATTCCAACTGTGGAAATTTCTAAAGAAATGCCCGAAAGACCTCCATAGCAAGATGGGAAGAGCAGGAGAGGGGGGGGAGAGGGGGGGGGAAGAGGTCAGCAGGACTTTTGTTTTTAATTTGAAGGATTGATGAGATTTGTCTCTCTCTTTCTCTAAGAAATATCAAATGGGTCTCTGGAGGGGAAATGACATGGGACGAAATGCTTCCCATAACATTCTTTCTGTAATTTTTAACCGTAATGAGTCTTTCCTGATATCTTTCTTTCAGAGCTGATAATGGTGTCTTGGTTGAGCATTGCCCTCCCCCCCCTCCCCGTGAGAGCATAAAACTCTGGACCCAAGTTTTAGACCCTCTCGGTAATTTTGAGTCGTTTCTAAACTCTTCATCTGATCTTCAAAGTAGATCTCCCCAACAGTGGAGGCAGAAGAATTGACGAATGACGTCCTGGGAATTAAAAACATCACACCCCACAAGGACGACACGTGGGCCACCTTTGAAGTGATCGAAAATGGAGAACTGGGTCAGTCCCGTTTTGGCGCCATCTTTGAATATTTAGGTTTACGATTCCTTGCTTGTTTTCTTTGCAGAAAAAAAAGATAATAATACTGGGAGTCTCAGCACTCTTCCATGGAAACCCTCAATGCAAAGGGATTCTGAAGGTGTTTAAGAAGTTCATTTTGGAGAGGTGACAGGAGATGGACTATCTTAGCTGAACTCCTCTCCTCTCCCCTCCCCCCCTTCATTTCCTCTTCTTTTCCCTCCCCTCCCCTCTAGTTTATGCCCCCTCCCCTCCCCTTCCTTCCGTCCTTCCTTCCATACATGCCTTCCTCCCTCCCTTCCATACATTCCTTCCTTCCTTCTTTCCATATATGCCTTCCTTCCTTTCTTTCTTCCTTCCTTTACATTCCTTCCTTCCATACATGCCTTCCTCCCTCCCTCCCTCCCCTTCCTTCCTTCCTTCCTTCCTTCCTTCCTTCCTTCCTTCCTTCCTTCCTTCCTTCCATAAATCCTTTCCTTCCTTCCATACATGCCTCCCTCCCTCCCTCCCTCCCTTCTATACATTCCTTCCTTCCTTCCTTCCTTCCTTCCTTCCTTCCTTCCTTCCTTCCTTCCTTCTATGCCTTCCTTCCTTCCTTCCTTCCTTCCTTACATGCCTCCCTCCCTCCTTCCCTCCCTGCCTCCCTTCCTTCCATATATGCCTTCCTTCTTTGCTTCCTCCCTCCCTCCCTCCCTTCCATACATGCCTTCCACCCGTCCTCCCCTCCCTCCCTCCCTTCCTTCCTTCCATCCTTCCTTGCATACATGTCTGTCTTCCTTCCCGTCCCTCTCCTCCCTCCCCCCCTCCCTCCCTCCCTCCTTCCTTCCTTCCTTCCTTCCTTCCTTCCTTCCTTCCTTCCTTCCTTCCTTCCTTCCATAATTTGCAGTAAGCCGGAAACCTTACAACACTGGAAACTTCTCTAACATGGCAGTTTCAGTCGAGAGAATTTTAGATGTGCATTTATCATCACAAGTAGCTGAGTTTCACTTACTGAGCTCCCATTTCGAAGGGGTGCCTTCTTCGTGAAGTAGCCTTGTCCTCTTTCCAGGGAATTCAGTCTTCCTTCTAACAACCCTCACCTCGAATTATAATTGTTTACTAGATGGAACAAAACTCTGAAAATGCAGGTATATCCTACATTTTCCAGAATGCAATTTTCTTCCAATATTTATTGTTAGATTGGAACAAACAGTTCTGTTGCAGTTTACTAGCCTCATAGAATGACCTTGGGAGCAGAATAATGGTTTATATGTTTGACAGATGTCTGAAGTATTGGAACTGAAATATTAACAATGAGCTGAAATATTTGTATATTGAGTAGCAGAGATAGAAAATTAAGTTATCTGGCCTTATGTAAGGGATTTGCTATGGTGGGACCTGTGGAATATAACATTTCGCTAGCCATTTATATCAGATGAATACTTTGCACATAATGTATGTTCTTGGGGAAATAATGAATGTTTTCCAACCCAATGATTTATGTTCAGCATAAATGTCAACATAGCTGTAAATAAAGCAGTACATATTTACTTAAGGAGCTCACACATTATTTGTTGAATGTGTCTTCTTTTGGTGCTTTTTGTTTTTGAAACTATCTCTTTAAGGTAGAATGAAAATGACCTCCCCATTTGATAATAACCACATTTTAATTCTTTCTTCTCTTCTAGAACGTCCCCTGCATTGCACTGAGAATATTCTAGAACAAATCCTTCACTGGAGCTCCTTGGCCAGCCCCAGCAACGCCTCCCTTATAGTAAAGAAATTTCCAACCGTGGGGCTGATGGGTGAAGGTAAATACCAAAACACATTTCCTCTTACAGGCAGTCCTCAACTTACAACAATTCATTTAGTGACCGTTGGAAGTTACAGTATTGGAGCATTCACCACTTCTGGAGGCAGGTTGTTCCACGGGTTAATTGTTCTAACTGTCAGGAAGTTTCTCCTTAGTTCCAGGTTGCTTCTTTCCTTGATGAGTTTTCCATCCGTTGCTTCTTGTCCTGGTACTTTGGAAGATAGCTTGACTCCCTCTTCTTTGGGGCAGCCCCTGAGATATTGGAAGACTGCTATCATGTCCCCCCTCGTCCTTCTCTTCCTTAAACTAGACATTAAACTTTGCTTTTGAGAGGGTCGCAAAAGGGGATCACATGACCCTGGGACACTGCAACTGTCATAAGTACATGCCAGGTGCCAAGCATTGAATTTTGATCACGTGACCTTGGGGATGAAGAATGTCAGTCTTTTCAGTGCCGTTGTAAATTTGAACTGTTGTAAGTCAAGGACTACCTGCATATTCTATTGACGATGATTGGCCCTTATAAGCTATAGCAGTGGTTCTCAACCTGTGGGTCGGGACCCCATTTGGGGTCAAACGACCATTTCACGGGGGTCGCCAAACAACGCAGTCCGCCATTTTTTCCCCCCTTTTCTTTAACTGTGCTACTCCCTTTTATTCTGTTGGCTTTTGAAAGCCAATAGAATAGACTCTCTTGAATAGAGTCTAATTCTATTGGCTTTCAAAAGCCAATAGGAATTGTCCAGGCTGTCTCTGCCCTGCTGAGCCCGCCAAAAGTCCCATTCTGCAAACGGTGCTGCACCAGCTGAGTAGTCCTCGACTTACGACCGGTTGGGGGTCGCGGCATTAAAAAGGTTGAGAACCACTGAGCTATAGGCATTTCCACTTGTGGTTTTTTTTTTCATCATCTCCTAAGAATCTTATAAACCTGTTTTGTGCAGGTTTATCCTTTGATAGATTTCAGGACAGTTAGCGATTCTGTTTTCTTTGCCTTAATAAGCGGCTCCCGAATCAATCCCAGTGGACTTTTCTGATTTTGGCATTACTGGTCTATCCATTGCCACTGATACATCCTAAAGCTAGGATCTAAAAAAGACAAGAAGGAAAGTAAATCAAATGTGATTTCACTGTCAGTTTCTTAACACAGACAAGCCGACGTCTTTTCGGGAGCTTCTATTGACTGTCGAAAGGAGATTGCTTAGTGTTTGGTTTTTATTTTAAGTAGAGGGCGGGTAGAGTTTCATCCGGCGGCAAATTGGCGATCCGATTCAGCCCCACGGAGGTCTTCATTCCATGGATTGAAATTACGCTCATTCTGCCTTTAAACCATACAAGTCAGGATAAGGAATTGTAATTTTGAAAACCTGGCTTGTTTCAAAGACCACCGTTTGTTGACATTCGCAAATTCGGTTTGGCGAGCAAATCATTTCTCTGGGAAACCGTAACGGGGGATTTACGCATTGCACTAAGGCAGCAACAAGGATGCCACGTCGTCGTTTTAGCATAATGCATGAATCCAAGCTAATAATAATTATATATAGCTGACGTGGGAGCAGATGTTCGCATTTTCCTCCAGTGGGGCTAGCAAAGGTTCATTAAAGCAGCACTAACGTATGCTTTAGCATTCCGTTTGGATCTTGCTAATGTTCTCATTTGTGGAGGGCGATAAACATGGCAAAGAAAACGTAAATCTGGAATTCTGTCCAACCCTTTAATAAAAAGCCCTTATCTAGCTGAATCAGAACTTAGAATAAGACAGGTAACCATATTCTGAGCCGTCCCCATAGCAACACGCCTTACCAGCAATGACCCTGGTTAGGCTCTCTAGTATTTGTCTGTATTTTTCTCCCTGTACAGAATGATATATTGAATATTGTAGGAGGAGGAGAACCTGGGGTGGAGTTAAAAAAGGTTTCAGCCTAGAATCCGTAGGTGGCCACAAAGGAGCAGAGTCCAATCTCCCTTGGATTCCATTGATCTTTATCTAACTCCAAGCAGATGCTATGCATATTCCTGTGCATAGGCATGAGTATAAATCAGTTTAATTGGGCCTTCATGTGTGGACCTGGTCTTCTGCATCTTTTCTTTCCAGGAGAGAAATTTGGGTGTGAGCAAATAGATGGGACATACGTGTTTGTATGTTTGAAAGGGCCTAAGCATGAGGAAGGAAGGAGGGAGGGAGGGAGGGAGGGAGGGAAGGAAGGAAGGAAGGAAGGAAGGAAGGAAGGAAGGAAGGAAGGAATCCAATTATTTTGGGAGAAGAAAAAAGAGACCTGTAGTATTATAGTATATTCAAGCAAAATTGTTTAATCCTGGTTTATAATTTTGCTGTTATCTCTGCTTAAGATTCCAGACATTCAGTGAACCAATCTTCACCCAAGATTAATTTAGGTATGTTGTTTTTCCATATCTTATTCTCTGTAGGAGTGCCATACAGTGCATGCACATATAAAACATACCTATGTGAATAACCTATTACTCATCTTACAAAGAGGATGACGTCCAAAGATTTACAATTTATTGGTTCATTTAATTTAAAGCCGGGGACTTGGAGAAAGAAAATTGCTCACAGAACAAATAGAATAAATTAAAACTGCATTGAATTAAATAAGATATATGCATAAAATCAACCAGTAAAACAATTTAAAGACCATAAGGCAGTACGTAACACTAGAAATATATCATTTTAATCTACTAAACGCTGGCTGGCTATTGTCAGCTGTAGTGAGTTTTAAGTCTGTCAATTTCTGAATTCAAATTTAATGGAGCAGAAGCTTTAAAAAACTAGTTTGGTCTAGACTAGACATTACATCAGAAGCAGGGATACCCAAATTCTAGTTTCCCCTGAGACATCATAGCCATACGAATAATTTTGGGTTACTCGCCCCATCGCAAAATTACCTTGGACACACACACACAGACACACGAAAAGATCAAACTGATTCTAAAAATGTTGCTTTGGAAACTTGTTACTAAGAGTAAAAATTGACTTGAAGGATCAAAGTCACAAGAAGAGCAAACATCAAGAAAAATCAAACCAGTTTTGAAACTGTTGCTTTGGAAACTTATTACTAAGAGTAAAAGTTGACTTGAAGGATCATAGTAAGAAGAAGAACCTGGACACTTTTTTAAAAAGGTTCTGATCAAAATAGCTGCCGGTAAGAAGTGTACAGTCTTGAACTCAGCCCAACCAGAACATCATTTAAATGTTTGCTTGGATTGTGTGAACAAATGTTGGCTAATATAGATACGTTTATGCCTTTGCTTGTTGCAGTGCCTTAAACTAGACCAAGGGTAGGCAACCTTGGCTCTTTTATGACTCGTGGACTTCAACTCCCAGAATTCCTGAGCCAGCCATGCTGAGAGGAAAGGGAGAGGTTTCCAAGCTGAGCCATGCTGGCTCAGGAATTCTGGGAGTTGAAGTCCACCAGTCCTAAAAGAGCCAAGGTTGCCTAGCCCTGAACTAGACTTTGAAGAAATATGTTTAATCATAGCTAAAGACACCACATTTCCACCCAAGCAAGGTATTTTCCAAGAGCCAAAAAGTCTAAAATAATAGAGGAGAACTCCAATTGTTTATCCTTTTGTGTTTTTTCCAGATTAATTTAAAAAGGTATATGGGTAGTCCTCAATTTACCTTAGTGACCGTTCAAAGGTATAATGGTCCTGGAAAAAATGACCTATGACTGTTTTTTATGCGTACAACCGTTGCAGCATCCCCAGGGTCACGTGACTTGCACTCAGACGCTTTGAGAGCTGACTTATATGATGATCACAGCGTCCCCCCGGGGTCACGTGATCCCCTTTTGCGACTTTCTGATCAGCAGAGCCAATGGGGGGAGCCAGATTTCACTTAACCACCGTGTTACTAATTTAACAACTGCGGAGATTCACTTAACAACGGAGGCAAGAAAAGCGGTAAAATGGGGAAAAGCTCACTTAAAAAATTTTCTCACTTAGCAACATACCGTACTTTCCGGCGTATAAGACGACTTTTGAAAGCATTGAAATCGGCGCTGAAGTCGGGGGTCATCTTATACGCCGAGTCATCTTATACGCTGGAAATAACGGTAGTTTCCGACATATAAGACAACTTTCAAGGCATGCGACTTGGCACCGAAGTTAGGGGTCGTCTTATACGCCAGGTCGCCTTATACGCTGGAAAATACGGTAAATGTTGTGCTCAATTGTGGTCACCTTTAAAATGTAGTACACTGTATAATATATAATATAATATATTACTAGATTATATTAATTATTTTATATTATATTAATTATATTAATTATTATTATATTGACTATATTATATATTAATCATATATTTAAAATTAATTATATTATATTAATCATATTATAGTATATTATAGTATATTATAGTATAGTTATAGTATAGTATAGTATAGTATAGTATAGATAGTATAGTATATTATAGTACAGTATAATATAGTATAGTTATGTTATATTATATTATGGTATAGTATAGTATAGTATAGTATGGTATAGTATAGTTATGTTATAATGTTATATAATATTATGTTATATTATATTATATTATAGTATAGTATAGTATATTGTATTGTATTATATTATATTATATTATATTATAGTATAGTATAGTTATAATGTTATGTTATATTATGTTATATTGTATTGTATTGTATTATATTATAATATATTATAGTATAGTATATTATATTGTATTATATTATAGTATATTATATTATAGTATAGTATAGAATATTTATTATAATATAATATAGCATAGCATAGTATAGTATAATATATAATAATATAATATATAATATAGTATACTATACTATACTATACTATACTGTATTATACTGTACTATACTACATTATAATATATAATAATATATATAATAATATATTATAGTGTATAATAATGTAGTATATAATAATATAATATACAATAACAAATATATATAAATATAATAAAAAAAAGAGATTGTGAAAACCAACTGCTTTTTTTTAATCGACAGAGGAAATGTCCAAAGGCCCCATCAAAGCCGGCTACCTGAAATACAAAGAAGAACCCTCCAAACTTCTGTCTGCCAATAAGTTTCAAGACCGTTATTTTGTTTTACGAGAAGCAAAATTGTGGCTTTATAAGGACATGAAGGTACAAATTCCATCGTGACCTCTTTAAACTCGCCTCCCCCAGTTCCACCCCTTCCTTTTGCCTGACTGAGGATTTCTGGGAATTGAAGTCCACCAGTCATCAAAGGGCCACGTTTGAAGACCCCTGTCTTAAATTTAACAAAGAAAATGGAGGCTGGCTGAGGAATTCTGGGAGTTGAGGTCCACAAGTCATCAAAGGGCCACGTTTGAAGACCTCTGTTGTCGTGAATTTCATATTACCAAGAGAGAGTCCTAATTTCCTTTCTGCTCCGAAGAATCCATCTAAGCATGAATGTGGACCCTTTAAATTTATTTTTATGTGTCTAGACTTCTTTTCTTCAGGCTTAAAATAGGTTGCATAAATTCTAGGTCATTATTTACGGAAAAGCAAGGTTTACAGTTGCCGAACAAAAAGCTTTTTGCTTGTTTCCCCTTTAGCTTGTTGCACATTTTTTTCTTTTCTTTTCTTTTTTTTTTAAAAAAAAAATTCTATTTCTCCCTGAAATTAATAGCTTGTCTGAAACCCAACTTGCAAATCTTGGGAAACTCATGATCTCAGCAAAGTGGCTGTGTTTGTTTTGCCTATGCATAATGTTACATTAATTGCCTGGCAAGAAAAAGGGAAAGAAAGAAAGAAAGAGAGAGAAAGAAAGAAGGAAGGAAGAAAGAAAGAAAGAAAGAAAGAAAGAAAGAAGGAAGGAAGGAAGGAAGGAAGGAAGGAAGGAAGAAAGAAAGAAAGAAAGAAAGAAAGAAAGAAAGAAAGAAAGAAAGAAAGAGAAAGCTCGAAGAAGCAGCGCTATTATTTTAAAAAATGTGCAGTCACTTCCTCATATCTAGATTAATAAGTACATTTCTGCTGCTGGAATGGATGCTTTATTACAGCTAGTATCATTTTTGAAATACTAAAAGCCCAATTAGCCATGAATTTCTGAGGGGGGGGGAAGAGAAAGTGCCCTGAACTGAGCTAATTTATTTTTGCCTAATTGGCACGTAATGTTTCATACTCTCAGCTCCTAAGTCTGACTGAGTTTAAAGGTGGGTAGGGGGTCACTTTGACATTCCAGCACTTCAGCGCTTTAAACTCCCCTACGTACAAATCCGCCTGGGAAAATGAAAACTGCCTAATGGATTTCAAGAGACCTCTAGCATTCCATATTATTACATTGACAAATTAAACTCTGCTATTTAATTACGGGCTTTTTATCCAGTTGAGAATTTTGCCTTGAGAAAAAAAAGGGAGCTTTTGTAGTGTCTCTGGGTGGTTGGGTGCACAAAGAATAACATGGCAACCTGTCACAATTTCCTCTTCCTTCATCTTGGCAAATGAAGGCAGGAGCTGCATAGAAATATAGTCACAGGGCTGGAAGGGACCTTGGAGGTCTTCTAGTCTAACCCTCTGGTTGGCTTTCCATTTCTCCTGGCATCAGCTTTTTAAAAAAATATTATTATTATGGATCATCACACAGTCAGCCAGATGTTCAGACTGGATTTGGCATTTTGTCTACCTATCGAGTCCTTACCCAGGACCTGGGATAGGCAGATGTGGATGTTTGATGGTATTACAGATATCGTCGCAGGATGGAAGCAGTTCCTAATAAGGCCTCCTTCTGCAATTGACTTATTATTATTATTATTATTATTATTATTATTGATCATCACACAGTCAGCCAGATGTTCAGACTAGATTTGGCATTTGTGTCTACCTATCGAGTCCTTCCCAAGGACCTGGGATAGGCAAATGTGGATGGTTGATGGTATTATAGATATTGTTGCGGGATGGAGGCGCTTCCTAGTAAGGCCGCCTTTTGCAATTGACTAATGGCAAATTTGTCAATGCCGATGATGGTGTCCAAGTGGTTCTCCTGTTGTTTTGGGATTGCACCCAAGGAGCCTATTACTATTGGTACTACCCTTGCTTGCCTTTGCCACAGTCTTTCTATTTCTGTTTGTAGGTCTTCGTATTTTGTTATCTTCTCCAATTCTTCCTTGTCTATTCTGCTGTCTCCAGGCACTGCCACGTCCACTATCCAGACTTTTTTGTCTTTTTTATCGACAATTGTTAAGTCCGGGGTGTTATGTTGCAGGTGCTTGTCTGTTTGAATTCTGAAGTCCCAGAGCAGTTTAACGTTATCATTTTCTATGACTCTCTATTTTATGATCCCACCAGTTTTTGCTTACAGGCAAATGATATTTTTTGCAGATCTTCCAATGCACCATTGTTGCTACTTTGTCATGCCGCTGCTTGTAGTCAGTCTGTGCGATCTTCTTGCAACAGCTTACCACCGGGAAATGTTCAGAAGGTGAACAGATATGGAGGCCTTCTGATATGTTTCCGCTTTGCTAATAATGCTTGTTTCTCCCCCTCAACAGAGCAGCAAAGCTGAAAAAGCCTTTCCTGTCAACTCAATGAAACTTTACCTCGGGGTGAAGAAAAAACTGAAACCACCAACAAAGTAAGAAAGAGGCAAGAAAAACCCATGTTGGCTGCTTTGTTAGGATTGTGATGCTACAGAAGGGCAAAGCTTTGAAAAACCAAAGTGATTAAGGGAACTAATCTGTATCTATTGCCTGGTCTGTGATCTGCCACAGTTCCTCAATGTTAGTTATTTGGGGGCCTCTGTTATTAGTTTGGTATTGAGAAATTATTGAACAGTTACTTCTAATCTCGGTATGCTATCGCCTCTGGGTTATATTGCAAATAGAATAGAATAGAATAGAATAGAATAGAATAGAATAGAATAGAATAGAATAGAATAGAGAAATGAATAATGGAATAGAATAATGGAATGAAGAATGGAATAGACTAATAGAATAGAATAGACAGAATAGAATAATAGAATAGAATAGAATAGAATAGAATAGAATAGAATAGAATAGAATAGAGAAATGAATAATGGAATAGAATAATGGAATGAAGAATGGAATAGACTAGACTAGATAGAATAGAAAACAGAATAGAATAGAATAGAATAGAATAGAATAGAATAGAATAGAATAGAATAGAATAGAATAGAGAAATGAATAATGGAATAGAATAATGGAATGAAGAATGAAATAGACTAGACTAGACTAGAATAGAAAACAGAATAGAATAAGAAAATAGAATAGAATAAGAAAATAGAATAGAATAAGAAAATAGAATAGAATAGAATAGAATAGACTAAAGAAATGAATAATGGAATAGAATAATGGAATGAAGAATGGAATAGACTAGACTAGACTAGAATAGAATAGAAAACAGAATAGAATAAGAAAATAGAATAGAATAGAATAGAATAGAATAGAATAGAATAATGAAACAAATGGAATAATGGAATGAAGAATGGAATAGAATAGGATGGAATGGAACGGAACAGAACAGAACAGAATAGGATTCTTTATTGGCCATGTGTGATTGGACACATAAGGAATTTGTGTCCGGTGCATAAGCTCTCAGTGTACACACATACAACAACAAAGTGTTCAGAGTAGCAGATTTCCACAAAAGTTCAACCATTGCCCAAAAAGCTCAAACGTTAAACAAAAACAACACACCAGATTTCAGCCTCTGAAATTGTAGGATTCTCCTAAATTCACAGTAGGGGCTAATCAAGGAGAAATTTTGTAGCTCGGAGTTGAAATGAAGGGTTCCTTAGTGCTCTCTGAGCTCGGTTGTTTTCTTGCAGACATTTCATTACCAAACTAGATAACATCATCAGTGCCAGTCACAGTAGGGGGCTATATGTGATTTCCGAGCCCTCTGAACAGGGTAGCAGCAATTTGGCTTTGGGAAGGTTAATCCTCTTTTCTTTCTTAATTACCCGACATATCTATGTATGAATGATGTTTTGTTTTGGTTTTTCAGCTGGGGTCTAACACTGCTGTCTGAAAAGCATCATTGGTGAGTAAGACATACTAAATTGGGATGTGTATTCTTTGTAAATGATGGGTTGGAATAACCCCATGCAAGCACAGTACCTCTTCGTTGTTCATTAAAGCAGCCACATCCTTTTTTTCCTCCTGGCTTCTTAATGAGTCTGGAAATAATATATTGTTGTTTAAATATTCTTACTATTAAAAATAGTATTAAATCCTCCCTTTAAAGCTGTTACATTTATTGGTTTAAGTTGTAAGGAAGCCTGAAACAACATGGCTGCTTTAAAACAATTGTAATACCCACTTTGTCATATCTGAACAATTGCAGCTGAGACTCCTAACTTATGATTATGATTATAAAATAGGAGTCAGAAAAATTGTTCTGTAAACTTGAATGTTTTCTTTAACTGTGTGGTTCTGCTTCATGGATATGTATATCAATCTATACATATATCAATCAGTTTAATATAACATATATGGTACAGGGCTCCATACTGTGAACTCCATACTTCAGCTATCATTCTTGTTTTAATTTTTTAAATATTTGTTAATGATAATCATTTTAGATATTCATTGTTGTATTGCCTTTTTTTGTTATACTCTGCCCAGGGTCACTTGCTAATGAGAAGGGCAGTTATATGATAGATAGATAGATAGATAGATAGATAGATAGATAGATAGATAGATAGATAGATAGATAGATAGATAGATAGATAGATGGATGGATGGATGGATGGATGGATGGATGGATGGATGGATGGATGGATGGATGGGCGGGCGGGCGGGTAGGTAGGTAGGTAGGTAGATGGATGGATGGATCATAAATTAGATAGATAGATAGATAGATATTTAGATAGATATTTAGATAGACAGACAGACAGACAGACAGAAGATAGATAGATGGATGATAGATAGATAGATATTTAGATAGATAGATATTTAGATAGATAGTTAAACAGACAGACAGATAGATAGATGATGGATGGATGGATGATAAATTAGATAGATAAATATTTAGATAGATATTTAGATAGATATTTAGACAGACAGACAGACAGATAGATAGATGATGGATGGATGGATGGATGATAAATTAGATAGATAGATATTTAGATATTTAGATAGATAGATAGATAGATATCTAGATAGATATTTAGACAGACAGACATACAGATAGATAATCAAGAGATGATTGATAGATAAATATGTAAGCGGTATTTTGTCTTTTTCATTTCCCAAAAAATCTAATAAGCTGAAGGTTTTCCCAAAGAAATTTACAGCTAAGCAGATTGATCACTCAAATGAGATCATGCCTGCTTAGATCAGTCTAAAGCTTGATTAATTGCAGTGGACTAGCTGTTTGAGGAATAGGAAATCTTGCAATGAAAACTGATTATCTGGCAATAATAAAATGTGCCTTCTGAGATATACACACACTGTACGCCTTGGCTATATTTATACCCTATTCTTTATTCTTGCTTAATTTATTCTTGCTAAGGAGGATTTAGCTTAGCAGCTAAGGGCTTCCCTTGCACGAGGACTGAGTATATTATGGCACCAGGAGTGAATTCATATTAATTTGTCTTCTAGGTATTTGTGTTGTGATGGACAGAATTCTCAGCTCGAATGGCTGAACAGCATTTTTACAGCTCAGGTATTTCTCTCGGTTTCTTTTTCAGATTTAAATTGCACCAGGCTCCAAAAAGTAAATTTGAATTGCAATAGCTGCTTATTATATGCTTCTGTGCTTTTTTAATTTATGTATGTATGTACACGCTATATTTGAACCAAAAACTAAATATTGAAAAGTCATTGTATATATTGCCATCAGCACATTTTTTTTGTCTAAAATCTATGCTACAGCTCAACAAAGTATGATTGGTTAATGTGGTTCCCCCAATCACAGTTCTCTTTATAGACAGTATCTCTATTCTTGTCAGCTTTTCCTTGTTTCCTTATTTGTTCAACTCAAAATTCTTGATGATTCACTTCCCTAACAAATGACTGCATTCAACTGCATTGTGTTGAGATGGTACACACACACACACACACACACACACACACAGATGAGATAGATAGATAGATAGACAGACAGACAGACAGACAGACAGACAGAGATAATGGATGGATGTATAAGAGGTAGGTAGGTAGGTAGGTAGGTAGGTAGGTAGATAGATAGATAGATAGATAGATAGATAGATAGATAGATAGATAGATAGATAGACGGATGGATGGATGGATAATAGATAGACAGACAGACATACATAATGGATGGATGGATGGATGGATGGATAATAGAGATAGATAGATAGATAGATAGATAGATAGAGAGACAGATAGATAATGGATGGATAATAGATAGATAGAGATAGATAGATAGATAGATAGATAGATAGATAGATAGATAGATAGATAGATAGATAGATATAATGGATGGATAGATGAATAATAGATAGATATAATGGATGGATTGATAGATGAATAATAGATAGATGGATGGATTGATAGATAATAGATGATAAGAAAGAAAGGAAAGAAAGGTTCTACATTTAGGCAAGAAAAACCAAATGCACAAGTACAGCATAGGTGGCACCATGCTCAATAGTAGTAACTGTGAGAGGGACCTCAGAGTCCTAGTAGACAATCACTTAAATATGAGCCAGCAGTGTGCGGCAGCTGCCAAAAAGGCCAACACAGTGCTAGGCTGCATTAACAGAGGGATAGAATCAAGATCACGTGAAGTATTAATACCACTCTTCAATGCCTTGGTAAGGCCACACTTGGAATACTGCATCCAGTTTTGGTCACCACGATGTAAAAAAGATGTTGAGACTCTAGAAAGAGTACAGAGAAGAGCAACAAAGATGATTAGGGGACTGGAGGCTAAAACATATAAGGAACGGTTGCGAGAATTGGGTATGTCTAGTTTAACGAAGAGAAGGACAAGGGGGGACATGATAGCAGTATTCCAATATCTCAGGGGCTGCCATAAAGAAGAGGGAATTAAGCTATTTTCCAAAGCACCTGAAGGCAGGACAAGAAGCAACGGGTGGAAACTAATCAAGGAGAGAAGCAACCTAGAACTAAGGAGAAACTTCCTGACAGTGAGAACAATTAATCAGTGGAACAGCTTGCCTCCAGAAGCAGTAAATGCTCCAACACTGGAAGTTTTTAAGAAGAGACTGGACAGCCATTTGTCCGAAATGGTGTAGGGTTTCCTGCCCGAGCAGGGGGTTGGACTAGATGACCTCCAAGGTCCCTTCCAACTTTACTACTATTACTAAAAGAAAGAAAGAGAAAGAAAAGAAAGAATCAACACATACATTTGAACGTGAGCATTTGGGCTTTTGTGTTTGTGTGTATGTATTTATGTATGCCTTCAAGTCAGTGTGGATTCTTGGCAACTGTTTGGACAAATCCCTGAAGTTTTTGTGGCAAGATTTCAGAAATGTTTTGCCATTGCCTGCTTCCTAGGGCTGAGAGAGAAGGATTGGCCCAAGGTCACCCAGCTGGCTTTGTGCCAAAGGTGGGACACCCACCCGCCCACACCCCCACACACACGCAAATATACACATCCCCTATATATGTTAAGTTCTTAGTTAAGGAGCCCCAAGGCAATTTGAAAGGGAGTCCCTTTTGAGTTGTTGTTTAATCAGTACCGTCCTGTGTTTTTGTCCTCATAACTTACAAGGTCTTTCTTGGAATTAAGTCATCTCATAATAGTGTGGCATTCATCTCTTTAATAACTGTAAGAATTACATTTTTTATGGAAACATGCCCATTTCGTGAGAGATTAATGTGTGCAGTGAAATGAATAGCTTTGCGGCTTGTACGAAAAGCAGGGTGATCCATAAATTTGATCATTCTGTTTATAAGCTCCTAAGAGCGTATCGATTAACATTCTTGAGAAAATGCGTCGGTATGAAAAATCAGAAATGGCAGCTGCATCTACAAGTCCTCATATTACCACAGATATTCTAATTTAATGCAGGTTTTTGTAGCTCTTTAGGCCTAACTTCCATTTGCTGAAGTAAGACCTATCACTTCCTTAACCTCCATAACGTTCTAGATTTTTCTCCTCTACCATGTTGGCCTCATCTGGGTCTTTGTTTTTCATTCCTTACCTACAGGAATTTTGTATTATTGTCATTTGACATTCCCCTACTTTTCTGGAAATGTTTGATCTGCTTCATTTTTATCCCCATCTTCCTCTTTTAGTCTGATTTTTCAAATCCTCCACCCCCATTTAAAGGGGAAAAAAACCAAAAGGTTTTTGGGGGGCAATTTTCAAGTTACCCATGATTGAAATATTGACTTTAGTAACAATGGATTCAGCACTTAAATCTCAACCAATTTTGGCTCGTCCCAGGAACATTTGTTATGAATCTAGAATTTCTAGTTCATTGTTGTGTCTGGAGCATGGAGTGTATTTATCTGGTTTTTGTGTGAGTAACTGAAATTACCCATTTCTACAACAGCTTCCATTTTAGAAGGTTCACTGATTAAATTCTCCATCTGAAATCATCTCATTATTTTGATAGGGCAAACTGGCAATTTGTGCCCAGAGCTATACTGCATTTAGTGGGTCTCTTTGTCCTATTAAAGCTAACGTTGTTATACTGATCCCTCTACCTTTTATATTTAGACCAAGAAGAGTCCCAGGGCTTTATTTTCACAGCCTCGGGAGCAGCACAATTGCTGAAAATCAGCAGCACAATTACCTTGCCAATTTAAGGCCGGGGAAAACACAAAGATGTAATTTTTTTCAAATTGAGTTTAACATAGGTGAAAATAATACGCATGTACTTAAGAACCCAACTACCCAACTCAAAAAAGAGAAAACCCCCCAAAAAAGGGGGGGGAATTCCCAATTATTGTTGACAGCTAGATATATCTAGCCCAGGGGTAGGCAACCGTGGCTCTTTTATGACTCGTAGACTTCAACTCCGAGAATTCCTGAACCAGCCATGCTGAGGGGAAAGGTAGAGGTTTCCAAGCTGAGCCATGAATAGAATAGAATAGAATAGAATAGAATAGAATAGAATAGAATAGAATAGAATAGAATAATGGAATGAAGAATACGACTAGACTAGACTAGACTAGACTAGGATAGAGTAGAGTAGAGTAGAGTAGAGTAGAGTAGAGTAGAGTAGAGTAGAGTAGAATAGAATAGAATAGAATAGAATAGAATAGAATAGAATAGAATAGAATAGAATAGAATAGAATAGAATAATGGAATAAAGAATACGACTAGACTAGGATAGAGTAGAGTAGAGTAGAATAGAATAGAATAGAATAGAATAATGGAATGAAGAATAAGACTAGACTAGGATAGAACAGAGTAGGGTAGAACAGAACAGAACAGAACAGAACAGAACAGAACAGAACAGAACAGAATAGAATAGAATAGAATAGAATAGAATAGAATAGAATAGAATAGAATAGAATAGTACAGAAAATAGAACAGAATTCTTTATTGGCCAAGTGTGGCTGGATACACAAGGAATTTGTCTCCAGTGCATAAGCTCTCAGTGTACATACAACTAATAGTGATAATCATGATCATAAACAACATGAAAATACATTCATCATAAATCGTAAGATGCAACACTTCGTGATAGTCATAGAATACCAGACCCTCTACTCAATGGTAGAGCGTCTCCTGCTTGATCAAAGGGTTGACCAGAAGACCTCCAAGTTCCCTTCCAATTCTATTACTCTGTTCACATGGACCTCCGGATGCTTCCAGAACATTTGTTTCTTACGTCCTCTACCGTTTCTAATGATTTGCAAATTGTGGGCTCCACCTCACATTGAGGTTGGCAACAAAAGTAATCAATGAAAGCTATCTTCTCTCTTCTTCTCCACAGCACAGTGCTATGTGTCCACCCGATGGGAAGTCCAGGAAGCCCTCTATTACAAAAAATCCAAAAATCGGTGGCCTTTCTTTAATTCCAATTCAGCACAACCCAAGGATCCCAAAAGCTAAAGCCAGCTCAGCTGAGGTAAATATTTCCAGTCAATATTTCCAGAGGTAAATATTTGTGTTGCTGACGTTCCAACGATGTAAAAAAGATGTTGAGACTCTAGAAAGAATACAGAGAAGAGCAACAAAGATGATTAGAGGACTGGAGGCTAAAGCATATAAGGAAAGGTTGATGGAATTCAGTGTGTCTAGTTTAATGAAGAGAAGAATGAGGGGGGACATGATAGCAGTGTTCCAGTATCTCAGGGGTTGCCCCAAAGAAGAGGGAGTCAAGCTATTTTTCAAAGCGCCTGAAGGCAGGACAAGAAGCAACGGATGGAAACTAATCAAGGAGAGAAGCAACCTAGAACTAAGGAGAAACTTCCTGACAGTGAGAACAATTAACCAGTGGAACAACCTGCCTCCAGAAGCAGTGAATGCTCCAACACCGGAAGTTTTTAAGAAGAGACTGGACAGCCATTTGTCCGAAATGGTATAGGGTTTCCTGCCTGAGCAGGGGGTTGGACTAGAAGACCTCCAAGGTCCCTTCCAACTTTACTATTACTACTACTACTACTATTATTATTATTAAGGAAAGAAATCTGTCATTAAATGTAATAGTTAAAAGAATATACCCACATTGGGAAAATCTCAGCCTGTAGTTAAAGCCCAGGCAGTCCTTGACTTACAACGTTTCGTTTAGCGACTGCTCAGAATTATGACAGCAGTGAAAAAAAGTGACTTGTGACCGTTTTTCACACTTAATGACATCCCCAGGGTCGCGTGATCCAAATTCAGACGCTTAGGAAACCGGCTCGTATTTATGACGGCTGCAGGGGTCGTGTGATCCCCTTTGGCGACGGTCTGACAAACTATGAATTACACATTTTTATACCTATTTACCTATTTTTAAAGAGGAGACTGGACAACCACTTGTCTGAAATGACACAGGGACTCCTGCTTGAGCAGGGGGCTGGACTAGAAGACCTCCAAGGTCCCTTCCAGCTCTATTCTTATTGATTGAAAGTCAGTGGGGAAGCCAGATTTGTTTTTCACACTTGATGACCATTATTTGGATCATGTGATCCACATTCGGATGCTTGGCAACTGACTCGTATTTATGACGGTTGCAGCGTCCCGGGATCATGTGATCCCCTTTTGTGAACTTCTGACCAGCCAAGTCAATGGGGAAGCTACGGTGGATTCCCTTAACAACATGTTGTTAACTTAACAAGTGCATTAATTCATCTAACAACTGGGGCAAGAAAAATGGAGCAAAACTTACTTAACAACTGTCTCACTTAGCAACAGAAATGTTGGGCTCAGTTGCAGTCATAAGTCAAGGACTGCCTATACACATCCTGTGCTATTGTATTATTTGTGTGTGTGTGTGTGTGTGTGTTTTGTTTGTGTGTTTGCATGTGTGTGTGTGTGTCTTTCCCAATATATACCGTATATACAGGGAGAATTTTGACAGGCTCTGTTTTCAATAAAGCAAGTGGAATTCTTTAAAATTAAATGAACATAATGTTTGTTCACTTTTTTTCCCCACCTGGGCTATGTCCCAGGAAACATTAAACTATAAAGCAGCTCTTGAAAGGTATATAGTTTAGAAATACTCCAGAGGAGTAAATTAAGTCTGATCTGGGACTTAGTAGTAGTTTTCCATTTTAATGTTCTTTGAGTCAAAAAGAGAAGCAACCTGGAATTAAGGAGAAGCTTCCTGACAGGGAGGACAATCAACCAGTGGAACAGCTTGTCTCTGGAAATCATGGGTGCGGAGATGGTATAGGTTCTCCTGCTTGAGTGGGGGGCTGGACTAGAAGACCTCCAAGGACCCTTCCAGCTCTATTCTATTCTATTCTATTCTATTCTATTCTATTCTATTCTATTCTCCATTCCTTCCATTCTATTCTATTCTATTCTCCACTCCACTCCACTCCACTCCACTCTATTCATTCATTCTATTCTATTCTATTCTATTCTATTCTATTCTATTCTATTCTATTCTATTCTATTCTATTCTATTCTATTCTATTCTACAGTACTCTCTTCTCTTCTCTTCCCTTCCCTTCCCTTCCCTTCCCTTCCCTTCCCTTCCCTTCCCTTCCCTTCCCTTCTATTCTATTCTACATTTCTTCTCTTCTCTTCTCTTCTCTTCTCTTCTCTTCTCTTCTCTTCTCTTCTCTTCCCTTCCCTTCCCTTCCCTTCCCTTCTATTCTATTCTACATTTCTTCTCTTCTCTTCTCTTCTCTTCCCTTCCCTTCCCTTCCCTTCCACTCCACTCCACTCCACTCCACTCCACTCCACTCCTTTCCATTCCATTCCATTCCATTCCATTCCATTCCATTCCATTCTATTCTATTCTATTCTATTCTATTCTATTCTATTCTATTCTATTCTATTCTATTCTATTCTATTCTATTCTATTCTACAGTACTCTACTCTCTTCTCTTCTCTTTTCTTCTCTTCTCTTCTCTTCTCTTCTCTTCTCTTCCCTTCCCTTCCCTTCCCTTCCATTCCATTCCATTCTATTCTATTCTATTCTATTCTATTCTATTCTATTCTATTCTATTCTACAGTACTCTACTCTTCTATATTCTCTTCTCTTCTCTTCCCTTCTCATTCTATTCTAAACAAATTTAAGAGTAAGTTTTGCACCTTAGCAACCAAAGTTTGTGTGTTTCAGCAGGCATTTAAGCTCTAAGGGGACTTGCATCTTCAAAATCTTTGAGGATTTATCTGAATTTCCCACAGGGAGGAACAGCTGAGTCTTCTGAGTATAAGTACTTTATGCTATCTCTAGGTGAGGTAGGTAGAAAATTTATAGTCTTGTTCTTTTTACCCATCCACTCAACTAGAAATCACTGAAAGCATATGGGAACACAACAGATGGCTTGTCCATGTGGATATGATTCTTTTTTTTTTTTTTTGAGTTGCCAATTTGGGAACACAAAAGAAACTTTTCATACACGATGAATGATAATGATGAATATATAAACTTCTGTTGACTTTCAAGTAGCTTGCTTTTTTTTTTGTTCTAAATTGCTTTCCTGCAGTTTTTCCTTCCTCCGCTTCTCTTCTATAGTCCTCGAATTACAACAGTTGGTTCTCCTTCCATTCCAATCCTCAACAGTCAATTCTCATTTTCCCTGAAAACTTAAATGTCTTTAATATTTTGCTCATCCCACTGTCTTCCTCTATGCCATTCATTAAGTTTCAGTCCTTAGACTGAGATGTATATGTGGGGTCCTTGATGTTCTCTGAGCTTAGTTGTTTTCAGAATAGAATAGAATAGAATAGGATAGGATAGGATAGAATATAGAATAGAACAAAACAGAAGAGAGTAGAGTAGAGTAGAACAGAACAGAACAGAACAGAATAGAATAGAAGAATAGGACAGAATAGAACAGAACAGAATAGAATAAAATAGAACAGAAGAGAGTAGAATAGAATAGAATAGAATAGGATAGGATAGGATAGGATAGGATAGGATAGGATAGGATAGGATAGAATATAGTACAGAACAGAAGAGAGTAGAATAGAGTAGAACAGAACAGAATAGAATAGAAGAGAATAGAAGAATAGGACAGAATAGGAACAGAACAGAATAGAATAAAATAAAATAGAACAGAAGAGAGTAGAACAGAACAGAATAGAATAGAAGAATAGGACAGAATAGAACAGAACAGAATAGAATAAAATAGAACAGAAGAGAGTAGAATAGAATAGAATAGAATAGAATAGAATATAGTACAGAACAGAAGAGAGTAGAATAGAGTAGAACAGAACAGAATAGAATAGAATAAAAAAGAACAGAAGAGAGTAGAGTAGAACAGAACAGAACAGAATAGAATAGGATAGGATAGGATAGGATAGGATAGAATAGAATATAGAATAGAACAGAACAGAAGAGAGTAGAGTAGAGTAGAACAGAACAGAATAGAATAGCAGAATAGAACAGAACAGAATAGAATAAAATAGAACAGAAGAGAGTAGAGTAGAACAGAACAGAACAGAATAGAATAGAATAAAAAACAGAGTTGGAAGGGATCCTGGAGGTCTTCTAGAAACTGGAACTGGAAACTGGAGATGTTTCATTACCCAACTAGTAACTCACTCCTCATTAGGGAGTGAGGTTTATGGGGAAGAGAAGGAGGGGGAGCAGGAGGAGGACGACAGTTGTGGGATCCTTGGTGCTCTTTGAGTCTGGTTGTTTTATTTCAGAGGTTTCATTACCAAACTAGGTAACATCAGTGCTCTGATGATGATGAGGTTGTTATTTGGTAATGAAATGTCTGCAAGGCGACAACCAAGCTCAGAGAGCACCGAGGACTTCATAGTTCAAACTTGAGCTACAAATTTATCTTCTGTGAAATGTATCTATATCTATATCATCTATTATATCTATATCTATAACTATAACTATCTCTATCTATATATCTATATCTATATCTATAACTATATATCTATTTATATCGATCTATCTATCATCTAGCTATCTATCCTGACCTGTCTATCTACCTAACTACTTATCTACCTACCATATCATCTGTCTATATCTATCTATCGTCTATCTCTCTATCATCTAGATAACTATCTGTCTGTCTGTCTGTCTGTCTATCTGTCTGTCTATCTACCTATCTATCTATCTATCTATCTATCTATCTATCTATCTATCTATCTATCTATCTCTATCATCTAGCTATCATCTATCTATCTATCTATCTATCTATCTATCTATCTATCTATCTATCTATCTATCTATCTATCTACCTACCTACCTACCTACCTACTTATCTACCTACCATATCATCTATCTATATCTAGCTATCTAGCTATCATTTAGCTATCTATCTATCTACCTATCATCTGTTTATCTATCTATCTATCTATCTATCTATCTATCTATCTATCTATCTATCTATCTCCATCCATCCATCCATCCATCCATCCAAGAAACAAGCTAACCAACTATTCATTTGTAAGAACAGAAACGCTTGGAGACTAAGTTGGAAGCACTTAAGTCCCCAGAGGTAGGTTACCAACACTTGACACGAATGAACAAATCTTTTAACTCTTTTCTCCTTCTCTGCACAGAATTCAAAACTGGAAACGCAATGGGACTTAGCTGAAGAGAAGACAGGCTTAAAGGAGCGATCCTCACGGGTCGTTCAACATAAAGAACGGAAAGAGGAAAAACCCTGGAATCAAAGAAGAAAGCACCGCAGCCTGATCTGTTTGGACGAAGTGGGTGAAAACGTTGTGGACTTGGACCGAAGGTCCTGCAAAGAATCAAAATCGCCAAGGAGAAGTGAGAGCAAAGCCAGAGAAACACACTTGGAATCCGAGAAGCAACTGCCAGCAAATGTTCTTCAAGAGCTCCACACCGTCTTGCAGAGGACCAGAGCCCTCCACGATGAGACTTAGAAGCCCTTCCGATATGGACCTCAAAGAAATGAGTCACGTTAATGTACAGTGTACAGGCTTTCAGTGTATTTAAATGTAAATGTTGAACGAAAAGATATTGAGCGCTCTCTATCCCTTTGGGAACCTTAATACTTTTGTACTGACCCCTGCCCCTCTTGTCGTCAAGATTTAATTCCCCAAATAATGTTGGTCAACTGGAGATTCTCAGTCTTCCCTAAGATGTCCCTAAGATGCTTTTTCAGAAGGCAACTGGACTTGGTTCTTCCTTGAAGACATTTCACTTCTCATCCCAAAAGCTTCTTCAGGGAATGGACCAGTCTGAAAAAGAAGTGTATGTATGTATATATATATATGTATATGTAGGTCTTTGGTTGTTCGGGTTTTCTCCCGTGTAAAATTGGAAGTGTCTTGGCAATGTTTTGATGAAGTCGAAGAAGTTTCGACGTCGCCAAGACACTTCCAATTTTACGCGGGAGAAAACCCGAACAACCAAAGACCTACATACAAACACCTGCGAAAACCTCAGAAAACAAATATGTATATGTATATGTATATGTAATTCTCTATGTGTGTATTAATAACAGATTGGTTCCCTATTTTCCTCCGTAAAGTAACTAAATTTGATCCAATTGCAATCAGATTAGCAAATAGCTGATTTGAAACCGAGGTGGCGCAGCAGTTAGGGTGCAGTACTGCAGGCCACTTTAGCTGTCTGTGTTCAGCAGGTCAGCGGTTCAAATCTCACCAGCTCAAGGTTGACTCAGCCTTCCATCCTTCCGGGGTAGGTAAAATGAGGACCCAGATTGTTGGGGGCAATGTAAATATATATATACATTGCTTACTGGTGTACACCGCTTAGAGAGTGCTCGCACTTAAAGCGGTATATAAGTCTCATAAATAAATAAATAAACCATCCTTCCATCCTTCTTCAGAATTGAAGAAGCTTCTTAAAGTCCAGTTGTCTTTCGAAAAAGCACCTTTAGGACCATATCCATCAACATTTTCCAGCTAGAGGGGAGAACGACAACCCATTGCTTCTGAATTTGACATTACTGAACGTTAACAAAAAGTATAGAAGTAGGATGTGAAAACAATTCGACAATATTAACACATCCTATACCTTCTGACTTCTGTGCACGCTCTGCAGATAACATGAGAATAAACGGATAGCGAGACGGGCAGCGTATAAATTTAATAAATAAAATATAAGGCCTAATCATTTCCGACAGGCATTTATCTCAGCAATATTTGTCAGCCAAGTAGGAAATCAGCAAAAAGCTTTAGGTTGACAATTCTGTTGTCAGTTAACCCCAATCTACACCCATCCCCAGTTCAGTTAGTTGGTACTGATATAGACCAAAGATAGAAATTCAAATACAAGGATCAAATAAAGAAAGAAGTTGAGTGGAAGGATGGTTTCAAGTCAACTATTTGCAAATCTGATTGCAATTGGATCACATTTAGTTCCTTTATGGAGAAAAATAGGGAACCAATCTGTTATTAATACACACAAACAAACACAGAGAAAAATACATTTACATACATACACTTCCTCTTTTTTAGACTGGTCCACTTGCCCAGTGAGTAAGATGGGAAAGGCAAAAGAGCAAAATCAAGAGATTCTGTTTAGATGTGTAAACAAATCCTCTCTGTGAATCGAAGATAAGGCTACTGAGAGGAAATAATATTGGACAATATTTTTTTTCCCCTCTGTGCAGATTTTCGACTTCCAATGAAATAACAGCATGACAGAATAGCAGCATTGGAAGGGACTTTAGAGGTCTTCTAGTCTAACCTCCTGCTCAAACAGGAGACCCTATACCATTTCAGACAAATGGTTGTCCAATTTCTTCTTGAAAACCTAAAAAAACAGCAGTCACAGCTTCTGGAGAGAAGCCGTTCATCGGTTAATTGTTCTAACTGTCAGGAAATTTCTCCTTAGTTCCAGGTTGCTTCTCTCCTTGATGAGTTTCCATCCGTTGCTTCTTGTCCTGCCTTCAGGTGCTTTGGAGAATAGATTGGAAAATATTTTTTTTGCTCGAAATAACAAGATTTACAAAACCTAACACTAAATGATACGATTTCTGCCTTCAGTGTCAATCAATCTGACAATGACTGACTTAAAAAATCCTGACTTAAATCTCAATCTGGACCCTTTCTGCTGTGTGTGTGTGTGTGTGTGTGTGTGTGTGTGTGTGTGTGTGTAATCCCAGCATAAACAAGTCAACGGAATTGTTGTGTTATTTGTGGATTACAACATAATGCTGCTAAAACTGCTGCATCGTCACATCATGTTTTTGTTTATAAGTAACTGGTAGAATCAAGGAAGATCTACGGGAGTTTTGCCATGAAATAAAATGTTAATTTATTGTACAGAGCTGTCATGTAAATGATCATTGTGGAAATGGCGACGGTTGCTTGCCACAGGAGATTGGGTGGGTGGTATCATCAGACGAAGCATGAATGCGTGAAATAAAAAAAGCATCTTGATAAAGCTGACTTGTCTTATCGTCATCCGAAGGACACGCTTCAATCCGATCCAATAGAAATCCAATAAAAGCAAATGAATAAGCTCCACGTGTCTCCGTTCCATCGATAAACACAAAATTTATTTGTAACGGATGGGCATCCAGAACACCTTCCATTACAGTTAGTCCTTGACTTACAACAGTTCATTCAGTGACTGTTCAAAGCTACAACAGTACTTGAAAAATGTGATCGGTGATCTTTTTTTCACACTTAAGATCATTGTAGCATCCCCAGGATCTTGGCAACTGGATCATATTTCTGACAGTTTTAGTGTCCCAGAATCACGTCATCCTTTTTTTGTGACCTTCAGACAAGTAAAGTCAATGAGGAAGCTAGTAACAACCGTGTTACTAATTTAAGAACTCCTGTGCCTCAGTTAACAACTGTTGAATTTATGAATTTTGATCACAGGATCAGAGGGCTGCCTTTAGACAGGAATTGTTAGTCTGCTCTACAGACTGTGGAGATGCACAAAACTTAGCCCCCTCTTTGCAGCGTTTTGAAATAATCCAGGCAAAACTTTTCTCTTAGAAGTAATTAAGAAGGCAAATTTTTGTTGGGGAAAGCATTGTATGTGGCTAAAGACTTCAGCCAAACTTTCAGCTGCAGTTACTGACAGCCAAAGGTTATTATACACACACACACACACACACACACCCCTACTTTGGGGGAAAGGGGAAGCTTGCTGTTTCCCAATAATGCATCAACTAAAATTATTTTTTTTTTTAATGTATCCTCAATTTGACAAGGGAACAACTGTTTTGTGCCAGCGTGTGTTGTGAACTCACCTTTTCTTCGCTTGGCGTAGCTGTGAATCAATTCAGCGTGAAACAGGAAAGCTGGTATTTTATAAACCAAAACTATATGTTGGGATGGTTTTTTTTTTTAACTCAGTCATTACGGTTTTCTGTAGATTTCTCTAATGTTTAAGCTGGTGGGGGGGGGAAGGCTTAGATGGTACAGATCTTGTTGCACAGGGAAAAATAAGACTGTATGTGTGTGTTTGTATGTATGTATATGTATGTATATATATATGTATGTGTATGTGCATACAGTATGTGTATTTGTGTATGTGTATGTAACTGTGTGTATATGTATATGTATTTGTATATATATGTATATGCATATACATATGTATGTGTGTATGTGTATATGTATATGTGTATATATTTGTTGTTGTTGTTAGTTGCAAAGTCATGTCCGACCCATCGCAACCCCATGGACAACGTTCCTCCAGGCCTTCCTGTCCTCTACCATCTTCTGGAGTCCATTTAAGCTCAAGCCTACTGCTTCAGGGACTCCCTCCAGCCACCTCATTCTCTGTCGTCCCCTTCTTCTATCGCCCTCCATCTTTCCCAGCATCAGGCTCTTCTCCAGCGAGTCCTTCCTTCTCATTAGGTGGCCAAAGGACTTGAGTTTCAACTTCAGGATCTGGCCTTCTAAAGAGCAGTCGGGGTTGATCTCCTCTAGGACTGACCGGTTGGATCGCCTTGCAGTCCAGGGGACTCGCAGGAGTCTTCTCCGGCATCATAGTTCAAAGGCCTCCATTCTTTGGCGCTCAGCCTTTCTTATGGTCCAATGTGTGTGTGTGTGTGTGTGTTTGTATGTATGTATATATGTATGTGTATATGTATGTGTATGTATGTATGTGTATTATGTGTATATGTATATATATTTATGTGTGTGTGTGTATTCTTATTCCCTTAAACATCTGAATTTGCAAGTCCCCTGTTTTGCAAGCGTGTCAGGGCAGTGATCAGGTGCGTAGGCAATTGTTTCTTTTCGATCCAGAGACAAATAAGCACACCAGTAAATAGTTTTTAAGCTTTATGATTAGCTAAAAACATGACGTTAAGAAGCACACATACCAAATAAAATACTACCTTAGCAAGCTGCCAGGAGGACCTTAATAACGACAGTAGCTTTATCTGAAGGGCAGCCATTTTTCACAGTACCTAATGCTAATTATTTGTATGAAAAAGAATGGGGTTTTTAATGGCCTCGATCATGCTTGCTGTTTTCATATCATGCTCCTCTCCCCAACTGTGTAGCTCACTCTTCTGTGCTCCAATTCAGCCCTGCCTTCAAATCTAAAACACTGCGCACCTCCTAATAACTGTGCTAGTTTTAATTTAAAAATAAACAGGATGCATGTCGATATACTTATGAGCAGAAGGTTGCTTGTGCAATGGCGTGGCTGCGAAGGAAATGATAAGCACCAAACAAAAACTGTTCTGCCTTTCAAACATAGCCACTTTGATACAACAACGAGGTGCTGGATAACCGAATATTATCAAAAAAACCAAAACAAAAGCGATTATCTTTGCAGATATTTCTCCGATGAAGCAATTGCACAAAGCAAATTCTGATCTGCATAATTTGTAAATACGCAGCTGCCTTGAAGGTTGACAAGGCATCTTACTGTGTTCCATATTGACTACCATACGGAAGGTTTATTACCATACTTTTACACATGAGGCACTCTGCAGAGTGTGATGCTGTTAGGGGATGTTGTTAGATTTGTTTATCAATTTACATATTGTTTTAAAGTGTTCTCTTCTAGTGATGTGAAGGTGGCTCCAATAAGAGGGATGGAAATTATAGACCTTGGTCAACAGGGGCATCTGCTGATGTAAAGAAACACAGAATAGTAGCTATGACCCAGTTAATCAAGCTCTGCCAGGCTGTTAATTCTCTTAGAAATTGTCTCTTATATCCATGTATTTCATTTACTGTGAAACATGAGGATCCGTGGTCATTAGCAGCAGTGAAGGCATTTTTTTTAAAAAAAAATCCAGAGAATAAACCATTCCAAGAAACACGAACATCTCAAACAAATCAAAGATCTGGTGTTGGTTCTCCATACTACAGTGAGAATGCAAATCTTTGGAGAATTACATGTAGTCCATTACAATAATCTGTTTTCCCATGGTCGCAGACGCTTGACAATTGACACATACTTCTGACTGTTCCTATGTGGAGAGACCTGGCCCATAGAATCTCCCAAGAGTTGGACATGATTGAATGGAGAATCATCCATCGTCCCATTCAATTATGGGAAGTCAGTCCAGTGAAAGTGAGCGCATTCTCAACTTGTTTCCCTCCTTCCTCTCAAATCTCTTCCACCCAAGAATTTATGGAAAATCCGCCTTACATCTTACATCACGTTCATTCTGGGCTATTCTGCCTTACCCCATAACTTCCACTTTATGTGCTGTGTTCCACATCTTTAATGCTGGGGT